CGCCGACTCCGAACAAGAGTTCTTCGATATCGCGGGCATCCCTCTCATGACGTACTTTACTCTGAAACTCATGGGTCTCCCGATGGGGTTCTACGAGTGGCACATCTGCAACCTTTACCTTCTCTTTTCAGAAGCGGCCGGTCACAGTGGTCTCCGTATACATGCAACGCCTCCAAACCCACTGACTTGGCTGATGAGGATTTTCAACGCCGAGCTAGTCATTGAAGATCATGATCTCCATCATCGGAAAGGGTGGAGGAAGAGCTATAACTACGGCAAACAGACGCGCATTTGGGATCGTGTGTTTGGTACATGCACTGACCGGATTGAGGGTGTGGATTCGAACGTTGATTATGACAATATGGTCATCATGCCAGTTTTCTAGGGGAACAAAGTCTGGAAGTTTGTGGTATTTGTTTCTTGAATATTTTAACTTGATGACTTTATGATAACCTTCGTCTCTGTTTCTTTTCTTCTATTGTGACTATTCGAATTCAGAGCACGTCTTCATGAGTAAGGTAAGAAAGAATAGGTTTATACTTCCCCAGATAAGATATCCCGGACATATTCCCGACCGTGGATGCACCTTGCCGATCGGATGTGCGTGCCATCTGCACCGGCCCGGGGTTCGTAGTTTGGGCTGCCCACGCGGGGTGACGCTAGATTCAATGCTTTATTTAAAGACCCATTTATCCGACAAGGGTAGATCTTCCTTCCCCTCACTAAAATATTAAAAATGCGCGTCGCTCTACCTCCTTCTCAGCAAACGCGTTCCGCCATGGAATCTTCAAAATACAAGACCAAGCCATGGAAACCAGCCCCGCCTCGTCCGTATGTATTTTGCAATGCGAACCTCGTTGACCCCGTAAGTGGACGGGTGCATTCGGGGGTCTGCGTACATGTTGCGGACGGTCTTATTCAATATGTCGGACAAGCCAAAGAGCCCGACAACAGCAACGCGGCCGTGATAGACCTAGAAGGAAAATATCTCTGTCCAGGTCTAACAGATTGTCATGTCCACCTAGCCGCCGTGCCAGGCGAAAGCGACTGGCGTGACATCCGAGAAATCGACACAGTGACCTCGACGCTGCGCCAGGGCTACGTGTGCGAGTCCATGCTGCATCGAGGCTTCACCACTGTCCGTGACTGCGGCGGCGCGACACTTTCCTTGAAAGAGTCCATCGCCGACGGATTGATCCACGGTCCCCGTCTTTTCATTGCGGGCCGGTATCTGAGCCAGACCGGGGGACATGGCGATATGCGCGGTAGCCACCAAGCAAGTGTCCCGCAATGCTGCGGCCATGCAACCGCTATGTCGGGAATCATCGCCGATGGCGTGCCGGCTTGTCTACAAGGGGCGCGCGACACGCTGCGCACAGGCTCGGATTTTATTAAGATCATGGGCAGTGGCGGCGTTGCCAGTCCGACTGATCAGGTTGAGCATGTCCAGTTCACCGACGAGGAGATCCGGGCTATCACCAGCGTCGCGCGCAATGCCAACACCTACGTGACCTGCCATGCGTACACGCCGGCATCTATTCAGCAGGCGATCCGCAATGGAGTCATGGGCATCGAGCACGGCAATCTGATTGACGAGGAGACCGCGGCGCTCATGGCAGAGAAAGGCGTTTATCTGACTCCCACCTTGGTGACGTATTCGACAATGGCCAAGTATGCCTCGGACGGATTCCTGCCACCGGAGTCGGCGAAGAAGAATGACCAGGTGCTGGAGCGGGGACTGCAGTCCCTGCGGCTGGCTGCGGATGCGGGCGTTACGATGTGCTATGGGACTGATCTGCTGGGCCATCTGGTGCAAGCACAGTCGTTGGAATTCGGGCTACGGGCTCAGGTGCTCTCGCCGTTGGAAATTTTGCGTAGTGCTACGATCAACCCGGCTCGGATGATGAGACAGGAAAGTTTTCTAGGTCAGATTAAGGAAGGGTTTGCGGCTGATCTGCTCGTGCTCAATGCAAATCCCCTGGAAGATATCAAGATTCTGGAGAAGCCTGAGACGCATATTTTGGCAGTTATGAAGGAGGGCCGGGTGTATATGAGCCGATGGTCCCAATTGATGCAGGATGTGAAACAGAAGACCGAGCTGTTGGAGTAAAGCAGTTTTACGAACGTCGATATGAGCGTTGCCCGAGAACAAAACATCTACTCTAGAGCAGTACAATTCTCTAGTTTTTGCAAGATTGATAGGTTGTATAAGGCTTACCGGAAGTCAACACGACCAAGAAAAAAGCATAGCGCAGACACGAAAAGAGATAAAAAGTATATGCAATCACAAGCAGCTAGAGACAAAGCGCGCCAAATACACGCAAACGCTCCACTCCTCGCCGCGTTGTCTTGTCTTCTACAGCCCCAAAACTTCCATTCCCACTCATGCATCAATGAGATTGGCGCTCTGCTGCGCCGACGACTGCTGCTGCTCGCCCGAGTTATCCCGGGTGTCCTTGCTGGGGAGCTTCCGAGCCGAGCGAGCATAGAACTCATCCAGCACACGCTTGGGAACACGGTTGAGCAGTTCCTTGGGGTAGATGCGGAGCAAGTTCCAGGCGATATCGAGCGACTCGAAAATGGTCCGGGATTCGTAGGGAGACTGGCTGATGAAGGTGCGCTCGAACTTGTCGAGGAATTCGAGTGACAGCTTGTCTTCGGAGGACAGGGCCTCCTCGCCGACGACGGCTTTCATGGCAGCTATTTGGGGTGTCAGGGTAACATTCAAAATGGAAATAAATAGAATACTCACCAGCGTCACGACCAATGGCGTACTTGGCATACAGCTGGTTGGACACATCGGAGTGGTCCTTGCGGGTGCGACCCTCGCCAATGGCAGATTTCATGAGACGTGATAGCGACGGCAGGACGTTGATCGGTGGGTAGACACCCTTGTTGTAGAGCTGACGGTCAATGAAGATCTGGCCCTCGGTAATATAACCTGTAAGGTCAGGGATGGGATGCGTGATATCTAGAACAATTAGCAAAAGCCATTGACAACACAGCGAATACCTCACCATCGTTAGGCATAGTCAGAATAGGAATCTGAGTGATCGATCCATTACGGCCCTGGACACGTCCTGCACGCTCATAAATGGTCGATAAATCCGTGTACATGTAACCGGGGTAACCACGACGACCGGGCACTTCTTCTCGGGCGGCGGACACCTCACGCAGAGCATCACAGTAGGCAGACAAGTCCGTCATGATGACCAGAACGTGTTTCTCAAGCTGATAGGCGTAGTACTCGGCAGTTGTCAAGGCCAGACGAGGGGTAATGATACGCTCGATGGTAGGGTCGTTGGCCAAGTTGAGGAACAGAGTGACGCGCTCCATACTACCGTTCTCTTCAAAGTCGCGGGTGAAGAATCGACTGGTTTCCATGTTAACACCCATAGCAGCGAAGACGATCGAGAAGTTATCGTCGTGTCCGTCGTGCACGTCCTTGGTTGGTCGATTGACCAGACTGGCTTGACGACAGATCTGAGCGGCGATTTCGTTGTGAGGGAGACCGGCGGCTGAGAAGATAGGGATTTTTTGTCCACGGGCAATGGAGTTCATGGTGTCGATGGCGGAGATACCGGTGGAAATCATTTCCTCGGGGTAGACCTAGGTCGGTGAGGTTAGCATTTCCCGGAGATTCACGATGAGGTGCGCATACGCGAGAGTAAGGATTGATGGGCTGGCCGTTGATATCCAGGTAGTCCTCCGCCAGCACCTTGGGGCCCTTATCGATGGCACGTCCCGAACCGTCGAAGACTCGACCCAGCATGTCCTCGGACACACCCAGCTTCAAGCTGTGGCCGGTAAACTCGACTTTAGTCTGGTCCAATGTCAGTTGTTTGCTCATATCCCACCTGGTTCTTCACGATATACCTTCTTCACATCAATCCCAGAAGTACCCTCGAATACCTAATACACCAACAGCTGCGTTAATACCTTGTGCGATTAGGGGGCGGGAAAGGATCGGTCTTGGAGCGCACCTGCACGACAGCTCTGTTTCCTATTTGAGAGGAATATCAAGTCAGAATGACATGTAATGCAAACGCAAGCAGCCGAGCAACATAGCGGCGGGTGGGGGAAAGACCTACCTCTAGCCTCCAGAACCTGACCAGACCGCTCCGTACCATCCGGAAGAGTCAGGGAGACGATTTCGTTGAAACGAGGGAATTTGACCTGATCGATGATAAGCAAGTCGTGACCTCTGTCGGGGTTGCGGGCCAGCTCACATTGTCTAGGACGACCAGCGGACCGTTGATGCCTCCGATGGTGTTGTAGCGGATGCGAGGCTTGATGGAGGTCATCCGGGGATCGACAAAGTCGGCCATGGCGGGCGAATTGGATCTCCCGAGGAAGTGAAGGCGTAGTTAACTAAACTATCGGCAGAGGGGGGCGGACGACCAGCTGTCGTCGGGATGGAGCAGCGGTGGGCGGTGTGGAAGGTCGTAGGTCACGTGATGGACTATCCCTAATCAGATGTCCGGATTGCATCTGGCACGATTTCTAGCTGCGACAGAGGTAGGAAACATAGGACATGGCAATGAAATGGCAATGAACTGCAATTCTCACCGACAAGAATATTCCTCGAAGAGAAATCTGCATGAGTGAAGACAAGTTCACTTATCTACAATCCCATTGCTTCTTAGCTTCTATACCACGCTCGGAATAATGTATATTTCTTCCAATCCACCTGACAGCGAAAAAACAATGAAAGTACAATCCGACGCATTGAATGCATACACTTCACGCCACCAGCCAGACAAGCCAAAATGCTCCCAATAAGGATAGAAATGACGAGGTATCCCCGAGAAAGCAAACCAAAGACGGCAAAAACAATCGGATTTGAGGGTATTCATACAGGAACAGGGCTGAAAAAAAGGAAAACTCAAGACAAAACAAGACAAGACTAACAAACCAATGCTCCAATCGCGCCGTTGTGCAAATGTGGCAGACTGCAGCCACCGCCCATGACCCGTGAAAATGCAAAGAAACTTAAAACATCAGTCCACTTTGGCATGGATGAGACTCTTCGGGGTCGTGAGGTTATTGGACAGGCGCACGTTGGTCTTGTTCCGGCCCTTGGAATGGTGTCGTTTGAGCTTGCGACGTGCGACCATGACAGGCACCGAGGAGTTGGAGAGCAGGTAGTTCGAGAAAGAACCGAGAAGGACACTGTTGTAGATTGTGAGATCGAGATCGAGTTTTATGATATGTCCATTGGTGTCACACTTACCCCTTCAAAGCACTCTGACCTCGAGCACCGACGATCACGAGGGTGGGCTCTAGTTCATCAACCTGATCGTTATTAGCGGGATAGATTCTGCAGTAGTGAGATCCAAAAGATCCAAAACTCACGGCTTCAGTAACCAAAAGCTTCGGGTTCTTGCAGTGGATAACCTCCACAGCAATGCGAACCTGTAGGAGAGTCTTCCGCAACAGCTTCACGCACGTGTTAGACACTTGCTCAACAGCCTTTACTCGCTCAGCCTCCGCTTTGGGAGATGCGCGCATGTCAATCGAAGCTCTCGGGGTGGATCCCGGGCCTAGACGACCCAGGATTGTGCGCGATCCGCCCGTGTTCTGGGTTGCTTCTCTCGTCTGGGAACGCACAACAGCGTTCGCATCCCGAATCGCTTTCGCGCCTTCACCGACTTGGCCCGAGGACATATTGGAGTCTTCATGCACAACGTAGAGAGCGAACATGGTATCACCATCGCGGAGAATGGTCCCAATTGTCCATTCCAGCGCGTACACGGACTCCTCGCTCAGATCTGTGGCGACTAGGTACTTGCGTTGGCGGAGGCGGCCATGATCAGCTTCCTCTTGCAGACCATTGTAATCTCCCCGGACGATCGTGCGGATAGATCGGTTAGGCACAAGATTGTCAATCGCGGACATGGAAATGCCGAGCTTCTGAGCTCGCTTGATGTCTACCATCTCGTCCTCATCATCTGAGCCGTAAGGGGTGTTGGCTGCCGATTGCGTATTCGGAGTCTGGATGTCAAAGCTGGTCTGCGGATGCACGATGGCTTTCAACGCGGATTTCCGGGGCTTCTTCTCATCAGTCGGCTTCTCGGGTGAGTTTTCTATACCCAGTCAGTAAGCTGGGTCACTCAATAACAAAGGTTTGCTTACGTTCTTCTTCAGAGACGGCAGGCGCTTTGTCGTCCTTGGTGGTTTCAAATGCGCTCTGGGTGATAGCGCTGAGGTCAGGACCTTCAGGGCCTTTCTTTTCGTCTGCTTGCAGTGATGAAGTCTGGGAAAGGGGTTCTTCGTCGCTCGAGCTTCCCTCATCCTCTTCTTCGCTGCTTTCAATCATATTTTTCTCGCGGTCAAACACATCCTTAGCCAAGCGCTCGCCGGAATCCTCCTGCTCGGAGGGTTTCACATAATCAGGCAGAACGTTGGTACGTTTGGCCAAACCCTCATCCGACTTGTTGTGTTCTTCCATGTTAATCAGCTTGCTCCGATCTGTGTTGGGTTTTGACGAGCCCACGTTGAGAAACCGGGCACCGGGAGACAGTGGGCGACCCAGACGAGAAATAGACGAGTCAGACCGGGAGTCCAGCGACGAGCCGCGTCTCGACGACTCCCGGCCCAAGTCCCGTCCACGGATGAAGCTCTTAGGCAAGAATTTTGATTCCAAGCCGAACATAACAGCAGCCATGGCACCACGGCCGTGAGCTTTATCTTTGCGTTTCTTAGGGGTCGGCGGATCCAGTGTCGGTTGGGTTGAATTTTCGTCCAGACCAACCGCATGGCCTGTCGTTGCGGGACGGTCAGGATCATTGGGCAGCTGATCCAAGGATCGCCGCGGCGCATCCTCGGTCTCGCGCCTGGAGCGCTCCGGAGAGCTTGGAGCAGACGCCATTGAGGAACTGATGCGCAGAGGTGATGAGACGAGTGGTTCGACAGTGTTCCGGAGATTCAGACGACTGGCGGAAAAGATGCTTCCACTGCCAGACGAGCTTGGGCTGGGCTGCGGGGCACCCAGCAGGCTGTGAACGGCCCGACTCAGGCCCGATCTAGGGGATTTGGGGGCCGCGAGGGGCGGATCAGGCGCGGGAGAGCGACTGGAAGGATTGGGAGGTGGTGGTTGTCGCTCTGATTTGGAAGAGGAGGAGGAAGAGGAGGAGGAAGAGGAAGAGGGAGGATGATGATGGGTGGGAGGGTATGACATCGCGTGGGCTGCCGGCTCCGGCTGGGTGGAGACCAGGTGCCAAGCACCGCGCGGAATGTGGATATAGGTTAGAAGTACAAATAGACGTACAAGTAGGAGTACAAGTAGCAGTCCGGAGTAAACAAGACTTGACCGAGAACAAGAAGGCGCGTTCGTCTCCTTGTTTACTCCTGCTGAGACAACCCTACATACTGTCTACGGTACTACTACTATATTACTTCCGGGGGAGTCCTACAACTCCTAGTCTCAAAACGCTCGATAGATGGATCATGACACAATAAAATGGTTGAGAGATTCAACCGGAAGCGGGCTGAACTGGTTTGTAGTATTATTAAAGAAGGGGCATGAAGAGACGTGGATGATGGTCATCATTTCTTCTTGGTAGACTTCTTCCGCGCACCCACCGCCGCAAATGCCTCCTCAGACGGCTCATCCGGCGGTCCACGCTTCTTCGCGTTATTCGGCGCGCCGTACTTTTCCTCCAGATGTGCCAGAAATCCCTGGCCGCGCTGCTGCTGCCGCTTGGTGATCATCGACAGCAAATCATCATCCCCAGCCGCGGGACCTTTCTTTGACGCAGCAGCCCTCTTCTTCTTCTTATTCTCCTCGACCTCTTTCGCCAGTTTCTCCGCCTCTTTGGCCTCTTTCCTTGCGCGCTTCACGCGCTGCTCTTTCCTCTTGTCGGTTTCCTGGGAGTAGCGCGGATAATCTTCCGCTTTCCCATCAGCAATGGCTTGGTCAATGATACCCCGGAAGCGAGCATCGTCATCAAGCACATTCGACAGCATGACCGAGTCATAAACGCCATCCATATCGCCCTCGTGCGCGTCGTAGGCCGCCAAAATATCTTTCGTCTCCTCGTCCGAGCCCTTGTATTTCTTCCGAAAATCGTCGATCGCGCGCGTGTCCAGCATCGCGGACAGCTGCTCGCGGTAGAAATCCATCCAGTCGAAGTCGCCATCTTCGCCGAAGACCTCGTCCGTGCTGCCGGTGCGGTCGTACACTTTGCGTCGACGCTCGTCTGAGAGGACGCTGTAGGCGAGCGCGATTTGTTGGAATTTGGCGTGTGCTGCGTCGCGGGTGTTTTCGCTGGCCTTGTCTTTTTGAGAAGTTAGTTGGTGTTTGGAGAGAGTGTGCTTTGTTCGTACCGGGGTGGTGTTTGAGGGCGTTCTTTTTGTAGGCGGTCTTGATGGCCTCGGGGGTGGCGGTGGATTCCAAGCCCAGGATTTTGTAGAGATCTTCCTCTGCCTCGGGCATTTGCCCGTCCGAGCCATGTTGTGGCTTTGCGTTCGTCATTGTGGTGGTTGAGAGCAGAAGTTGTCAGTGTCAAGTTACGCGCATTCTGCTTCGACGCGGCGCGCATTCCGTCATCGCTCCCCACCTTAGTTAACTAGTCCACCTTGACTATAGCTCTGACTACCTTTTCTCCCTCTCCCTCTCTCTTCTCTTCCTCAACAACACTTCCAAAATATCCCACCATGCCATCCCCCCATGTCCCCTACATCCGGCAATGCCTCACCCTAGCCGAACAGTCGCCTCCACGCCCGACGAACTTCCGCGTCGGCGCCATCCTCATCTCCCGCAAAGACGACGACCCCTCCATGTCCGACGACCGGATCCTATCAACCGGCTACACAATGGAACTAGCCGGTAACACACACGCCGAACAATGCTGTTTCGCCAACTACGCATCCGTGCACAGCGTCCCCGACGAGGAAGTCGCCTCAGTGCTCCCCGCCGAGCCGGGCCGGACGCTAGTGATGTACGTGACGATGGAGCCGTGCGGGAAACGGCTGTCTGGGAATGCGCCGTGCGTGCAGCGCATTATCAACACCCGCACGGGGGGTCGGCCGGGAATTCAGAAGGTCTTTTTTGGGGGTCAAGGAGCCTGGCACGTTTGTGGGTCAGTCGGAGGGGTGTCAACTGTTGACGGAGGCTGGGATCGAGTGGGAGCATATCTCCGGTTTGGAGAAGCAGATCTTGACGGTTGCGGTGGCGGGACATGAGAATCCGGAGGAGGAGATTAGGGCTGCGTTGGGGGATCCGGATGCTAGTGAGGGGACGAAGAGCAAAGAGGACCAGCCAAGGAATCCGAAGAAGAGGATGATGGAGGGGGAGACGATGATTTATTAGAAATAGTCTGTTGGTTCTAGCTGTGGTGAAACGATCTATATGCAACGAGCGGTTGAGAGCTGGCCTCAGACCTAAGCCTTCGCAACACTGCCAGCCAGATAGCTAACGAATAAAATAAAAGCAATCAATGATCACTCAATGACTTGAATTAACTACGGCAACTATTGTCCTGTCCTCACTTCCTTGTCCATCGACTGTTCCGGTTGATATACATGGACCCCCCACGTGACGCGGTCCCTTCTTCCTTTTCAGCCCACTTCGTCCATAACCACAACACAACACACCGCGCCCCTCCAAACAGTATACCACGGAAGAACAGCAAGAAAATGACCCCATGGCGACACTCAACAATGCGGGCCTGGTCTTCTACCCCGCATTCTGCTTCAAGGCCTCGCCAACCCACTTCGCCTGGGTGAAGATGGCAGCTGTCGACGTGCATCGATTAAGGAGACAGCGCGGGTTCGAGGGTGAGTTCTAATACCTTATTTTTTAAATGAGTTGGATTGCATATTCTTGTCTGTTGCATCTTTGTATACATCTGTGCTTTTTTGGCGATGATTTCTGTCATATCATTGGCCTGAACACATGACTCTTTTACTTCTCCATTGTTGAATATCTAAACATAATTCCCCAGGTCAAAATATCTTCTTTTACCATAACCACCCCATCCGCTTCGTCAGCCTCGTCGGGCTCATCGTCGCCCGCACGGAGATTACGCGGCGCACGATCCTGACGTTGGACGACAGCAGCGGGGCCACCATCGACGTCGCCATTTTGCACGCAGATCCCAAAAAGAGTAGCGCTACCGATGCGGCAGCACAGACAGTTGCAAAAGCAGGAGCCACAGAAGCACAAACAGCTTCCTCTACAGCAGAAGACCCACCCACTGTAACAACAACGCATATCTCTGCAACAGAACGTACAGAGCTAGACATCACAACCCTCGTCCCTGGCACAAGCGTCCGAATCAAAGGGACGCTCTCGCAATTCCGATCACGGATGCAACTCAACCTAGAGCGGTACGAGCTAATCCACGACACGAACTCGGAGATGGAATTCCTGGACTCGCGGTTACGGTTCCTCGTCGAAGTCCTCTCCAAGCCGTGGGTCCTGCTCGATTCCGAGATTGAAGATTTACGCATCGAAGCGGAACGCGATGGGATGAAGATCGGGGAGGAGAAACGCCGTGCCGAGAAGCGTGCTAGGAAGCGCAAAGAGCGCGAGGAGAGAGATCAGAGGCTTATTGCGAGACGGTATGAGAAGGAGGAGAGGAGGAGGGAGCAAGAGGCTGGTGTGCTGAGGGCTAGGGGGGAAAGGCTATGAGGGAGATGAGGCAGCAGAGGGATGGAAGCCTTTTGAAATGAATCCTGTGTTTATATCATATCACATCATGAACGCATTAAATTTTGTGCTTATTCTGAATGGAAAGAAAAAGGAAGAAGAAAACCTCCCCATTATTATAAGCATAACGTCAAGGAAAAAGGAACCAAGCGCCAAAGAAAGGATATCACCATGCACGCAACAGAGCACAAAACGCCAAGCAGATACGCAGTGCTCGCAATGCCCAAAAGAAAATGTTAACGATAATATCTCTCATGAACCGGGCCGCCGCCTTGCCCACCGAGCATACCGCGATAGTATTCGTCTTCGCCAGCACGACTTCCACGGTGCGAGGACAAATGATCTCGGGAATGAGCCCCCGAGTCAAAAGGGAGGGTCGACGACGGGGATTCCGAGTAGAGGTCGCCTCCCGCGGAGACGCCGGCGTAGCGGGGGATATGACCATCCCGGCCGAGGAGGTCACCCTCCGAGCGACGATACTCGCTGGGATGATTGACACTGCGAGAAGAACTACGGGAGCGGCCGTGGTGTGCTGGGATCCGGTGTGCGGAGGGAGGTTGGGTTTGGACGGAGCCCGAGCGCGCGTAGAGCGGATCTCGGTCTCGGTCGTACAGCTCGGATCGGCCTATCGTGTCTGGGCGAGAGGTCGTCGAGAAGGAACCCGTGGAGTTGCGCGGGGATTGGAAATCGTCGTAGACTTTTCCGCTACCCGGCTGGACGCTATAGGGTTTTCGTTCGCGTTCGATTGGGGCCGGGGAGATGGTTTCGTCTTCGTCGTCGAGGACGGCGGAGGATGACGATGCGGAGGGCGGGGGGCGGCCTCGTTCGTATGATGGCATTCGTTCCATGGAGGGTGCAGACGCTGGGGTTGGGGTGGGGGATGACTTCGAGGCAGCCTTGGACCGTTCTTCTTCCGTGATATGAGGCAGGTCGACGCCGCAGTGCTTAATGATGTATTCCTCGGTCTCTTCTCGGAGGTCCAAATTACCCACCTTGGGGAAGAGCTGGCGGGGGATTTCCTTGGGGAAGCGTTCTTTCTTGTCGTCCGGGTTGTTGATGGGCATGTTCAGCACAGCCTTTTGGAGGCGCTCGTACTCGCGATCTGGGTTGGCTAGGATCATGAGAGTAAGCCATTTCTCGAATCCCCTTGGTGTGAGGCCTGGGATGTCGGGTCGTTCGTTGAATTTGTTTGGCGCCTGTACCAAACAGTGCTCTGCTTGGACCACACGAAACAGTCGGGAGATGGAGGATGTGCGGTCATCAAAAATGTCTGAATTCCGTTAGAATTTTCCTTGACTGGACAGTTGGTCGACATACCCTGCCACGGATAAGTATCCCACGAAACATGAGTGTCTTTGTAGAACTTCTGCAACTTGTCCGGGACAACGACAAGAGTATTTCCGGGTGGATAGTCCTCGATCTGTACCAAGTTAGCCAAAATTCTTCAATGAAGGGAGAAAACCCACGCACCAAATGCATAGCAATTCCCCTCAAAAACTGCCCCAATCTCTTCGTCGGCTTCCCATCCTCAAACAATTTCCCCCAGATTTTCTCAAGTGTAGTCATTTCGATGGCAGTCGCGTCCCTGTCGGGCGGTTTCGGGCGATAATCCGTCTTCGCGCTACGCGCACTGCCCTGGCTGGAAAGCGAGTTGCGTCGATCTGCTAAAGGGTCGGGCGACTGCTTAGGACTGGGACGGACGTCGCTCGCATACCCCGATGGTGGTGGGTAGGGATTGTACTGTGTGTCAGCATGGCTATGGTGAACTGACGGTGAAGCCATCGAATGAGGCGAATCTGGCTGTGTACGTAGCGAACTTGGCTCTGCTGACGGCCATGTCGGTGGTGGTGGTGGTGGTGGCTGCTGCTGCTGTGGCGGCGGCGGTTGGGACTGCGATCGAGAAGGGGATGGTTGGAAGTTTTCCAGGCCGGTGGCTTTCAGTTGCTGGATCACTGTCGCCGTGATCTGAGTCAGGACCTCAGGGGACAGGTAGGATGAGGTGTCGGCCTGGTGAACAGCGGAGCTGACGGCCTCATTGATGCTGCCGGGATGCGGCGCTGCGGGCGGCGGCACCTGGGGATGGGGCATGTCGATTTGATCGGGCGCATACTGCGAGGGATATGGAGGAGCGGGTGGATGCTGGTGGTGGTCCTGGTATGGATCGGGAGGCTCATCGTATGCCATGACTTGGGACACGATGAGACTGAAGGGAAGGAAGTTGGTCCAAACAAGAAAAGTAGAAACGAAAGAAGAAGAGGGGCTGTGGGGTCAAGTCGATCAAACAACCTTGCAACAGGACGTCACTCGGTGGCACCCCGATTCATCATCTTGTCTGGGATCAACGTTTTCCCAAGTGTATGTCATGTCTCTCAGTGGCTCCCGCCAAAGATAGCAATCTATATTATCTGGTTCCGGTGGAGCCAACGGGCACCACCGATGTCATACCCATGGATCCTCTGTTATTGTTGTCCCGGACGAAAATAGAATTTGCATTTACTATGCTAATGAGAAGAGCCGAAGAAAAGTCGGCGTGAAAAGAGAAAAGAAGAGAAAGGACCGTTTCAAAGGTAGTCAAACGCCTTCATCGAAGTTTCCAGCGCATCACCCATATCCTCCTCCATGCCGTGGCAATCAGACCACTCCGGCTCGGCGACGGGGGCGCGCTCCTCCTTGGGCGGTTTGTAGGCCTATGCCAGAGTGAGTATCTTGCCAGGACCAAAACTGTGAGCCTCACCTTGATCCGCGCAAACCCTGACTTGCTGGCGTGGCTCTCCGATCGCTCCGAATAGGTCGTACCCGTCTCGGTGGTCTGGACGCTGCGGTTGCTGCCCTGCAGCACGAGGGCCATGGACTTGTTGTCATCATAGTCCTATGTCTTGATTAGCCTGGGTAGATGATCGGAAAGTCGCCGCGTACAGTGCTCTCTTCAAGCAGATTCTGAGTCCTGGAGTGCGTGTCGTCGGTGGCACTGTCACGCTGGGGCGCAGAATCGATGGCAGCTTCGAGGGTCTCAACCTCGTCAGCGTGGCTGAAGCTCATGCAACGGAAGCAGATCTAACCCAGGATTAGCAAGCTGAGAGATATGGTTTTCAAGCAACATACTGGGTGTTCGCGCATCCGCTGGTTCCGGGAGAAGTCGTCGATGCCCTGAAAACGACCACAGAGGTGGCACTTGCGCTCGCAAATCACAGAACTGGCGCAGGGGGTACACTTGGCAATGTCCTGCTGCTTCAAGAACTGGTAGCCCTTGGCCGCGACGGCGTTGCGCAGGGCGATGAGTTGACTCTTCGAAAAGGTTTCCTGCGGGCAGGGCTGTTTGCAAATCGTGCACATGAGCCTTATGATAGTGAGCATGAAGGAGACCGATATGGTGGAGGAGAACTTACTCGGGAGGCAGCTCGATGGCTTCCACCCTGTGGATGTCTGGGTCAGAATGATTGGGTCCATGAGAAATGAGTGACTTACTCGCGCTGCAGCGAGGCACTCCAGCCGCCCGAATACGGCGTGTACTTTCGGGGCATCTTATTTTGATAGTTGAGCAAAGGGTAGATGGTTCTGTCAGAAGATATCGGTCGTCGAGAGGAAGAAAGCGAGAGGGGAGAGGATGGGTCTTTCGGGAGAGGCGGGTGGGAAGGAAGAGGAAGGACAGAGAGAAGAGAGGAGATATGAATGAAGTGGTTGAGTTGAGACAAACAATAGAGAGATCGAGTTGGGTGTGTCTTCCTGCGAGGTGCTTGTCAATGGCAGTGGCCAGGCATATAGTACACTGGCACTTGCCCAACACACGCTATAGAGCACCTCTGTGAATATGGCCTTGTACATAGTAGAAGGCTCGCAATAGCAATACTGGATGTTCAGATTAGCCATGTTCTATACAATCTGAATAAAGAAGAGCCTTGAGTGCATGTTGGTATTGAAAAGCCTGCCAGGCAGTTGGTCTTATAGAAACTAGATATATATCCACGGACCACGCCTGCCCGGTTTGACCTGCATTCGATACACTTTGGTGACAGCCAAATATATACCACTAGGTATTATAGCATGCTCATTCTGAGAGTACTCAGTCTTAAAATATTTGATCTCAGATGGTAAGGGTTGGTTGCAATTGGCGTAGTACTCGACTCCGGTAGAGCTAGCATTGTTGAAAGCGCACCCTCTGCCAGTCCAAGAGAAACACAAAGACAAAACAGTCCACAGACCCAACTGACAGCATACGCACTTGCAATCTCTTCCATAGTTTGTCTCTAACAGCCACACCTCCAAGTAGATGATGGCGCGGGACGGTCCATTTCCGAAGCAACCAGAAATTTACGGAGCCCAGCGCCGCGTCACCAAAGGGAAATTCTCCGAAACTGACCTTCCGGATTGACAAAAGCTTGGAGACGGTTACTGCAGTGACCACCCATCCCTTCATCCCTCGTCCGGTCCGCCGGAAACTATCTGATCTACCCGAACCATTCCCAGGGGGGCGGGCGCACGAGGCCAACATTTAGGCTCCTTCTGGATTTACATAAAAAAGGGGCGTGTACTCGGCGTTTGGTGTGGGCCTATTGCCCACGGTCTAAGTTAGTCCGCATGGAGTTATGGAGTTATGGAGTCGCTCCAATTGCCCAGTGGTCCATGTATGGACGCTGGCATCCTGACAGGGGCAACTAGTAGCGGGACGGACCACCCTCGAGCCATCACGTTAGCAAGTGGAGAGAGAGAACAAAGAAACGGACGGGAGAGTCACGGCGGGAACAAAGACGATCAGACCAGCTCGTGCGTTCCCAAGGTGGTCTCGGCGCAGGGTAAGGTTAATGATCCCAGATTGGACCGCGTTGGCCGCGGAAGCCCTTCTCGAAAGCCGAAGGAACACGACGGCGCCTCCCGGGGCTCCGGCAACGGTCTCTTAATTAATTAAATAGTGCCGTGGCCAGTAGTGAGTGGGTTTAGCGATCAGCGCTCTGTTTTGCCCCCTGGACCTTTGTCCACACGGTTGTCCACTCTTCTTCCTTTCGGGGGACGGCGGAACTCCACCGCGTTGGGAGAGAGTGGAGTGTAGAGTCCAGCCAGCGGGATGGCGCTTGCCCGATTCAAGGTTAGCGGTATTGATCCCGAGTCAATACTCAACGCGTCCATCTTGGGGAACGCTCGATACGTACACGCGGTGTTCTGATCATTTCCTTCGCCCCGTTTCGCGCTGTTCCTGGTGCCCAAGGACCCGTCTGGCTGGGTTTGGGCTAACTGTAGTGGGGAGTGGTGGCTGGACTCTTGCTTTTTCCGAGTAGGTTCCCGGCCCACGGTGGTGTTCTCAGTCGGTACGGTCGTGGCGTGGGTGTCCACAGCCACCAGACCGTGAGGTCTGCCTGGGTAGGCCGTAGAAAGAATCATCCATCGAGGGCTTTGAAGTAGATGGATCCTGAGGCTGCGAGGGCATTACGTCGGTCGGACAGGAGAGTGTAGCATCTGCACTCACGAGGCTAGCTAGGCTGGGCAAGATCCTTGCGGGCCAAACGGTCGCCCCAGGGTTCGTCGGGTCGGTCTGACGTTTTGCACCTCTGTATTTACCAGGTCCGTAAGTTACACCTATTGTTTTATTAATCTTCGCACTGGTATTTCTGATCGTTCTCAAAAATGGGGGTTGGCTCATGCATCAGATGCAAGTCCCAGCCACTCGGATCCATCTTGGGATACGAACGCATCTATCATTTCGACCGGGTGATTTGTTAGATGGGAGCGTCTTCTGTAGCACAATGACCGCCCGCTGGGAGGGATGGTCCTTGCACCGATTGACCGATCCAAAGTGGTCTGGTTCGGCCAGCAAAGACGCGGCGGGCCCTAACTGTGCCCTGGCCACCCGGTGCTGCCCAACTCGAACCACACACACCACTGAGGCATTATTTGGGGTCTCCCATCAGTAGGAAATAACGATCAATGGCATCGGCCCAGAATCATCTTCTTTCGTCCCTGACAACCGCTCGACCCAAACAAAGGGGCTACCAGACTCGGGGATCCATTGGATGGCGCGGGTGAACCCGTCGACAGGTACGATCTGCGTAAATTACCAGTCTCCACAAGATTCGAAGCTGTCAGCGCGGGTCAGGGGCTTGCCTTCCTCTTCTCGATCAACGAACGAAGAATACATGACCTGCCTCTCCCTCCCCCCCCTCCTCTGCGATTTCTCCCTCCTACCCTATCCCATCTTCCCTCTTCCCCCCGAGACTCTCCCAACTACTTCGTCACTCTTTAACAAATGGGCGCAGTCTCCTTATTCCCGACTCCCCAGAGAATGAGCACCGTTGCCAATTATTAATACATACACTCCTGGGAACCCCCAAAAGCGTGAGAGCCTATACATCTGTTCTCGTCACGGGATCTGCGCGCATAGACTGACTGCAGACCAGCCTCCCTTTTCTCTCCCTCGCTCCCCCTCCCTTACTACAACTCATACACGCTCTTCGATCTGCTGGCAGACCGCAAAACACACAATGACCGTCACATACGAGTCGCCCGCCCGGGGCGCTCAGGCCTCAATGGCCACTCTCGAAGACCGCTTCGAGGTGATCAAGGAGGTTGGTGATGGCAGTTTCGGTAGCGTGGCCGTCGCACGTGTGCGCACTGCAGGCGCTCATATCGCGCGGAGAGGCACGATGGTAAGTGACACGATGTTGGGAGTGCGTGTGGAGCGAACTGGCTACTGACCCGCTGTCGGTAGGTCGCGATCAAAACAATGAAGAAGACATTCGACTCGCTGTCGCCATGCCTCGAACTCCGAGAAGTCATCTTCTTGCGCACATTACCCGTGCACGCTCACCTGGTGCCTGCCCTCGATATCTTCCTCGACCCGCTTTCGCGCAAACTGCACATCTGCATGGAGTACATGGACGGCAACCTGTACCAGTTGATGAAGGCCCGCGACCACAAGTACTTCGAAGGCAAGCATGTCAAGAGCATCCTGTACCAGATCCTGTCGGGATTGGACCACATCCACGCACACCACTTCTTTCACCGTGACATCAAGCCCGAAAATATCCTCGTGTCCACTTCCGCTCCAAACGACTCGGCTTTTAGCCGCTACTCCAACCTTGTTACTCCTCCTTCCACTCCTCCGACCTACTCTGTGAAGATTGCCGACTTCGGTCTTGCTCGCGAAACTCACTCCAGACAGCCCTACACCACCTACGTGTCGACACGCTGGTACCGAGCACCTGAAGTTCTTCTGCGCGCTGGGGAGTACTCGGCTCCAGTGGATATGTGGGCCATTGGTGCCATGGCGGTCGAGATCGCTACCCTCAAACCTCTTTTCCCTGGCGGCAACGAGGTAGACCAGGTCTGGCGCATCTGTGAGATCATGGGCAGCCCCGGGAATTGGTATAGCAAGTCCGGCGCGAAGGTTGGTGGCGGTGAATGGCGTGAGGGTTCGCGCCTGGCCAACAAGCTCGGCTTTACGTTCCCCAAGATGGCCCCTCATCCCATGGAGAGCGTGCTCCAAGCGCCTCAGTGGCCGACCGCCCTCAGCGAATTCGTTACGTGGTGTCTCATGTGGGACCCAAAGGTACGGCCAACTTCTACCCAGGCATTGAACCACGAGTACTTTGCCGATGCTGTCGACCCGCTGCGCCCCAAGTCGTCTACTTCCTCGCGGTTGCTGGGCCGGAAGCAGTCCGACAAGGTCTTGAAGTCCCCGGCGCGGGACCCCTGCGATTCTCCCACGCTCTCGTCGAAGCCGTCGTGGTTCCGGAGATCCTTGATTGGCCGCTCGGATAGCCCTGCACCGACCATCGAGAACGACAGTCCGTCTCGGCCGCCTGCAGTGTCGTACAATACCGTGCCTGACCTGCAACCCGTAAAGGCCCGGCCACCAAACAACAAGCGAGCCACGTGGACCAACGGTGCCCCGATGCCCATCCTGCCTTCTATCCGGCCGGTGTCTCCTCTGTCCAACGCCGTCACGGCGCAGGCCACCCACTCGACGGTGGCTCAGACCAAGGCATCAAAATCGACAGAACAAGATGTCGGCAAGAGCAAAAAGATTGGTCGTCAACTGTCGGTCAACTCCAATGGCAACCATTATGCAGATATCCACCGCCAGGAGGCCGAGAGGATGCTGATCGGCTCGGGCAACGCCTCGAACACCAAGGAAAGCTTCTTTTCCCATCTGCGCAAGCGCGCGCGCCGGTTATCAGGTCGCAATCAGGTCACCGCTGTTCCTGACGACGTCGAAGCCAATGCAGGCTGTATCCCGTGGTCGAACCGCTCATCCATGGCATTGGACGGAGCCAACCCCGGTGACGCCAAGTCATCCGACCTCAGCGAGCTGGATAAGGCTCTTCAGAGCGTGAAGTACTCTCTGGACTCGTCCTCTCTCGGCAATGTCCCAGTGCAATTGAACTCTGGCGTGGAGGGCACCCCCATCAAGCGCCAATCAATGCCTCAGACTACCAGCGCTACGGGCGGCCCGATCTCAAGCCGGACCCGCCGGGCTCTGCAGATGTCGACGCACCCGGTTCACCGCTATGAGACCCCCGAAGAAGAAGATGAGCTTCTTGACGAGGTGCTGCACTCGGCCAGCAAGGCAGCCAGGCGTCTGGCACAGACCCAGTCCCTAGCCGTCGACCCGACCACTGCGCACCAGTATGAAAAGAACCGTCCACTCCCAAGCCCATACCCTACTCCTTCGCCGACGGCCAAGGATAGCTCGCCCTCGTTCGACACCAACACGTCTACACCGTCCAAGTCTACCAGCAAGATGGACTCGATATCAAGCCGCCAATGGCCCACTCCTCCCTATGAGGAGACGGAGTGGACCAAAAAGGCTCCCACTTCGCACTATTTCACTCCGGAATCCAACTTCATCTAAGCAGAAACCACCATTCTCTATCACCCTTGCCACACCAACCAGAGACAAAAACAATCTGGCGAAATTGCACAAAAAACGAATTCTTGATCCGCGTTCTTGGCGTATGGATTTCAGTCTTTTCTCTCTCACCAAGGTCTTCTGGTGTTTTTATATCCGTGGGGCATGGGTTTTCATTCGGTTTTTTCCTCCACTTCTTCATACCCATTTACGGTTTTTTTCCTCCCTTTTATAGACTTATTTTGCCCGGATTTACCTGGAGTCGTTTTCCCGCCCGTGATCTGCGTTTGACACATACCCATTTCTTTTTCTTTCTTTCACCATTGATACCACAGCGCCAGCCGCACTATACATCACCGTTTCCTTTTTCTGTCACCTCTCCCATACACACAAGCTGTTTTTTTTTTCATTTGTCCATACACTTTCGACCGTTCTTTGTCTCATCCTGTACATTGCCTAGGCATCCGCCTCTTTTCCTTCCTTACCTCTTCTTCGATGTACACCTACCTCTGGCGTTTGGCCTGCTTGTCGCTCTCTTTGCATCATCATCATTGTCTTGTCTTGTCTTTTTATCTCCTACACTACACTGCAAGAAGGACTAGCTGGGTTCAGTCCGTTCTATACTCTGTTGTAATATAGTATTTCCCCTCCGATTCTGGCTTCATCGCGTTGATGGCCAGGTATATATATCATACCTACTCATACCTACTTATACATACTTTGATATCCATAATATTTATTGATTCGAATCTCTTCCACTCTGCTCTTGAACGAACATTCGTAGTGACCGGGGATCACCAACGGTCTGACTTGGGAGCGGGTATACCACAGGGATGACTAGGCGTAGGGGTCCATGAATATAGTAATGATTTATCCGACGCCTCAATTATAACACCATAATACAAGTAAAGTCATGCCCCTCGCTTCGCTCGGTGTACTGTGTACAGGTTGATGTGATAATCAGCTCATCTCGTAGTTCGGCACCGGAACAACAATTACCCGTGAATATCAAGATTTCCCAATAGAGCATCTGAACTTCTTCTGCCTTACTCGCCCAATTGAAGTGCTGCTGCACTGGTTACCTGCCACCTACTGCACCTATTCCTTCACAGTGTCATGGCCGCACAACAAAAGGCCTCGTCGGCCTCCCAAACCCCCCACCTCTCCCCCGCCGAGCTCTCCTATCTGTACACTTCTCTCTCCCTCCCGCAAAACCCAATCCGACCAGACGGGCGCTCTCCAACACAGTTTCGGCCCTTGACTGCCGAACCAGATATCCTCCCGGGCACAAACGGGAGCGCGCGCATCGGATTCGCGGACGGGACGCAGGCCGTCGTGGGCGTCAAGGCTGAGGTCGAGAAGACGGTTCTCTCGGCAGATACCCTCGACGCAAGCAATCTTTCACAGCAGCAGGGGGATTTCGCGGCCAACGAAGATCGCGACGGCCGCGAGGGAACTGGATCGGCGGCCGTTGCGGGGCATGGGTCTTGGGTTCAGGTGTCTATTGAGATCCCCGGGTTCCGAGATGATGATGCCCTGCCGGTCTTTCTGTCGGAGATGATGCGCGAGTCGCTTGTGGGTTCTGTCGCTGGTGGAAATGATTCCAGTGATGAGATGGCCGGTGGGCTTAAAGGGAGGTTGGTTATCAATAAGCGGTGGCATTGGAGGTTGTACATCGATGTAAGTCTCTCCTTTGAGGTTTGGTCTGAAATTTGCTGACAATACTCTACATAGATTCTTCTTCTCTCCCAGCCATTGTCATATCCTCTCCCACTCCTATCACTCACCACTCACCTCGCACTACTTTCCACAAAACTCCCAAAACTCAAATCCCAAGGCGAAGAGGACCCATTCTTCGACGACGACTGGGCTGTCGCAGAGCACCTGTACCCTCGGGGGACGACGAACTCCACCTTGAAATTGAGTTCATCAGTGCCTCAAGTCCGCCCACCGATTACCCTGCTTGTCATCTCAGTCGGCGAGAACACCATCTTCGATCCCAGCCGCGAAGAGATCGCCGTCGCGGACGCCGTGTTGGCTATTTCTGTTGCCCGTGACGGCGGTGACAAGAACCTGAAACTCCTTTCTATTCGCACCGTCGATCCGCCCTCGCGATTGACCCAGCCTGGAGTCCCAAACTCTGAGAATGTGAATGCGCTCGGTGCTACTGCGCCGACGGAAGATGTGGGCGTTTTAAATCCTGCTACCGGCGAGGAGGAGGTTCCTGGCGTTTGGCGTCCCCGACGAGGTGGTGTCAAACGCAGCGTTATTGCGCAGATGGTCAAGACAGTCCTTAAGAAGGGTGGCGTGGGCGAAGAGGTTCTGGAGGGATTGGAGGGTGTTGATGTTCAATGAGTATGAGTATGAGTATGGGGAATGGCATTCAGTGTTTTATGAGCATATCGGAGTCTAAGGTTTCAGGGAATACACAAAAGCTTTCTTCTAACAATCTAATATACAAACCAGATGGACTGGCGGTGTATGCACAAGCTCTCCCAGCACCGAGGGATTCACCAAATCCCCAACCACTTCTTGGCAGGCTTCTTATTTCCCTCCCAATCAACATACTCCGCCGAGCTCTTCTCTGTAGCAATAGGCGACTGATCATCTTTCAACGCACCCTCACCGTCTTTCTCAGTTGGCTCCTCCAACCCATGCGCCACCCGATACTGGCGCCTCTTCTCCGCATCGTCAATGCGGCGATGCCGCTGTTCGCGAACGCGCATCGACTCATGCTGCACATGCATGCGGTACACCGAGAACGCCTGCGAGAGCGTATCGATCGGGTGGGGTAGCAGGTTGGACCAGGGCGGGAGGAGGTGCGCGAAGGGCGAGTTTGCCTTGAAGTTGGTGGTGAAGGTGAAAGTCGCTAGGGCTGTGAGGGTGCCCTATTTATTCCAGAGGGTCAGTATACCACAACGATTATGGGTCATGTATGGAGGGAGGAATTTACCATGGCAATCCAGATATGAATCCACCGGTTCGTCAGGAACTTGAACATCACCGTCCCCTCCGGCGGGAACATGTTCGGGTACTGTTTTTTGTTCTGGGCCTCGCGCTCTTCGGCTGTGAGTCGGGGTCCGTAGTTGATGGGTTGGCCGGAGCGCGAGGAGGGATTCACAACGCGGCGCTGGGGATGCGATGGCGGGCGGAATTTGTCGGGCTGGCCGAGGGTGCGGCTCTTGTCATGTTCCTGGTTCTTGGATTTGGCGAAGGTGTGTCGAGTGGAGGTGAAGGCGCGCGAGCTGGGTGTATTGAGGATCCCCTGTTGCTGGCGTTGGTGCAGGGTCCGTAGGACACGCGTAGATGGTAGACCTCGTGGGAGGAGAAATTGGGGGATTGGAGGTGGAGGCATCTTGACTGCCTTGGAGATTACGAGTCCGTCGTGGTTGACCGTTGTAGCAACGGGTGATTTTCAACTCTGCCGGGGTGCCTGAGGTGTCAGTGTTTACCGCCCTCAGATAAGTAGACCTCCCCGTTTGGGAGATCTACTTCAGTCAATAACACTACTCGTTCCTTTCGCTCCTTTTCTGTATGCTCTATCTGCATCTTTGGTTTCTGTCGCTGCTTCGACCTCTCCCGAGCTTTCCGATTCCTCTTGATTATACCCATGCAAAAAGTATGAGAACTTTTGTCTCAGGAATTTCATTGGTGTAACTATCTATTGATGAGTAGACGGCACAGAGCATGCGCCTGCCACACTTTCCCACCACAAAGATAAAGAGAGGAGCCAAAATCAGTCCAAGCGAGCGTGAAAAAGTATCATTGAAACAGCAACAACAGGAATGAGGGACATGTCATGCGATTATAACGACTCCCTCTTCTTTCTTCCTCGCTCCAGCGCATACTCCCTAAGCAGCCATGTTAAGGGCAGCACCGCAGAAGACCCTAACACGGCGCCAATAACGAGAAGAAAGAAGCAGTTCTTAAGCCTCCTAATTCCAGGAGCTTGGACTCTTTGAAGGTCCCAAATCGTGAAGGCACACCAGATGCAAATGCAAGGCGCCAAAGGGTCCTGTGGTGTGACAAGGCCAAAGATATCCGAAAGAGTCATTGTATCACCACGAATGATTGGAAGAGTGTGAAACAGGGACACAGCACCGGATAGAAGGGTCAGTAGCATCAAAGTCCACGAGATATACTCAATGTCGGTCCTTGTCTTATCCGTAGAATCTTCAGGTTGAGGTGATGACGGAGTTGCGAGCTTCGAAACTCCAAAGACCATTGCCGGATAGCATAGCAATGCCGTCTCCCAGACATAAGCCGCGTCACCGAGAGAGACTCTGTCATTGAGCAAGTGAAACGAGAAAGCCGTGGCCGGAATCATGGCAGTCAGTACAAGCGACCAGAAGCATGCTCGGGCTGTTAGTGTTGAGATCGCTCTCGGAATCGGGTAATAGAATGATTTTTTCTGGCTGATGAACGCATGGACTGATATGTACAGCGCTCCAATGACCTCATAGCCAAAGAAATGAGCCATGACTGTCCAAAAAATACCGCTGTAACCGAAGAGTTAGACTGGTTACTAGATGAGTTGATGTTACTTACCTGATAAGGGGAGTCATCACCGCACCAAACCGATACGATTCAATGGTCCATATTACTGTGAGAGCCAGTCTCAAGACCGTAGAACGGATCTGAGTATCTTCTAGCACTTGAGGGCCCACCGATGATATCTTCGATGCCGTATCCAAGGGCGAAACAAACTTGGATAAGATCATGGCACAAACAAGTAAAAATATGAACAGCAGCGTGTGACCTGATGTGCGTTGACGTGGCTTCAATCGTACTTCGTCATCATATCCCCATCTATTCTGTCTCACGGGTACTGGAAGGGCGTTCAATCGCGGCGCGGGACTGAACTGTGAGGCGATCTGATTCATTATAGACTCGTCGGAGAGTCTTGGGCTGACCACCAGTTGAATAAATCGGAGCACCCTATTTTCAAGTAGATGCATTTTTTGCATTTGGTGCGCTCCCTTATAACTCTCTGTAGCCCGGTCCTGTCGATTGCTTTGAAATTTCTGGAAGACTTCATTGACAGATGCATCGCTCGGACAAGGTTCTTTTTGCAAAGTCTCCGCAAGGATATTTGTTAGTGCAGCAGCGCTCTCAATTGCATGGCTCCCTCCAACGCCGGCCACTGGATGCATCTAGACAGCGTCAGGATCTATCAATCGAGCCGTCGATACTGAATGACCATGTATTCCATATTCGCGGACTTACTTTGTGAGCAGTATCTCCCAGAAGAACGATTCGTCCACCAAACCACTGTTTCAACACACCCTCCTCCAGTGTCAGCATGATTGAACGCGTCTTGCGTTTGTAGAGATCTCCGAGCGAGACTCCTTCAATGAGTTGGTCGTTAAAGTATGTCTTTACTAGCTTCTGCTCATCTTCTACCGTGTACCGTTTGCCGTCTGGCCCGGGTATGGGCTTTTCATTTGGCACAAAGAGGACCCAATAAGAGATACCGTTCAGACCTGGAGCCATAATATACGAGCGACTGGAGTTGACCGTCATATAGAAAGTATTCTGCCGCACTCGCGGGATGTTTGAAGAGGCGCCAAACACGCAGCTGTAGGAGCTGGATATGGCTGTTCACGACGTAGTTAGTAATGTTTGACTTGATAATCCCGATTCAAGGAATGTCTTACATTTTCCATCTTCTTCGCCCAGTAGATCCAATTTCTGTTCTCGTGCGATCCGCCACATCTCTCGTCTGACCATGCTGCGGACCCCATCCGCTCCCACGACAATGCTTCCGGTCCAGACAGAACCATCTTCAGTAAGCACTCTCGCCCCAGATTTAGTCTGCTCGACTCTTGTTACACGCTTGTTAGGATATATCTTCGATTTATCTTTTAGATTGCCGTATAAACAACGGATGAGGTCGCTACGTGCAAGCGAGGTGAGGCGATAACCTAGCCTGGTCACTTGATTAAGCTATGCACTCTCGGTAGAAGGGGAGTCAAATCTTGGGAGGTCCATTAAAACTGACCTGTCCACTTGATCATTTCCGTGATTCTCAAGATCAAGAACCACATTCCCGGTCGGACCACAAATGCGCAACGACTCAATCTCGATGGCACGTTCCATCACTGCATCGTAACAACCTAACTGATCTATTATCCGCATGCAGTTGGGCTGCATAGCCAAGACGTAACCTAGATCTGGTCCTATTGTCGATGATGATTCGAGTAACTCGTAGTCGATTTCATGTTGTTCGAGCATATTGGCCAGGGAGAGGCCCGATACGCTGCCCCCCACGATAAGGACCTTGAATGGAGCCATCGGGGCTTGCAGATTGCCGCTTGACGATGTGGGTTTTCTCTTAATCGGTGATGGATGACTGCGACCACGAAAAATGCCAGTCTGACTTCAGAATGAACGTTGGGTGTCAGCACAGTTCACAGAACATTCCGGAAGGGGTAGATGGGTCCGGGCAATAGGTAGTCACAAGTCCCAATTCTAGGGCTGTGTGCTGGAGTTCATATCATATACACCCGTATCGCGCTTTATATCTCAGGCAACAGGATTAGGCCTCCCATATCTACTGAAACGGCTGAACTTAGCCAGCAGATCAAATGGGGCCAAAATACCCGGTCCCAAGTTGGACCCCACAATGAGGATAGCCTGTAAAATTGCTTTATGCGATCGGAATTCCATGCAATTGCTGGAACAGATCCAGAAACGTACTGTTATCTGGCTCCTGGGGGAACCAGTCACAATTTTGGGGCTGGCTTGGAGACCGTGTTCGTTTCGCACCGGCAAACACCCTATTTTCGATGGAGACAGGCGATGCAAGTGGTGATAAAGATTGAGCCTTGATAGAGTCAAAGTCAAATATTATGTGATTTTCGAGTTGGCTGACTGACTTGATCAGCGCAGAGTCCGTCTGCAATGCGGGTTGCGATATTTATTCCAACTGAAAAAAAGGCAGGATCTCAACAAAAAGAAAACCAATTTCGTTTATTCGGTTGAGATTTCTGCTACATTGGTTGGGTATTTACCAACGACAAGATTGCATGGGGAGCCCGCTGTGCTATCGGGGGCTAGGGATCCAGAGCTTGTCGTTTTTGGTGGGGAGAGAGAGAAAAAAAAAAATGGAGGGGGGGAGCTTCTCGTTGTCTGGGGATGCTGCACATTACGTGATGCCTTGTAAATGCCTCTGTCTTTGTGTGTTGTGTCGGTGGTCCTACTGACCATGGTCGTGCAGTCCGTGGAGAGGGTGGTTGGTGTCCAGGCCATGCGGGACTTTTTTAAGCTCTCGCAAACCGATCACCACCATTACCAACAGCGGCGCTGGCGAAGACGAAATCAAACGGATGATGGCGAAGTACCAGGACAATACTTAGACGTTGAGCCGAATCGAATATTCGCAAATTGCGGACTTAGATGTATAAGGAATACCCAAGTCGTACGATATGCCTCACTCCAAGCCAGGCCTCTCTGCTTTGGCGGTGGGGCAGAGTAGTGTTGTTTTGCTGAATTTTCCCTTTTCACCCATAATGATTGGCCCCCCTTTAGCCCCCATCCATACATTGAAAGTGTTTGCTCTGGAGCGTGGTTTCTTGACCTTTTTTAGGGCCGAACAGAAGGATTGGTTGACATCGGGCTCCACTCATTCCTGGCACTATTCTCCTTCGGGTAATTTAGATGTCCCTGATGTCGATCTGGAGCCGAACTATTTATACACAATAGAGACAGGAAAGCGGTCTGTTTTTCGAGAGATGAAGGGGACTTGAGGAACATAAAAGAAGGGACATTGCTCCCTTTCTGAAGTACGCGCAAGTTCCTCTTTCGTTTTCACTTTAACCCTATCACTACTACTACTTTTTATTATACTACAACTTCTAGTATACCACTTACTCTGTATCCCGACGCCATGGGCTCTGTGACATACCGCGATGGCATTGCCATCATCCAGATTATCATTTTTCCCATGATTCTTGCCGGGGCTGTTCGCATCTGGAGACGGATGGGTTGGAACGCTGCAGCTCACTCATGGCGCTTCGTCGTCACCCTCTCACTCCTACGGATCACTGGTTCGATTTTTACACTATTGACGATTAGCCACGAATCGCATAGTATCGTTATCGGTGAGGCCGTATGTGAGCTGATTGGTATTGCGCCTCTTTTGTTGACCTACGTTGGACTGTTGGGACAAATGTGAGTAGTGAATATGTATTCCTTGGGCTTTATAGAGGCATACTAACAGAGATCTCTCGGCTAGCGATACAAATCACATCATATCCCCTAAGAGCCTGCATGGGGTGGCTATCACCGGCTTCGTTGGCCTCGTCCTCGGTATCGCAGGAATCAGCATGACTGATGACACCAAGGGCCCTTTCCATGCGAACGGCGTCGTCATGGGCGCCATGGGGACCTTCATAGCTGTGTTCGTCATCTTCACCGTGCAAGCGGTGTACCTGGCCATCAAAATGCGGTCTACAGTGAATAGGGCGCAAAAGAAGCTGTTCCTCGCTGTTGGCCTCTCTTGGCCATTCCTGTTAGTCCGGTTGGTTTACTCGTCAATCGGCGATTTTAGCAATGACGCTCGGTTTGCCATCCTCACAGGCGATGCCACCATCTATCTCTGCATGGATGTACTGGAAGAGATTGCCGCTATGGCCCTGTGTGTTTTCTTTGGCTTGTCGGCTCTGTTGCAGGAAGAGCCTAAATTGGTCGCTGATTACGACTTTACATCACAAATGGAGACTACTAAAGTATAAATACCCGTGCTTTCATGCAGGGCACAGGGCCTTTATATGGCAGAGGACTAGAAGAGAGGAGGGAACTGGAACAAGCAGGCAGTGGAGACTAGCCAAGGGGAGTTGCGGTATTCCATTTAAAGAGTGGAATTTTTATATTTTGTTTAAGGCGCTGGAGGCGTCTATTAAAATCATTTATTTCTACTTAATGTTATCATGTTCATTATCCCTGGCCCAATTAGACGTCGGCACATCCCGTTTGAGCCCGCGTCCCTACCCGCTCGGCTACTACGGGCCAAAACGGGCGATTTAGCAGTTAAGCATCAAAAATTCGTGGCCTGCATATTTTAAGCGTGCTTGAGGTATAATTAGTAGGTTTTGGCTTATAGGTAGGTCCCTGCGATCTGAATATGACCTACTTGTCTGCGTGCAATTGGATCTGCTCGCTTTTATAACGCTCTTCTTAAATATTACTTATCGCTGTACTAACACTCTATAGGTGCAGCACTGACCAGTTAGATGCAATGCATAAATATATTTATGCATTTGATTAGGCAGTAAATAGTAAGAGTCGGTGGATTTTTCAGCATGAAGAGTAATGATTAGGACTCTCTCGTACATCAAGGATCATCACAAAGTTTCAATTCGATGGCCTTGCCATCAAGCATAGTTCTAGAGAACCTTCTCGAGCAGCTTGTTTAGCTCCTGCACCACAAACTCCGGGTTATCTTTTTGCACAAAGTGGCCCGAGTTCGGCGCGAGGATGGGGCCTTTGCTAAACTCGGGTTCCGTGATCTTGGCCAGTCCCTCATTGTAGCGCTGCCAGTATGGGTTGACGAAGCGGTTGGTCACCGGCTTGGGCGGACCCATCTGGGCCGACTCCTCGGCGAAGGTGTCGAAGTCATGGCCCACTATCGTGACATAGGGGCCGTGGCCGTCGGGACCCCGGAGTAAGGGTCCGTCGCTGGCCGGCAGCAACTCGCGCAGGTTCCGCCGGCTGAGCCCTTCCTTGCTGCCGACGTCAGGATGGAAGACGCGACGGGTGCCGGCCCGCACAGCGCGGATGGCTTCCACAGGAATAGGGTGTATGCTGGCTGGGTCGAAGTCCGGGGCATCCGGGTCGGGGAAGACGGAGACAAAGTCAGAGTTGGCCAGGACGCTGTCCAGCAGCAACAGCGCAGCCACGGTACCGGAATATTCTTGAGCGTAGAGACGGGCCAGCGCGCAGCCGATGGAGTTGCCGACCAAGATTAAGGAGACGGAGTCCACGTCGGAGACGCCCAGCTTCTCGCCGGTAATCTGGATGAGCAATTGGCGCAGATCCTGCACGGAGGCCATGCAGTCGTGGCCGTGAGTGGGATCCTCTGCGCCAGCATCCTGGGGGTCGCGCTCGGTGGTCTGGCCTTGGCCGAATCGATCGTAGGTCAAGAAGGCGGGGAGGCTGCGACCATGGCGGAGTGCTTTTAGCTGAGCAATGACGGGATGCCAGAAGGCTTGGGGTAGTCCCAGACCGTTGAGGAAGACGACCAGCACTGGCGTGGTGGCCGTCTCAGGCGCTTGAAAGCTGTAGCTCAGCTGCGCCGAAGGCTTGGTACTGAGGGCAAGAAATTCAACGTCCGCCATCCTGGAGGTGGGAGCCGATGTTTTCAATGTTGGAGAAGCAGCAGGGGTGTGCGAGGGCCAACAAGAAAACAAAGATCTGCTTCAGACAAAGCTTAGTCGGTCGCCTGCGGCCGTTACTCGAGGTGTCCTGTCTGCACGACCGAGAGAGAGAGAAACGGGAAAGAAGTGCGAGAGAAACGAGAGGCGCAACTGACTGTGGAAGCGTGAAAGTAAATTTGCTCCCGTTATAAAGATTGCAGTCTTAGGTATGGGTAGAACGGAAGCTCTCGTCGTTACTTAATATTGATCAAATTCTTGAGATCGTAAGCCCCGTGGTTGGTGAGTTATTAGAAAAAAAGTTTTTCTGCAAAGAAAGATATGTTCTCGTTTTCTACTATTTTCTCACCTCCAAGTCGAGTAAAAGGACAAGTATTGCGAAAGTCCTAAGGAATCATGCGTTGATTGGTAGAGCATCTCAGATACCCAGATAAGACTAGCGCGCAGGCGTGGAAGCGGATCCAAGCTCGTTCCCTGCCCTGCTGCTGACAGCTCATTTACACTTAAAATGCAAAGAATTTTCCTAATGCGACGAGTTAGATGTTTCTGGCCCCCATTCGAATAACATTATTAGGCTTCATACCCCCATTTCGTAGTATCTTAGAAGGAATACTAGATTTGTTTCAGGTACTACCGACTGGTTAGGGCAAAATAAACATGGCCGGCCTCTCATACAAATCGGCCATGTGGTACACTAGTCTTTATTTGGAGGGTTGGAATTGCTTTAGCTTGAGTATACTTACGTTTGCCTCACCTTCTCTTTCCGCGAATCTAACAACAGCACATAGGGGTTGTCCGCAGTATTTGGTCTATGTCACTGCCCCCTCGTTGCGTATGCAGCTATTGCCGATAATCCAGCGACATCGCCACCCGCAGTTGCGGCTCTTCAATAGCTTGTGAATCCTTTCAACTTTGCAGTGGACTACATTAAAGGTCAGCGGGCAAAGCTAGACGTAATAAGGCAAGGAAAGAAGCCCAGGCAAAGCTTCTTGCTACCGATCCCGAAGGCTTGGAATATATTGATCATGAGATGGGCATCCGAATCCGTCCGATGTGACTGGAGTGTCATTTGAGCATATGCTGTGCTGGGTAGAAAACCGGGTTGCTGCTGGGGAAGGGCAGGGAGGAACACGGAAGCGTGTGTATAGCATTTTGGTGTACAATAAACTATAGTTTTATTGTAAAATAGAGTATATCGTACCCGGCTAAGTACTCAATCTGCCGAGAACAATCTGTTCGAGAAGCCGCCAATCTGTCCTCGGATCCACCCACCGGGGCACATTCGGGAAAGCGGAACGCGTGGGCAAATGAAAGCTGGCCCGTTTCAAATCTCTCCGGAAACCAAACAGGCCCCCTTTCAAGGTGTGAATTGGACCCGACAAAAGCAATTCCTGTTATGTAGACTCAGTGGGATCTTGCCATCGTTTCGGAACTAGTCGCCATTAAGTTCCCCTGGTCTCTGAGCGTGTGATCAGGTATGAGGTCATAGCACTATCGAAGGCCGGTTTTGGGGGTTTGGGGGTTTGGGGGTTCTAAGGGACTCCGAGAGACTCAATGGCTGGACTGTAGATGGATTGTGGCAGCGCCTGTTAGGTACCTCGACACCGTTCTCAAAAACTTGCCTCATAGTAAAGAGGTGCGAAAGCCGGTTTAATCTGTTTCGAACCGGTTGTTCCCGAGCTGAGAAATTATCCTAGCTGATTGGCCCCTACGGCTGGTCACGGGAGCCCGGCGCAGGGGAAAATAGTAACGAAAATCTTTTTTCCCTTTCTTCCAACACCTTCACGCTCTTTAGAAAAGACCTCTACCATTCTCCAAATCTCCCCCCAAGATCACAATCCATCACCATAATGGGTAAAGACGAGAGCTTCGCACCTGGTAAGTTGCACTCTGCTGCCCTTCCCTCACGATCGCAATTCGAGGTTCCGGGAGATGGGTTGAGGGTGGACCTGCTCATTCCCCTGCGGCGACACCATTGTTTGTTGGGATGGCGCGCAGCAGTGAATGAAGCTGGACAGTTGCCCTTCTTGGCTTTGTCCTGCCTCTTTGTTCTTCCCTCCAACCTTCTCCTCGCCACCCGCCTTGCGACTCGCTCCCAGCACTCCAACCCACGCCCTTGGCTCCGCCTTTGCACTCGCACTCGCTCCTCACCATGACGACCTTTTAAAGTCTTCTGCTTTATGATCGTTCTGGACATGCGCGAGGCCGAGCTCGAGGCGGACACCAAAGCCAAGGCCACCCCCCAAGACGAATCCGATCGCTGACCTGTCCACCCCAGGCGACTCCAAGAAGGGCGCCAAGCTCTTCCAGACTCGCTGCGCGCAGTGCCACACTGTTGAGAGCGCCGGCGGCCACAAGGTTGGCCCCAACCTGCACGGTCTCTTCGGCCGTAAGACTGGCCAGGCCGACGGCTACGCCTACACCGACGCCAACAAGCAGGCCGGTGTGACCTGGGACGAGAACACTCTGGTAGGTCCCCCGCACAGCCGCCGATTCGGCAGAAATGCATGCTAACCCATCCCTCCTACAGTTCAAGTACCTCGAGAATCCCAAGAAGTTCATTCCCGGCACCAAGATGGCCTTCGGTGGCCTGAAGAAGGGCAAGGAGCGCAACGACCTGATCACCTACCTCAAGGAGTCGACTGCATAGATGTGATACTATTACCAACGCACCGCTTTTCGTTCTCCTGGTCTCTCGCGAGGATACTCATAGATGTCTGGGAATTGGTTTTGGCGCCGTGGGCTGATTTACCGGGGCTTCGAGAGGGACACGGGCATGTACTATTATCTGATTACCATGGGTTGACCCGCAATAGATCTGATCGTTCTCACCTCTTTTAAATTTTATTATTATTATTTTTTTTTACTAGGTGCAGGTACTATACTTACTTAGTCCACTGGGCAAATTTGTTTGGGCCAACGAGCCTGTGGCGGTCAGGTACGCGCAGGCGACTTCCCTCGGAGGTACTGTCGTGGTTTCCCCACCCGCCAGTCCGCAGCCAAAAGATACTTATATAGTACCTGTCCCGTAAGTACCATCCCAGACTCGAGTCCCACGCTGCACATGACCCAACGAAGGAAGATGAGTGATTGGCCCAGCCACCTGAACTTGATACATCGAGCGGGAGGGGGACGTTCTTGTCTTTTCTCTTCTCTCTTCATGCTGGGCGCTTAACGGATGCTGCTGTCTTCAGACCTCATCGCTGCTCTCTGTTGGCGAATGCGACCATCACCGAGTCTCTCGTGTTTACATCGACTGCAGTATTCATCCTGATCGCTTTTGATCGCATCTCGGAACGTTGTACACCTCGCAGACCCCTCTATCGCAATCCTGTCTGCTGCAACCAGCGTATCCCACTCACTGCGCAGGCGCCCAAACTAACCGCCCACCTACAAAAGATCGCAAAACATTACCGACGCACTCTCTCACTCTCTGGCGCTAACCCTCCAGTCCGCCGTCCACCATGCTGGATGAGCTAGAGCAAGAGTTCGACGACCACCCGTCCTTGGATGTGTCGCTCGAGGACTTCGAGAACAACAGCAACCCCCACCGCTCCCCGGTCTTCGGGCTTCCGTCGCAGCACTCCGGGTTTCGATCGGAAGACTCAGAAGAAGGTGAGATCGATGACCCCGCTGCGGGAGAGCGCTGGTCGCCTCCCGGCCTGCGGCAGCATGACTACGTGCGAGGCAGTGGCTGGTATCGCCATCAGCCGTATTTGCACAAGCCCAATCCCAGTCTGGAGCTCAAGCCGACGATTGGGATGAGTCTTTCGCCGTCTATGTCGCGCGAGCCGAGCCCACAGTATGAGGATGCGTTGGAAGGAGATTCGAATGGTCATGATAATGGAGATGTCACTATCGCGGCCAATGTGCCACTTCCCAGAGGATCTGCTTCACCGCAGAAGGGTCGGTCACCGAGTCCGGGATTGCAGCGACACAGTCCCCAGGGTGATGAGTCGGACTTTGGAGGAGGTGGGAACCTGAGTAACTGTAGGCCCTACCTGATCTGTGTGTATGATTGAAATGTGCAGGAAATATACTGACACGAAAAGATTTCCGTTTCGCTGTTCGCGCCGAGGTTCAGCACCGCGAGCCCTTTGCTGCCATGTTTGGGTACTTGCGCACCCAGATTGAGCGCATCACCAGCACCAAGTCAAACACCACGCTTTCGGTTCTGATTGTTTTGGTGTCTGTTGCATTCATGCGTGCTCTACTCCTGCCTGGCTTGCCCCAGTCCATCCCTGATCTAGTGAAGCTCTCAAGCTTTGCACGGTCTTTCGAACCACTGATCTACTACTCCGAAAATGGCGTACAGCAGATTGGCACACTCCAAGAAACGGGCGTGGCCGTCTGGGATCTCAGCGAGTCGGTACGCGGCACCAATATGACCAGTGCTCCGATCATTGTGCGTCAACTAGACGAGTTGTCCGACTCGCTCAAATCGCTCTCCCTTGAGTTGACCCGGTTCTTTGCGAATGTTGACTCGGACATTGACTCGATTCTCATTGTGATGGACTGGGCGAAGCGCGAGCTTGAGACGCTGTCGGCGCAACCTCCAAGTACCTTACCGACTATTGTTTTCGACAATATGCACAACATGCTCTCACGGCTCGGCGCCCTGGAACACACCGTCCAAGTCTCGGACGGGCCGACGACAACGACAACCACCACATCATTGGGTCACTTCGTAATGGCCATCTTCGGTCCGACCTCAGCCCAGCGCACGCGCACCGCTCTCACACGAACCTTTACCGAATTTCTATCTGTGCTCGAAGAATCAATTAACAGCGAACTAACGCACTCCACCGCACTTTTCGCGCTCTTTGAATCAATCGACCGCCAGTTCCTCAACCTCCAACGCACCGTCGTCCGCGAGTCCGACGCCCAAGAGCGCGCAGAGGGCGAGATGCTCAGTTCCCTCTGGACTCGCGTTCTCGGTCCTGATGCTGCCGCCGTGCGCAAGTACGAGAAGAACAAGCGGCTTCTCGCCAATGTGCGCAGCCGCACCGTCGCGAACAAACACCTTCTCGTCGATCACCGTGGTCGTCTGCTGACTCTCAAGGTGAACCTGGAGACTCTGCGCCGAAAGCTGGTTAGCCCACTCGTGCGGCGCAATGACTCGGTCAGTTTCGTGGGTTCCGTGGATGGGAGCAACACTGCTAGCAGTGCCGGTGCACCGGGGCGTGCCCTCGGTGCCGTTGAGGCAGTGATAGATGGCCAGATCCGTGGACTGGAGGGCGCGTACGATTATCTGCGCTCTGTTCGCGAGCAGCAGAAGGCAAAGCTCTTGGAGATGGTCTATGGCGCGGGGAGGAAACCTCCACACTCTATGCTGGGCGGGCTGGATGGGCTGGAGGATGCTATTGAGGGCGTATAGGCTTGTTTCTGGTGGGGGTTTACTCTTTTCTGGCGTTCGAGGGAGGGCACCGATGGCACCGTGGGTTTGTCTTGCAGGGACAAAAGCAATAGACAGACGGCGCATAATTACTGTCTCGATGCCTCGATTGGGTTAGTTGGCGTGGCTTCTACTACATAGTATTTGTTTTCTAGTCATTTATTTGAATCCGATCATCTTGTCAAGGCAGAACATCCAGGGCTTTCTTTTTACCGTCCCGCCCCACCTCTTCCCCACGGTGCTTTTGAACGTCGATTTGCCGTAGATTAGTTAACAATCATAATGCCACAACACACTCTGCCCTCGGAAGAGGCCCTGAGAGAGTACTACGTCGGCAAAGACCTCAACGATGTTCCTAAACCATCCGCCGTGCTCGATGCAGCGATCATCAAACGCCACTGCGGGCAAATGCTCCGCACCATGAAGGCGCTGAACGTGGGATTCCGCGCACACGTCAAGACACACAAAGTAGGCAAATAACACCATCAATCAGAAGATACCCAAACTAATGAACTGCAGACTCGCCAAGTTGCAGCGCTACAAGTCGGAGATGACGAGAACAGCCCGGCCAACTTCGTCGCCTCGACAGTCTTCGAAATCGAATCGCTCCAGCTGCTATTCGCGGATCTGGGTCAACATGGCCGCGCAGTAAATGTGCTCTACGGCATTCCGCTGCCACCTTCGCAGGTGGAAAGACTAGCCGCGGTCGCAGCGCTGCTGGGCGAGAACAGCGTCACGGTGATGATCGATCATGCGGACCAACTATTCGCTCTTGAGAAATTCGCTGCCCTAACCGGCTTCCCTGCGTGTGTGTTTCTCAAGATTGATACTGGGTATCACCGTGCCGGGCTGCCGCCAGCCTCTCTCAATAAGAACGGATTGCTCGAGAAACTCGCCGCCGCAGAACAAGCCGGACATGCGAAACTCCTGGGATTGTATTCCCACAGTAGTCTCAGCTACGCGGGGACGACCGCTGACGAAGCTATGAACCATCTGTCTTCTGAGATTACGGGGTGCGTCGATGCACTGAAGCAGAATCGGCATCTCCTCCCGAAAGACAAAGACAGGGAGCTAGTTATCAGCGTCGGCGCATCGCCGCAGGTTGTCTCATCGCAGAATCTGGTAGCGGACGAATCGCTCAGCGCAGAGGCCCAGAAGCTGAAAGAGTTGCTGCGCAATCCGGACTCAGACCCGGACTCGAACGTCAAGATCGAGCTGCACGCAGGCGTCTACCCAGTCCTAGACATGCAGCAGCTCTCCACGAACGCCAGAGGACACGCATACGACCCCGAACACGAAGTCGCCATCTCCGTCCTCGCAGAAGTATGCAGCGTCTATAACGACGGCGAACGCTCCAAACCAGAAGCTCTCCTCGCAGCAGGGACGCTAGCTCTAGGCCGCGAGCCATGTCCCAGCTATCGCGGCTGGGGTGCTCTTTCGTCCTGGCGACAAGAAGCAAACCCAAGTTCCTCGGATCGGTTGATCGTCGATCGGATTAGCCAGGAACACGCTATCGTATCCTGGGAGCATAGCGCGGACGAGAAGATTCCGTTTCACGTCGGACAGACGGTCAAGATCTTCCCGAATCATGCTTGTATTACCAGTGCGTACTATGAGTGGTATCTTGTTGTGGATTCGGAGGCGGATGCTGGCGCCGCGAGGATTGTGGATGTCTGGGTGAGGGCTAGGGGGTTAGGAGGAATGCCGGATATGTTGCTGAATCCGCGACGTTAGTAGAGGGAGCTGTCGGTCCTATCGGGCAATTTGTTGGGGGCGAGTATGTAGCTAATCGTGGTATATCGATCTCGGGTGAGAATTCTAGGTTTTTAGAGTCAATATATACAGCATAGATGGCAAAATATCTGCCCGCTGTTTGAGCGTGTATGTACCTTTGAAAAATAGGACTGTTTCCCCAAATAGATTGGCCGGTAAATCCACATGCTTAGAAGTATATAACATCCAGTGACGAGAGCACAGTACAGTAGTGCCCACTCGTGTAATATTCAACCAGAAAACTCACATACATCGCTTTTCTATCTAATGCTATTATGTCTAGTTGTTATTTGTTAAAATGCTTGTGCTAGTATTTCCTGTGCGGAGTAAATGTGGGGTTGATCAGCATGGCCCAAGTCTAAGAAACTAAGAGGTCCAACGTTCGTAATGCTTCCTTGGCAGCCTGTAGAATACCGGCAATTTCCATGAGAGATATTACCGTGCAATGATTTTAGGAAATTAGACCCATGCTCTGTTGCTACATAATCAACTGCCGGGGGATGCTGATAAATCTTCATGTGAGCTATGGGATGACGCACCACCCGCATCCTTATAAATCAGTCGAGGCCCGCTTTCCAACATTCCCCCATCGTAGTTGGTAACACACCTCAAAATATTGACGAGTAAACAAAATGCCACTTCCATTCCCCCCGGAAGGATACTCGGAGGACATCGTCCGACGGGTGCGCGTCCTGTTCAATGGAGAGTATGTTGTAGACGCTTCCGTTCCGAAACTAGTGTAAGTTTCCCCTCCCGGACTGACTGCTCCATTTGTCTGATAATCGATTAGATGGGAACGTCCGTTCTATCCCCTGTACTATTTCCACCAGAAAGATGTTCAAATGAAATATCTGCTGAATGGTAAGGCCGATGGCACTCATGACATCGTCGTCCACGATCGCACCGCTCCTGGCGGCGCGACCACGTTCTCTTCGGGCCCCTTCAAGGGCATGGTGCGCATCACCTTCTCGGCCGCCGATGCCTGGTTTGAAGAATCCGAACGCATCCACGCTCATCCCAAGGACCCGTATAAACGCATCCACATCCTGGAGTCCGCCAAACATGTTCGTGTGGAGATCGACGGGGTCGAGGTTGCCAATACGACCCATCCCAAACTGCTGTATGAGACGGGACTGCCAGTGCGCACGTATATTCCGCACACGGATGTACGGTTGGAGTTGTTGAGACCGTCAGACTTGACGACCTCGTGTCCGTACAAGGTATGTCTCTTCCAGATCTCTGCATTGAGAGGAGATGGTTGATCATCTGTGTAGGGGGATGCAAATTACTATAAAATCCGACTTCCCTCCGGGGAGAAAGATGGGCTCATCTGGTGGTATAAAACGCCGACAGCCGAGAGTGCTGCGATCACGGGGCGTGTGGCATTCTATGATGAAAAGGTGGACGTGTGGGTGGATGGGGTCAAACAAGAAAGGCCAGTGACACCGTTCTCCTGATGTAAAGGATATCGGCGAGCCCGGTGTAAGGGTCCGGGGGACTACTCAGCGGTTGGGATCGTGGTGCTGGATATTCTCAGGAGGAATACCACGCTAAAACTAACCATCTAACCCTATGTGACATCCTCGTGGACCTCTTTAAGTGGAATAGGTTCGATTATCCGGAATATCAGACTTTCTTTGCACTCATTCTAGGCCTTGTAAAGTTTGGCCATAGCTTAATAGCATAGATACACTCAAACCGTTCCTAATTGCCAGGTCGCTGCCTTAAGGTATCGGTTAAGCTCACAACGCTGAGAGAGAGCGGCAAATTCTCTTGTCCACCAAACACACCTGCACCCAGTATCATCAAGTGATCGGGATGCTCTGCAAACACATGTAGGCTCCGGCTGTATGCTGGCCCCTGCGGTGTAGCGTGCATTTCCCACTGGTCAGGCTGGCCATTGGCTCGGTTGGTGAAAACGCTGCTATAGTCTGCGTCACTGACGACGATGGTTCCGTTGACACCTCCGACTGGGGACCAGACAACATAAGGAGACGAGCTTGGCTGTACCCCGTCAACGACAATTGGATAACCGAAGGCAAATCGGAAATCAAATGGGCTCTCAGCCAATCGATAGTAGACCGGATAGCCTGCCCCAGACCAGCTATCTCCCCCGGAAACTCGTGCACCAGAATCCACTTCTCCAAAGGTGGAATATAAGAAATAACCGTCATTCCAGGCCGGTCAGTATAGTTGAGATAGGCCACATCGTTTATCACGGAGCCCCAGGATTTCAAATCCATCGATTCCTGATGAGCAAGCTTCTGGCCATGCTCCGGGTCACGCTGATCAGAGTAAAACACGCCAACTGTGTGGTTGAAAACCCTATATTTCTGTTATTAAGAGATTCGAGCAAAAAGAACAAGAGAAGAGAAGCTCACTGAATGAATGGCTCCCAAATACATGGATTCCCATCCGTAGTATCCGGTCCACTGCCCCTCGCCACATTACTGACGAACTTCCATGTGTGACCTTTGTCTTCACTGGCGTATAAATCGATGTTCGTGCTCTGGCTTCCCCAGCTGTTTCCACTGGCTAGTACCGTGCCGGCTGCGAAGTCACCAATGGCATATGGCAGCTCAGCCAGCGCTGGCTGAGCGGCCATCCCCAATCCGTTAACCTGGTCTGTCATGTTGGAGATCCAGGACCAGGTAGCACCACCATCTGCACTTCGAAATATGGGGAAATACGGAATTTTATCTCCCCCGTACGAGGCTGTCGCCAGGAGAGTTCCATCTGACAGTTCGACTTGCCGCGGATAGAGAACGCTGTGATTAGAGTCAGGCTGGAAGATGACATTTTCTGCAAATGTCGACCACGGCCGAGGTGGTGGCTGCCCGTGAGGTTTAGCCGATACGACACAGTTAAGGCCGGCCAGACCGAGGAACAGAAGGTTGCCGAGCATGCTTGATGAATCAGGTATATGTAAGAAATTACCAGTCACGGATCATTCACTTCGATTGGTTTTTCTTGGGTTGCAATTTCATCAAGAAGATCATCGTTATATATCATTTGTCCAAGTGCGGGGACTCATCTATCCCTGTACAATCTAGGAAAATTTCCGTATTGATGAGTTACAAGCCTCGTGGAATCGCCAGTCCCTGACATGCTCCAAACTTAGCCGGTAGCTAACATTGCTAGGTCGGGGTAACCTAAAGGTTCGGCTAATAGTTGGAGCACTCACAACTAATGATCTCTGAATGTAAGCATCCTTTAATTAGCCTAATGCAATTGATTTTCTTTATGCGAATCAATAATACCTGTAATTTAGCCTGGATCCTTCAATGCAAGACTACTTTAATTAGCCTAATGCAATTGATTTCCTTTACCCCACAAACTCTAAGGACTCCTTCGAAGAAAGATTTTAGTGGTTTTAACGAGGCCTATCCATCTAAACAATCTAGCATGGCCCTGTTCGAGCGATCCTAAGTGGGAATATTGTGATCTATCATACTATACCAGACTCAATTCCTGACCTCATGAAATTACTATATGGTGTCACCGTTCCTTCTGCTAATTCGGCTGAAATTCGAGCTCTGACATAGTAACCTTGTCTTGCAAGGGCGCTAGGACAGTACGTCTCACTTTGTCTCGGGTCATCCGACGCCGATACTGCAAAGTTAGCTAGATTCGTTTACCTTAACTAGTGAGGTCTTACCCATTATAAGCAGGCCAAAGAAAGAAATCGTTCCTTCGTGATCAGATCGATAGTAGACACACACTTCTTTACAGCTTGATCACAACTTTACCCATATGCTTAGCACCATATAGGTGGTCAAAAGCCGCCTGTGCGTCTTCGAAAGAGAAGACGACATCATCTAGAATAGGCCTCAAGTCGACTTTTTTGTCTGACAGGAAGTTGCACAGGTTCTGCTGATCAATCTTAGAGCCAACAGCGATCCCTCTGAAACAATAACATGATTAGCACATCTGTGGCAATATCGAACAGAACCGAGACTAGGATACCTTATAGTAGCGCTTTTCGATAAGGTAGGTAAGATTGTGTCCGGGAAACGATCGACATCGAACCCCCCCAAGAATCCCACCAAAGAAACAGTCCCTCTTCGCGCGAGCGAAGCAAGACTCTGGGCAATCGAAGTGGGTCCAACATTCTCGATGACAAAATCCACGCCTCGCCCATTAGTGAGACGGAGAGCCTCCTCCTCCCATTTTGGGTGGGCTCGGTAGTTGATAGTACCGATGGCGCCCGCTCCGCCAGCGGCTTTTGCCTGATCTAATTTCTGATCAGAGGACGAAGTGATAATAGGGCGGATGCCAGCCGCTAGGCAAATCAAGAGACCAAACATGCTAACTCCTCCAGTACCTAAAAGAAAATGATAATTGTTAACATCCTAAGAGAAAGAGCAAGCAGTAAAACTTACCTTGGAGCAAAGCAGTGCCCTTGGCTTGTGGCATGTTTAATGCATTCCACGCTGTTGTTCCAGCGCAAGTGATGCAAGCCGCCTAGCAAAGTATCAGCATTCCAAACAGCTTTCGATTTTTGAGTGGCTTCATACCTCTTCCCAAGATAAATGTTTGGGCAAGTGTAACAACACGTTTCGGTCAAACACAGCGAACTGGCGCAAAACCCCATCGACATCCCCGCCCAACACCGCCATTTCATCCTCATTGCTTTCCAAATTTTTCAAATCAAAGATTGGAGCAACATGGTCTCCAATCCGGAAATCCTGGACATCGGATCCAATTGCAACAACTTCCGCGGCGCAGTCAGATGCGGGGATGCCTTGCTCAATAACATCGACTGGGTACTTCCCGTGCAACATTGCCACATCTCTGTAGTTCAGGGATACAGCATGGATTCGAATCAGGACATCATGAGGCTTGAGAGAAGCCGGAACCTCTTCCGTGACTAAGTCAAGTGACTTAGGAACGTTTCCTTTACTGCGGCGGAACGCTTGATAGGTCCGAGGAACTGCCATTGTGCAAGCAATTGCCAGAACAGACACCCGATAGAATAGTTTCGAAGTGATAGTATTCAACTGTTGTCTTCTTATACTCAGCAGGAATGTATGAATAGTTAATAACAGCGTCATTGGCTGACAAATTGGCTTAGAATCTATCTTAGTTAACTAAGTCAAGTCATCGGCAATTTCAGTTCCGGCTTCCGGCGGGATGCCGAAGCCGGAAACCTTTTTTGCCGCCCCGCATTAAAAATAACGAAGTACTGGCCCGTCGACCACATATTCCTCAATAGTTTAGTGCGGACAGTTTTTCTAGTTAGGCATGCTTATCTTTCGTGGATTTTCATACAACGACAACTGTACAAGCTGAAAAATATTGAAGTTTTCCCTTTCTTCGAGGATCTTCTGAGAATTGTATCTCAATCAGTCAGTCTTAATTCATTTTCTAAGTCCACGAAAGATCAGGCGAGCCTAAATACGGGGAATTCACCCCGAAAGCGAAAAAAAACTTGTCTCACCGCGGGACAAAAATAAATAGATAAACTTCAATGATAACGAAATAGTTATAATATTATTGTAGCTGCACTAGATTGGTTTCTCGCCAGAAGCAATCTCCCTCGCATCGAGTTGCGTCTCGTTCACCAAGCAACTCTACAGAAGCAATAAGTCGCCTTTTCCACCAGTAGCACTTTCCATCCGTGACAATTTCCACCCGAAAGCCTTTCCATACGTAATAACTCACGGCGGGCTAATATGATCAAGTAGAGTTGCTTCAACCAAATAACAGACCTTTCCTCTCATAGCCTATAAGGCTTGTCTCCTTTCTTTCCCTGGTGGTAGCGGGCATCACGCAGCAGCACTACCATCGGACTAGCTCCTGCACCTTGACGGGCATTCCAGACTTCATTGAATGATTGGCACCAACCCCTACCAGAACGGCGTTGCCTCCGTCCCGGATATAAGCAGCACGGTGGAACTGGTCCTCCTTATCGCCAACAAGAACATCTCGCAGCAAGACTGGGTCACCACCACCATGACCACCTTCTCCTTTCACGATTGGCACCTCGTAGGGGTCTTCAAACAAGGGATGTACTGTAATGGTAGTCCTTTCAACGCCACCCTGAATATATTTGGACGAAGTGGACTGGGGGACAGGTTCACCCCCAGGGGAGTAGCCACCTTCAACGACGTTGATCTCGAGTCGACCTTTACTCCCATTGAAGACACAGCGATAGCCCTCCCACGGCGCATACGCGTACGTGTTGTACGTCAAGACGGCTCGATTCTTGTATGTGATCACCATGGAGAGGTTATCTTCGATGGTGATCCCCTCGCCAAAACAGTTCCGGTCGCGGATGTAGCCGTCTTCATGCTCGGCATCTAAGTAGAGCTTCTTCAGCCGGTCACTCTTGATAATGTCAAAGGCAAAGGGGTCGCTCTTTGCCGCCTCGTTGTTGAGATATCTTTCTCCAAGATTCTTCTCTCCACGTCGCTGAGCGTTCTCTTTTCCGTAGAATCGAAGACTGCCAACGCAGTAGACCGTTTCGGGCTCGGTGTTCAGCCAGAAGTGAACTAAATCAAAGTGATGGATTGACTTGTGCATTTGAATGCCTCCACTGTTCTCCTTCTCTCGGTGCCAGCGGCGCATAAAGTCTGATCCATGCGCGCAGTCGAGGATCCAGTCCATATGCGCGGTTGAGACCTCCCCAATAACGCCAGAATCAATCAGTTCACGGATCTTGGTGTGGTGAGGCGCATAGCGATAATTGAAAAGAACGCGGATCCGCTTCCCTGTCCGTTTCTCTGCATCGATCATGAGCTGCAGCTTTTGCTCATCGATGGTCAGCGGCTTCTCAGTGATAGCATCACAGCCTAGCTCCATTGCACGGATACAATAGACATGGTGGAAACGGTCGATCGTGGTGACAATCACAACGTCCGGTTTCTGGTCTGCAACCATATTGTCAAAGTCGGCGGCCTTGTATGTCGGCACGCGAGTTGAGCCGAGCTCGACAATATTGTCATTGACAGCATCCATGCGAGTCTGATTTGTGTCGCAAATTCCAACGAGCTTAGCATTGTCTTTGAAATCTTGGATGATGCTTTTATAGTAGAAGGATGATCGAACACCCGTGCCTACAATGGCATAGCGTGTAAGTTCGGGAATAGTCATGGCTAAAATCGGAAAGGCAGGGTCTTAAAGTAGACAGTAGCAAGACTTGAGTCGAGATAATGGATGGATGGTGGTACCATAGTGCCCGAGTTGAGGCCGTTTATGTATCTGCTCTCAGACGAACTGTACAATAATCAAGTTCCCATACATTGGGAGGGAGACTGTGGGCCGGGAACTGAAGCCGACCCTAACTAGGGTTAGTTATTTGCTTCCCGCACCCCTTGAAAGTCCGAGAGTTGCCTAGTGAAGGAAGCCACAGGCGGATAAAATCCCGCGCGGTCTGGTTGTATGTTTGGAGTTCAAAATTTGTAAGCAAGGGCGGGCGAGACCTTCCCAATCGATGTCGGAAGTAGAGGCGGAGGCCTCCCGACATTAGAGTTGGTGACGCGGAACTTGATGCAGAATTTCCAAATCCAGGTCGGCACGAAGCCGATAGCATGGATATTTGCCGCTACACCGCAACGGGAAAGTTCACGAGTGGGTGACCAAAGCTGTATACTGTTGAGAGGCTGATCATGCCGACGGCCACATTGAATTTGATCACTCGACATTTGCAGAGGCTGGTAGCAATCGGATCTCTACAGATAGACGGAAGATCGGCTAGTGCGACACGAATATCTGTATTTATTGGTTTAAATTCATGGGAAAATCGACGCATGATGGCAAAGGAATACATCTGATACTATCTTAAGTCGCATAGAATAAATGAGTCTTGCACAAGAGATAATCGTATTGCTCGAATAGCATCGTTCGCCTCTTGATCATAAGCTAGCATGACCGGCCACAACTGACAATAAAACACAAAATCCTAACAAGCATATTCGTTATTCCCCTTGCTATCCCACATGGCGACCTGTTACTCTGATTGCCTCCCCATCTCGATGTATAACGGCCTTGGAAAACTCCTTTGCCGAAAGATGTCCTTGTGCGAACAAAATATCCAGTTCCTCATACGTCCTACCCCCAGTTTCAGGAAGCCGGAAATAAGCCCACATCAACGAAAGCACAGTAAGACCACCGGTAAGAAGACCGGCTTTGCCTCTCCAGTTGGCCCACTCCGGATTGAGAATATACGGAGCGACGACAGAATTGATAATATTCAAGATGAGATAAACACCGCGGGCAAGAGTGATCGTCTTTGCGCGCAATCTGGTGGAAGAGACTTCTCCATTGATAATGTACGGCAACGGCCCAATTGACAGGCACCAGACGCCAAACCAGACCAAGTAGATAGCGGATGTAGCAAATCCGAAGGCAGAATTGTCAGGACCAATGGCGAGAAAGCCAATAAGAAACATAAGAAGCGAGAGGATGACACAGCCACCCAAGAAAAGGGGTCTTCGGCCATAATTGCCACTCAGCGCAGAAGAGCTGAAATTGCAAGTGAGATGGATTGCCCCGATTCCGAGGGTCATTTTGAAAGAATCATCCGAGCTCAAACCAGCTTGCTGGAAAAAGTAGGTTGCATAGCCCTGAATTACAAACCCAGTGAGAATCTGGCTGCCCCATGTTGCACAGGCAATCTCAGTTCGCCGCAAATTGGTCCCCTTAAAGCAGGCGAGATACGATGAGCCTTTTGTCATGTCCTGCTCTAGTCGGTTGGTCTCGATCATGAGCGCCACGGCTTGCTTTGCATTCCCCTGTGCCATCTCTTGACTTTGGGCCGAACTCAGCCTCATAACGGAATGCTCGGCGTTATCGTAGCGACCCTTCCGGACGAGCCACCATGGAGATTCGGGACAGAAAAGAGCGAGTGGGAAAATGATTACCGGCCAGACCCACTGGATGGCAAAGGGAATGCGATATGCCCAGTCGCTCTGAGAGTGATTGAGACTAAAGAGAACGGCATAGGAGAAAAACTGCCCGATTCCCCAGCAAACGACCACCCAGGTTTCAAGATAACTGCGCAAGACAAGAGGGGCCACCTCCGAGGCAAAAGCAGGGGCCATGGTCGAAAACATGCCCCACGGAATCCCAGCCAAGAGCTCACCGACAAAGAGAACTCGAACATTTGGGGCAAAAACTTGAATGAAAATGAATCCAGTGAGGACCAGTAAGGCGCCGTGAAGCACTTTCTTGTGTCCAAACCGATCTGTGAGGTATCCATTAAGAGTGACACCAATGATATTACCCAGGGGATTGGACATTCCAAGGGCCACCTGCCACTGAGCGTCCAGAGTGTATTTCCCCGAGTCGTTGATCTCATGTCCGTATTTCTTCTGAAATGCTGGAAAGCCAAAGAGGGTGCCAATCAACGCAGTATCGTATCCGTCCATGATGATGCACAGGCTAACAACTGCGGACCAAAAAGCAGCTTTGGGGTACCGCTTTACAGCCTGTAGGAACGTCGTATTGTGCTCATCCTCAGTAGCTAAATTAGCATACTCTTTGAGCCTTCCCCAGTCTTTGACAACGCCTTTATTGATAATATCATCCTCTCGTGTGCTTTCTTCCACATGTTGTGACGTAACTTTACTATCTGTGGAAATTCTGGCGGCCATTTTATGTCCTGATATCTCGATTCGTAGACTTGCACTAGGAAGTGCCACAGAGGAGCGTTCGTCAGTTCCAGCAGTGGCAGTTGAAGTGAATTAAACGGCCTGAGAATAACTTGAGGAAAGAAACAAAGGAGTTTAGATTGTCAAAACACTCACCCGGTTTAGGTGTGGGAGAATTGAACTCTTTATCAAAAGATTGTGCCTTCCATATGTAGAAATTTTGGCGCAATCTAACCAGAATCTGGTCGGGAAGTGAAACTACGCCATGTCGACCCTTCGTCTTCGCTTAGCTTCTAGCTTACCCCGGATTTTCATTGTGCAGTGCAGGTACTCAATTTGGAAAATGGCTAGTTATATTTACCATACCAAACGGTAAGTTAGAGAGGATGGCTCATATCGGAAACGAAAATCCTGGTATACACGAGTACCAAAAGCATCCAATGATAACCAATGTGGAGGTCACTAGGGGCTGTGAGTGTAGAATAGCAGGATCTTGGCGTATTGCACGGTTGGCATCCCATGGGATAATTTGGAGTCCGGCGGAAACCTGGGAACCACAGTAGGTCCAACCGATAGGTACAGGTGTATTCTTTCTGTTCGATAAATAATCCTTGTCTTAGCGGTAATCTCTACGCCTGTTTCTGCTTGGACTGGTACTGCACAGACCATAGCATTTCCCCGCAACCAACATCGCCAACAGCGTCCAATCACGGAATCCTCACCATGGCATTGCTTGCCTCGTTAAGTTTACCCCGCAAAATCGACTCGGTCTGGTGGTGCATAAGCACGGGCTTTACTCTCCCAATTTGGGGCGGGGCTCAGGCACCAACACGATGAAATCCTATTTCGGGGCGGGATAAAACCACGAAACCTGCCCGCTGTGAGCACTTCCCTTTCAACAGGTCGGCGCCTTCACGAATCTATATAAAGGCCCTGAGACGAATGGAATTTGTGTGGAAGTCCTCTGGAGCACAGAGCAGGAGACGGACTGCCCAAGATAAGCTTTCCTGAAGCACCTCAGTTCCTGAAGTTGAGACTGGGCTGACTTGATCGATCTGTACCCTGTCATAGCTGTCGCGCACGCAAGAAGAGATGCTATCATCTTGATAAGGTTGATCAGGTTGAAAAGGTTGACAAGCCCAAGGAGAATGGTAGAACGGAAGCTGTGGAAAGGGCGACCGTGGAGCCTCGCTCTGAAGCGAATACACGAGAGTCAAGCTTAGATCCAAGTCGAGTAACCATATATAATCCCGAGTCCGTTTTGAACGATCTTTCCGAATCTCCCGAATCAGCTTCAGGAGTTGAAAAGGGGCCGCCCTGTCCAACACGTTCACACCCCGGGCATATCCAATCCCAAGAGGCAGTGAAACTTTCATCACAGACCGAAAACCCACAGCGGAAATTGCATTGGTACAAGAGGCAAAGAAGAGCTGCTCCACCAAAGCTCTCTGACCACCATCGAAAATATCTCGAAGATGCTGGGGCCTTTCTTGAACTACCACGGGCAACGACAGATGCTCTCTTGCCAATTTATATATCTGGCCTGGATGATCTCATACCCATCATGGACGGCGCGTGTGTCTTCCGCGATTATAGCAACGAGCAGTCTTCCATGTACCTAGTGAAGGCAATATGTCTTGTAACCTGCAAAATGATGCAGGCGGCCCCTTTCCTGCGAATGGACGCTGATGGCCCACTTATGGAGCCTTTAGAGTTTGCATCTAAGCTGCTGACCGGTCTCAATGCGGCTGTCAAAGCAGACCTTGAGCCCGATAGGATCGTCAAGGTCCAAGTTCTTGCACTGATGCATCTACACACGGATGGGCTGGATGGGATGGACCGTGCATCAAGTTGCCTATCACAGGCCATTTGTGAAGCGTGGTCGTTGTCTCTACATGTGCAAATTCCAGGGAGCCTGGAGCAAGATCAGAACGACCTTTTGTGGTGGTCTCTGCGAAACTTCGACCGAGTAAACAAACCTATTACGGGAGCGGCACCTTTCTTCATTGACGACACTGACATTGGACTTGAGCGTACCGGCCTAATGAAAGACAGCTACCGCTCCCAGATAATGGAGGTATCCCTGCGTTTGGGTGATCTCATGGTTACTGCAACCAAGGTTTATAAAGCAAGCTGTAAAGCTGCCGTCGATCAATGTCAGGAATTTCTATCCCTCGCGGAGCTTACGTCGGGCACCGATTATTACCATTTCCACAGATCGCACAGAGGTATATTGTACCCCCAACCCCTCCTTCTCAAATTAATCTCGCGATTAAGACTAAGGGAAATAGCGTATCTGGAGATTTGGTATCATGTGGCTGCCATGCTATCCTGTCGGTACAGCGGACCGGGCAGCGTTCAATACAATCGACGCCTCGCATCAGCTGATCGTATCGTCGATTTAACCTCCTGTAACAAGGGTCAGAATCTCCCCCCACTCCCTCTCGTGCCATATGCAATGTCAATGGCCCTTACAGTTATATATCGCGCCTTGCGTGACAACCAACGTGATACTAAGAGCGCGTATGACGACCTCCTCGTGTGCTGCAATGCTTTGGAGGCTATGAGCAAAATGTGGACAAGCACGAAGAGGGTGGTTCAACTTGCAAAGCGGTTGTTGAAGGTTATAAACAAGCCTGGGGTCATGAATTCCAGGCATCCGGGTAATAGTACCGATCACCTTCGCCGTGAAGCAGGGCCCTTCACCGTTACAGCTGCAGATAATTCCTCAACAATCAGACATCGAGCAGACAGTGGATGTTCCAACGCTGAGGAAATAGCAACAATTCCACTTGGTGCTTCTCAGTCTCATAAAGCAGTGCATAACGGACATGCGGCACATCGTGACGAATATACACAGCAGTCGAACAAAATGTGGCTAGGGTCCGAAACGTCCGACTTTCAGCTCGACAGGGCGATCTTCGACTTGTTTGACGACAGTTTGCCAATCGCATTCCAAGATCCTGCCACATTGGATTATATCCACTTCTCAATGAACGAGAATAGCTACTCCAGCAACAATTTCCAGTTCTGCTCTAATTTTGCCTCTCCGGACCTAGAATATGGTGACGACAGCCTTCACGCACACATTGACTCGAACTTGAGAATGGAATTTGCGCAGAATGAATAGCAATTTGAGAAGTTTATCGGCGCCTCAGAACCTCACAAGTGTATTGCATATCCTCTAAACCTGACCGTCCAAGAGCACAGATGGGAGTGGACGTTATGATAGGAAGAAACCAGAAATTATCGTTTCAGAACAGCGATGACAATAATGAATTCAAGTGCACCAAACCGCACTGGGCAGGGAGCCACACGCATTGCATAAGGAATTTAGCAAGGGAGTTTCTGTTTGCGGTTTGCGGTACACCTCATTAAAACTGTATAATCTATGTAATCCTATGTAGGTCATAGTCTGAGTATGCTTATATTATTTATTATCTACAAAAATTCTATGGATACACAGATGAACAAGATGAATTATTAGTAGGTGAAATATGCTCTAAGCAAAAGTAAGGTATAAATAAGATATCCCATTAAGGGGTCTATACTCATTATAGCATTTTCAAGATTGCTAAGTACTTCAACGCCGTGCTACTCTTAGATAAGGTAGACGCGTTCTTAGAGTAGAGTATATCTTATTATGGTATCTACAATCGCCTTGTGACTATCTTCCTTCGGAAGCTAGAATACTACTAGGGCGTCCTATTCCTCACAACGAATCGGAAAATCTAGTTTAATAAAGCAATCATAAGCCGCATTCATTAGACCATTAAATGTAAGGACCTAACAAGTGAGTTCGTAGAGAGATCTAGAAAAACCAGTTGTCTAAAGCACGTACTGCCCATGGAGCTGCTATTGTTGGGCACGATGAGTTACAATAGCTAGATAATTTTTCTCTAAATAGGCCCGAGGTTAGTAGTTATTGTTTTAGCCACTGATTGTCAACATCTAGATTAAGGACGCAGAAAGTCGCAACAATCTCTTCGTGAAAAGCACTGCAAATGGTAAAACAGATCTATAATACGTCTACCTCGACATGAAATGTTATAGCTTCACAGCAAAACGCTCCCTAAGCCACCCTCCGTAACGATAGAAGAAGAGTGGCACTGGAAGAAAAGCCACGCCTATGAAACCTAGGACGCTATTCCCCCACCCAATTCCTAGGTCTGCATACAAAGATGGCCCTGCCAATGGAATGAAAGCTGCAAAAAGAAGTCGAAGAACCACGTTCGCAGCCAACGCAGAGGCGGCAGCCTCAGGACCAAAAGCATCCACCATGTAGACCTGAGTTGGCATTATTACCCAGATAAAGCCGAATCCAAAGAAGGAGGTGCCGATGATGGGCACGATCCAATGAGTCTGCTTCTCGGCTGCCCAGCCATACCAGAAGATGCCGACGGGCACGGCGGGCATGACCCACGCCATGGGCTTCAGGCGTCCTTCAGGTTTGGGCGAGTGTCCAAGTGACTTTTGCAGCTTGTCGCTCACGGTGGCAAAGACTCCGAGAGAGACGGCCATTCCAATTCCAACGCCGAGATATGACAAACCAGAAACGCCGGCGGAGAAGTGGTATTGTTCCTCAAAAACCGTGGGAAACGTGGTGAACAGTATAAAGAGGAGACCGAAAACGAACGCGCACAGGAGGGAAAGGAGGAGCACGATTGGCGACAGGATGAGAAGCTTTGTTGGTCGAGTAATAGCGCGGAGGAATAGCTGGCGGGGGGTCAGACCTCGATCCATCTTCGAAACCAGACCAGCATTGCCAGTTTCTTTCCGGAGGCGAGCGGCCTTCCATCCTAGCAGCACGGCGGCATTGGTCTCGCGGAGGAAGAAGACCGATATGGTGAATGATAATCCTGCCTATGTCGAACCGTCAGCGACTCAAGAAAAGTAGGGGTTGTGCTCTACTCACTAGGATTATGATGATCCAAAAAGTCCATCGCCAGCCAATTGATTCGGACACAAAACCACCAACAATTGGGCCGAAGACCTTGAAGGATCGTCAGTATCATGACGGTTTGCGTGGGGTAATGCCACCTACTGGTCCCAGAAGTGGTCCCACGACGAACAGAGACATTACCCTCCCTCGCTGAGCCGGCGGGACGACGTCGGCGACAGTTCCTCCGCCGACTGTCAATGGTCCCGAAGAAGCACATCCGGCAAGAAATCGAAAAACGAGAAACATGCCGGTGTTTTTCCCCAGCGCACATCCGATGATGAAGCCAATGTAAATGACATTGCACGTGTGGTAGATCACAAGGCGTCCGTACAGTTCGGATAGCGGTGCAATGAACATTGGCCCAACGGCGAAGCCACAAAGGTAAATGGACACGGTGAGACTGACAATGGTGGAACTCGTGATATGGAACTCCTTCGCAAGCGAGGCAGCTCCAGGTGCAAACATTGTCGCGGCGAGGTTGCTGTATCTCTATTAGTCAGTACGAGATTTGCTTCGCCAAAAGAGCGCAGGAACTGCCTTACGCAGTGAGCAAGAAAGCGCTGGCGAGGACGACTTGGGTCATGCGTTTCCATGCTGGCCAGTTCCGTGGATTTTGGGGATCGTGTGGCCCATCCCAGTCGACGACATTGTCCTTTGTCTCTTGTTCAATTGCTGTTTGGTCAGACTCGCTAGATTGTTGGTCATGGTGGCCGTCGTCCGAGATGGTCGGCTTCTCATGGGCGGATTCCAAGTCGGCCGCCATGATATGCTGTCGTGGGTGGTATGACTCTGGAATATTGGCGCGTGTTTGTTCACTGGTGCCAGGCTTTGCTTGCTATATATTTGAAGGCAGGGTAGGCGGCCGGACAAAGCCCGGATGAAGAAGGCAGCGTAGAGGAGTCATAGCTATAGTTCTTTGGCAAGGGTTAATTCCGCTAGCTACTAAATCCGCAGAATGGTCCGTAAATGCGGAGCCAAACTGGAGATTTGCTTAATAGAAGGGGAACTCGGAGAGCGAGCAGACACGGGGGGTCGGAGGAGCAGACATCGTGGGCGACGCACGGACGGTCGACGCGGAGGGTCGGAGGGTCGGAGGGTCGTTGCTTTCTCCATTGCCTCTCGGTTTGCGCCGCCAGACATCTTCTTTCTCTACGAGGTTGAGCTCCGCGAGCGCCTCAACCCAGTCACACCATGGCCGACAATGCTCAACGTCCGCGTCCGCCGCCAAATCGACGCAGAGACAAAGTCCAGCTTTCCTGCGACCCTTGCAGACACAGAAAGTACGTGCTCGATAACCATCACAAAGTTGTGCACGGTTAACTTTGCCAGGCTGAGGTGCGACCGACAGCACCCATGTGGAGCTTGCTCAAGGCGTGGCTTCACCAACTCCTGCCATTATGCGAGGACATCTTCTTCTACGCCCGATGCTCAGCGGTCCGTTGCTTCGCGACAGTCCACCAGCCTCCATGGCAGAATCTCTGAACTGGAGAGCCTTGTCATGACGTTCATGAAAGGCCAATCACTTCCAAGTCCGCCCGCACCGAAATCGCCGAGATCAAGCTCGCTATCATTCGCAGATTTGTCCCCTGAGATCCGGAGATCAAAGAAATCCCAGGATGAAGCTGCATCCCCGGCAGACCCTGGCACTCTAAAGTTGCGCGAGTCTGGAACCAGCTATGTCCAGAGTGTCCATTGGGAGGCCATTCTTACCAAAATCAGAGGATTGAAGGAGGACTTGGTCATTGATAGCAAGGCTCCGCCCGGTTCACACTTGTTCTATGGCCCGAACCGTCATGCAACACGAGATGAGATACTGGCTGCTGTTCCTCCTCGTCCAGTTGTTGACCGCCTCATGGCCCTTCACTTCGATTCCTACATTATCACTCCGTGTCAGTACATCCAAGCTTTCATTCCGCTCTCAGAGGTATTGACCGTGTGCTGTAGATCTCATTCATGGCAAGAAGTTTCTCCGAGAGGTGGGTTCTTTCTAACCTGGCCGATTACAAGCAGTCTGACATTTGACCAGTACGAAACCTTCTGGGAAGATCCGGCCGCAACTTCTATCGCTTGGATCGGTCTCATGTTCTCCATGTTATATATTGCTGCGCAGTTGCAGACCTTCACCATTGACTTCACCGACGGACGAGCCGAATCGCTCAAGGCGGAATATCTTACAATGAAGGATGCCTTCCGGGAGAAGGCCGTTCAGTGTCTTATTCTGGCCAGGTATACGACAGGAGGGCCATATATCCTGGAAACCCTCATAACGGTCCTTACCGGAGAGTTTGTACTCTTGAAAGATAGCGCTACCGATGGCTGGCTCTTGATCAGTATGATACTTCATCTTGCAATGCGCATGGGCTATCACCGGGACCCAGATCACTTTCCCGGAATATCTCCATTCGAGGGTGAGATGCGTAGACGCATCTGGACTACAATCCTTCAATTAGATCTCGTTCTCTCATTGGAGATGGGCCTTCCTCGAAGCGCCACAGATACGCACATCGATACAAAAGAGCCCCGTAATCTGCGCGACTGTGATTTTGGAGAGGACATGACCGAGATGCCTCCACCGAGGCCAGAAACAGAATGGACGCCGGTGCTCCCTCTCATTGCAAGAGGGCGACTGATATCAGCTCTCGGCTTGATTTGCGACATCAACACCGATATTAATCCCCCTTCCTACGACGAGGTCATCAAGGTCGACGCACTTCTTAAAGACGTGCACAACCGTGCTATTCCGCCCGTGCTGCGCTGGGAAACTATGCCACACCCCATCACGGACAGTCCAATCCTTGTGGTACAGCGGGTAAGTGTAGAAACGACCTACTACAAATCACGCATCCTCCTGTACCGGAGAGCTTTGATCAGCTACCCAGTTCGACAGTCCCAAGAGCGGGACAGGGAGTCGGTGCGAATCTGTTTAGATTCCGCACTCAAGATTCTATCGTTTCAACAGATGCTTCACGAAGAGTCTCAGCCATTTGGTCGTTTGTGTCAGCTTAGATGGAAGGTCACCCGTATTTTCAACCAGGATGTTCTCCTCGCAACGAGCGTGCTCTGTCTCTACCTTCAAGACGTCGATAAATTTGAATTGCCTGAGACTGCAGGACAGCCAACGTGGTCGCCTAGGGCTGAGGAGATTCGACAACGACTAACGATCTCGCACAAGATTTGGCTTCAAATGAGTACGGCATCTGCGGAAGCTGGAAAAGTAGCGAAAGCTCTGAGCATCGTCCTAGGAAACACAGAAGCGTCTGCCGAGGACGGTAGCGGGCCCGTTTCGTACGACTTTCTGACGGATTTTGATGCCATTCCTCTGAATGAATTTGGCTCAATGTTCAACAATCAATGTGAGAAGCACACTCGGTCATGCCGATTGCAACTAACAGAAAGACTTGTCAGATTTTCCTTCTGGCTTCTACTCTCCTCTTACATTTTTTGATAATGTACTGGAAGCTCGGGGGACATGAAAATATGATTGTTTCGCTGTCAATATGGTCGTTACGGATGACATTCAACAAGCGCGCCACAATCAGAAATGCGGTAGCAGGCACGAACTGAGCGTAAAGGAATGCGATACCAAGACTGCATACGCTGTGACCGGTGGATATTTGTTCTCGTATTCCTCGGCCTCTTTAACGATAGTCTTCCATTGGCCACATATTCGCTGGACTTGGCAGGTATGGCGGACAGTTTTTCCATGGCACGCTCCAACTTTGCGGTAGATTCGTGGAGTTGGTCAGCCTCACTGGCTTTGTCGGCATTGAGCCGATGTACTACCTGGGTATAGTGGGGTGTCTGTTTGTCCTTCTCCTCGTTGAGCCGTTTGATTTCTTTGTTCTGTCGCTGAATATCTTCTTCCGCTGTTTTTAGGATTTCATCGCATGTTTGTCGAATATCCTTTTTCACTTGGACCCTCGAAGACATTGTCCCGACTGGCGACGACGAGGTCTAGACCTTGGCGGTCCGACGGTCCCTGAGCTCTCGCGTAGCTGAGAGCGGACAAAGGACCGACATGCCTGAGTTGAACGCGATTTTACGACGCGGCTGGAGGTCCTTAGATTTAGTACTTTTTTTATTCTTGTTCGAATTGCGCAGTGTTGAACAATTTAATCAAATCTTTATGAAAACCTGGACAATGCGGTCGGAAGCTTCTAAATTCACCCCTCAAACGATGATGATCCCTAGTAAAACAGTTGAGACCTCAATTTTTTGTTGATTGTGCCCCTCGTAGCATGAGGAGGCACCGGTGGTAGGGTCGACAAAGAGCTTATGCTCGGGGTAATCACCCGCAGGATAGTAGTCAACGGTTTTCGGGTTAGATTCTAGGCTGACGTACCGGCTATTGTGGCAGCTTTTGCCATTTTTGACCTAAGGAGGAAAAGCGAGGTAAGAAATATTCTGTCACAAGAAGGGCTCCGTGTTGTGCGTATAGGTCGGAAAACCTACAACCTGAAATTCATTTCGAAGCTTCGTCAAGGGCTGTCATCGTCTAGGTACCCTTTTCACTAGTATAGTAGGTGGCGCTTTATGACACGCGAATTTGCCACTAGAGCAATATTTGGGCAAATATTCCAACATAGCTTCGATCACGAAGTACTTTTCCTCCCCCCCACCCCCCACCCCCTTTCTTTGATTAACTTAAGGTCTAGGTGACTTGGCTGACTATACCTCGAAGCCGGTGGAGCCGGGCTTCCGCTCCACCGGCTCTGGCCTGAGTAATCACGATTAGGTGCGCATGGACGGGCCATGCCGAGATCTATACACGCACGACATGAGTACACCGCCACTGATCGACGAACCAATACGACATCATCCTGCAGCTTGCAATCTAGCTGTGCGCTTCCTTCAGCAAGCAAATTATACCTCGTTCCCGTGTCTCGTCCACCCGCCTAACTGTTGTAGTGCCTCGCGCAGCCAAAATGCAGCCATAATGCGTCAAACCTTTCCTGCTTCGGACCTGAGAAACCCGGGCGTGTGCGTGTGGATGTGCCATAGAGCGGTCAGAATGCAACTCTAGTGACGAGCTGAAGAAGCGAGAGGCTCCAGCGCACACTAAAAACGCAGCTTAGATATAATCCGCTTTTCCTCTCAACGAACTTAACGACCTTCTCTTTCCGCCGAGTCGCTCTTCGCTACAGATTGCCCTGCTTTAATTAGACTTTTCTATTGAAGCTCCATTGTTTCGTATATTTGAGAAGCTCTTTGACCTAGCCTTAGCATCTTGACGTCCATTATCTATCACTATACCGAGTATTGAAGAGAGAGTGGAGACTGTGGCAAACATCTTGGGGTCAACGAAGATAACGTATAATGGCCCCGCGTATCCAAAGATTCCCATCGGACATTTGCTGACATGGCCTCTTCCGCAGATAACAAGCGATTCAAGCTTCCTGGATGAACTTGGCGCCGATTCTCTGGACATTGTTGAGTTGGGTCTCAAAATAGAAGAAGTATGTATTATACTTGAAAGTTTTCACAGTATTTTGGAGGCCTGAAATATCGCCTCCTGCCCATAAAATACTAACAAGATGTATAGGAGTTCGACATCGAGCTCACAGATGAAAATATGGAAAAGATTAAGACTGGTGAGATTATTTTTTCGAATGCCCTGCTCCTGAGCTTGTCCCATATATTCTGACAAGATTGTTAGCGTAAAAATTAGTCGGCGACCTAATAAATTACATAGAAGCTAGTTCATAGCTATAGCATGTGTGTGTGTGTGTGTAGACCTCTCGCCGAAGCGATATGCAGGCTACTACAACTATATGTGTCCTTGTACGGCATATTAGTGGCATCAAGGAGCAATGTATTTCAACCCACGTTGTCCATACTGGCTGTCTATCGGATCTTATATTACCTGGTTGGGCAACACGATGACAGCTTAGATGCCGTCGAAAGATGCATCAAGCTAAATTCCACGATTTGGCAGGCTTGGCATAATTTATCACTTTTGGTACGTCTTTGCCCTTTAGAAGGCGACTCGTTATTTGAGATAACAGCGGATTTAGTATCGCACCAAGGGGAGAGATGAGGATGCAAAGGACGCTTATGATTGATGTCTTGCTCTCAATTCACACTTTCAACGGTATGAAGAAGAGCACCCAATATCCAAAACTGTCTGCTCCCTGCACATTCAACTTGGAACAACCGAACAGGATCCGCCATTACTACCTGGCATGATTGATACCCCGCTATTACATGTATCTACACCCGCCCCTTTACCGGAAAAACCAGTAGATATTTACATCAACAGCTAATATTTTCATTTCGGCAACCGGGGGAAATGCGGGATCTGTGGCCGCGAAGCTTGCTACAGCTGCATCCAGCCCCGATGAGGAGGACGGTTCGCACACTTTGCTGCGCAAGTACTACAAAAATGCACATGTAAACACATATGTCTGAGACTGATCTACACTGGGTATCGTTAAAGCAGTAAATCATGTAAGACAATTCTGTGATATGTTAGGGAGAACATCGCTCGTACGGGCTTACCATTCTGGCTACTATTGTGGTCATTATCGTTGTTATTTGTTTGTTTGCGAAGAGTACTCTTCTGAGAGGTTTTTGAAGTCACATGCATCGCAGAAAACCAAGTTAATATTAGTTATGTGAACCCAGTTTATCAAAGTTGTGGGTTCGACTTGGGGTCGACTACGTAGACTATGGTTATTAGGGATTAGGAATGAGACTGCCTGAGGCTGAGGATCCTAGTCCCACGTTTTAGAATCTATTGTTAGGAATTCTACAGGAACTAGAAATAGAGAAAATACCGCTCCTATTTAGATTCCTCTGTCCCCGCTACCACTCACCCTTGTTTCACTGCGCTTGTATCTATGTTTCCTTGCCTTTAGTAGCTATTATTAATCATCAGTCCTTTCAATTAACCATAAAGTGCAGTGAGGAAATAATCAGGAACTTGTCTCCCTAGTGGCTTACCAATCTTTCGTATAGCATGCTTCTGGAGTCGCTGTCATTGCTGCCGCTCCTGTGCCTTACACTGAGGCAGGCAATTAGCATTGGCTATTCCCCATCGCAAAGCGATCTAATACTTCGCAGTCGCGATGTTACGAGTATGTTCCCATCAGAGAAAATACGACGGGCATAAGTTACCGGAGCATATAAGACGTAGACCTCGAGTTGTGGATCTCCTCCAGCTGGCAACAAAGGTTGTTGGGATTGGAGCAGGGATGGATGGAAGAAAATTTATGGTATAGAGACGTGGCCGCATGGTAGAGTAAATCAGTTGCATACGTGTCCTGTAGAAATTCCAATCTATCACAAGAAATTACATGTCATCATTTTCGGCGTAGATAGAGTCATGCCGCTATATATATGCTTCAGATTCAAATGTAGGATAGATATCCACCTAGTTTACTAGTCATCCTGTTCTTTGTACACTTGACGATATTACATAGGTAACACTCTACCAAGTGACAGTATAGATTGGATCTGTGCTGTCGCCAGTCCACACTCCAACACCATTTTTCATGTCGTCGCAGCTTTCGGAATCATTGCTATTGGGGTCATATGCAATAAGGACCTTTCCATGAGGAAAGGAGAAGCCATTTTTCAGAGATTCATCCGAGATATCCGGCTTTCTCACATTGATGTAAGCCTGTTGCTTAGCGGGGCCTGTCAGAGGCAAGAAGCTGCTGAGGGTTTCGCTAATGTCGTCCACTCGTGCTTGGTATCGAATTCCTGGCAAAGGATCCCGACCATTGGTTCTTCCGGGTGAGATGATAATCGCATATGGTGAAGCATCAGACGAAGTGAAGGAGGGGTTGTTTAGCTTGGGATCGTTTTTGAGCCAATCGAGGACGACCTCTTGAAACTCCTCTTGAGTGACAATAGTTCCAACAAACCATGGCTGGTAGATATGAGAGGCGTAACTCGCGTACTTAGACACGACCACAACGGATGTGCACCCGTAGAGATTGATGACTCCCATTTTGGAGGCTTGGCCATTGAATTCTTCATATGATGAAGTTGCTTTGTTGTTCAGTCCCTTGGGGACAAGGGTCGCGCCTTTAAATTCCTCGAACAGCCATCTAGCATAGTCCGATGTACCAGATGGATCAGGGAGGGCACGGTGGAATATAGATGTAAACGACTGGCGGGAAGGACCACCATAGGATCGTTTGTTTATCAACCCAGGGGGCTCAGGAAGGTTGTTTGTTGCACAAACATCACAGCTAGAAGAGCATAGATTGTCATAGTCTTCATCTGAGGTATCGGACCGGGTTTTGAGATCATTGTCAAGGCCGATAGGGATTCTGTTGGCCTCTGGGGGAGTTGGGAGGTCGATTAAAGATTCGGAAGCCCTGATTTGGAACTTAGATGGTGGATTTGGTGATCTGAGAAGCGTGGAAGAGCGTGCCGCGTTGCTCGGTGGTGGCTGAATCTCATAATGAGATGCAGCGTAAGCCAGAGGCGCCGAGAGAAAGAAATTGGCAACCAGACTCAGAGAAAGCACAGCTTTCCACGGGACAACGGGAAGCTGCATGACCATTTATTTCAAATCACACTTTCCGTGCGGGTTGAGCCACGAAGTTCCAGGGACCGGCAGTGTTATATAAATCTTGTTTTCAAAAAGGAGGAATGGATTGGTTTATTTCAATTTGGAGAAGCAGATTAGCCGTTTCAAATTTTTATGGGTTGCAACTAGTTACTATTGTTCAGAATTACCATACAGTGTTCTGGCTCCTTTAGTATCATCTAGAAACCCTATGTGGCTTATCAATTTTGTCGTATATTGCCTGTAATTCTGTTTTTACAAGGATCAGGAAACTAACGTGAGCTACTATATACCCGCCCCCTAATTACTCGGGCCCTCACAGCAAGCGCTGTGAGGGCCCGAGTAATTAGGGGGCGGGTATAGCGGTCTTTCTGGCCTATAATGTAGCGTGAGTAACTGGGCGGACTCCTCTCAGAGATTTCGGCATCGATACCAAATAGAGGGAAGGAGCTGAGTATTCAACTCAAAATAATCAGCGAACAGAATCAGAAGATATACTTGAAGATATGATAGTATTAGTATATAATCTTCAAAGATAGGAGAGTTTTGACTGCTGAATCGTAGAAAAAATGTTACATAACTGGTACGACTAGACTAATAGCTGTCAATGACTATTTACTTTAGAATATCAAGTGCCATTCTTCAATTAGATAGACCAATACTATACGCTAAGGGTCTAGTGAAGCAAGCCTTTAGCTATGCATAAAATGTTATGCTCGAACAGGTTACCCAATAGTTAATAAGACATGAGCCCTTGTCCTGACGAACCAGCCAATGAATTATCCTTGCTAACAAGCAGGAATCGGTATATGGTCGTCATAAGGTGTTATTGCAACTTAAACCAGATATACAGAGGCTGGGAGTCACTCTTCTCTGAAAGTATGACATTCGCCAGGTTTATGTAAAAGGTGCTCCAATAGCGCATGCTCAAAAATAGAACGTGTTTTCACAGACAGCGAGCATATCTAACCCGAGCATGCTCTTGTTTCAGGCGTTCTCTGGTTTCTGGATCAGCTAGATCCAGTGCCTTTTTATGCCACTCGCGGAAAGGTGGAGCACATGTCTCTGTCTCTTCATCTGCTATCTCTGCCCATTGAACTGGGTATAGACCTGACCCATCCGGGATCAATGGGTTGGCTTCGTGTTCAATCAACCAGCGTCCTTGGTCCACATCGCCAGCTTTAGCAGCCATTAGTAGTGGTGTGCCGCCGTTGTCCAAGAAAGGATGGTAGCCAAATTTGTTGATATCTACTCTATGCCGGACTAAATGCTCCATCATCTTAGCCCAATTGTTTCGGTCGGCGAATATTAACGTATGAAGCACAAGCGCATTCTGCATCTCCGCACCGTATGAGAGAAGAATGTCCACAATTTTCGGATTTTTCGTTAATACCGCCATCTCTAGCGGGCCGCCTGAGTTGGGGACTGGCTGGTCTTCGGGTCCCACAAACCCCCTCTGAGTATTGGTGTCAGAGGGGCCAAGGTTCGGGTTTGCCCCTTGGGCGAGAAACCATCCAAGTAGGCGCTCATCATTTTTCAACACAACATACCTGTAGGTATTCGTTAGAGTGTATCATAGGCAAGATACTAAAGAACTGACATGAGAGGCACATGACCCCACGACAGAGGTTGATTGACTTGCATTCCATGCTTGATCAAGAGCTGGAAGGCGGGAATTGTTCTCGCCTTAATAATGACACCCTCATCGATTTCGGCCCCATTTTCTAAAAGCAACTGCATAATCTCCAACTGGTCTGCTTGTGCCGCTTCCTGTAGGCCACGGGCCATCCACGTGCCTTTTGCGCCATGAGCTTGCAAGTGATTCTTCACACAGGACACGTTTCCTTGCTTGCAGCTTTCTAGCAGCTGCCCTGATGGTAGACCGCATGTTGGGGATATACTTGAGGAAGCACTTGCCATAGTAGGTCTAAGTTTCAGGAAACGTGAATGAACGTTCGAATGTCGGGTGGATTGCGCCAAAGTCGGTCAAATTATGTGCGTGTAGGCAGTCGAAGGCTAAGCGACGTTTAGGAAGTTAGGGGCAATAGGAACGACTCTGACCAGGATCAAGTGGAATAATCGCCCACGCAAGAGTTAACAGAGGTTTCTTAAACGTGGGTCAGTGGCAAATCCTGGGGTGCGGCCCCCTAAATCCAGGGTCCGGCCCCCTCCCGTACTAAATTTAGTATCGATGGGTGGTCACTCGTGACCCTCACCGCTCTCGCGATCCCGCCATTTGTATACATAGCGTCGTTGAAAGGAACTGCCATTACAATACAAAGGATGCAACGTACAGTGGCACAGCTGAAGTCTGCGACCCCCCAAAGTATCGCGCTAATATTCTGCCGGCAATTAGCGTCCGCACCACTCAAGAACTACTATTAGTGGGCGGTATGTCCCTTGTAAGGAGGCGGTAAAGACAGGTACCCTGGGGGGTCTCAGACTTGAGCGGTGCGACTGTACATAGCGCACGGTTATATAGGGTCCCCTTTTCCTGTATGACAATCAATGAATCCACTTCGCTTCGCTGGAGTGTTCCAATTTCTGCCCCATCAAGAAGTTTTACTAGATCCGACATCGATGAACGTTGACTACGTCACGGCCTATAGAAGCACTACAGCCCGAAATTTACAGGGGCATTGAAGAAACGTGGCTGAGATTTGTTTAAAGGGTGTGTCAAAATTAAGCAACCTGATCATTCCTGACGGTAGTGAAATGGCGTGTTGAGGCCCGGTTATTCGATCAGGAAATCTTAACACCCCGATCATTCCTTTGAGGTGGAGTAATTTAAGCATGTCGATTATTCCTGGAGATGGTGAAATGGCATGTTGCGATGTGCTTACCTGTCCTGAAGGGCGGCCAAAATTAAACTCCCCGATTATGTGCTGCATCTTCAGACTACCAAGCCCTCTCCGGGCCAGATCAAGATGATTACTATGAAGGTCATCGGCCCCCTCCAAAGCTCCTCTACGGGCTCAGATGGTCCAGGACATCTTAACCACGCTCGCATTACCCTACTCCAAGACGATGACTTCGAGAATAACCGACCTCGACATGCCCACCTCGCCTACTCCAGCCAATACCTCTTCCCACCGGTTCCGCAGTCTTATGACCCCGAGCCCCCGCAATGGAAGCAAAAGCCTGACGAAGACAGTGACATTGAAGGTGGTGGAGGGTGTGGACACACGACAGGACTGAGACTTGCTGTTCTTGTTCCAATATGATGACGGAAGGGCAATATGGGTCGAGGCGCGGCTCTCAAGTTTTGAGTTGGATACCCTTTGCTGGGGCTTACTATTCTGACTATCGTTGTGGTCATTATCCTTTTTATTTGTTGTTTGCGAAGGAAACTCTTCTGGGTGCTTTGAAGGGACAGACATGCATTGCATAGGGAATTTAGCAAGGGAGTTGCTATTTGCAGTTTGCGGTACGCTTTTTGTGTCATGCAGTTGTAAATATATGGGACAGAGTATGGGCCCGCGAATCTATATCCAATTCCTAGAGACACGCACAGTTATTTGATGACATATTCGTCAAGGTTCAGCGCAAGGCAGTCGTGTGGGGGCCAAAATGGTGGACCCCAAAACATCCCGTCATCACTTCGCGAGAGCATGAGATGTCTGAAGTCGTTCAAAAAAGATCCGTGATGCCATCCTTGCTGGCTGTCTTTACGTTATCTTTATCCTTCCCTGCCTTTAGCCGTCTTCATGGCGGCCAAGTGTGGTTTTGACAATAAAAAGACCCTTACCCACGAGCTCCAATCTCCTCTACCACGCAAACGAGCTCTCACCCTCCCATTACCGGAAGAGCGTACCTGGAAACTATGGCGGAGACGCCAAACCAAACGGCAGGATCAGTGCCAGCTCTTGAAGAAACTACCTCCCGAGCTCCGGGATAAAATCTACCACTATGTCCTTGGGGGTAAAATCATTCTTATCGGGCGAGGGACTTCTAGACTGCACACTAAGTGGCTTCCAACCGAAGACGGGGACGGAGATCCAACAATAGACAAGGTTTCTGGCGTGAGGTTTCACAGAATTCCTCTGCTTTTGACATGTCGGGAGATGTGCGTATCGAACGTGCTCAACGTGTGTGAATGCTGCTGATAATCGAGAACCTAGCTATTCTGAGGCTATTAATATCCTATACTCTGGGAACACCCTTCAGCTCGACGACGGGGCACTCCCAGCCTTCGAGCTACCCGCCGAACTCAGAAAAGTGTTCGTGCCTCAGCGGTTTAACGCCATAAGATCCCTGGATGTCAGAGTCAGGTTCTGGCATTTCAGAGACTTGGAACTCTATAATAGGAAATGCGAGTTGCAAAACTCTGACGGCTATCGGGGCCCAATTCCGGACAATGTGTGGGATGTCATCGCTACAATGAAGGGTCTGCGCAGACTCCTGGTGCGGTTTGGTGGCGTTGAGTTTGGGGGTCCCGCTGCACAGCCGGGACGCTTCACCTGGTTTACCACAGAGGAATCTGCCTTGCAGCCACTGGTGAAGATAGACTGGATCCCGGATTTCCGGGTGGAGGTGTCTTGGCCGGCGAATCATGACTCGGAGAAGGTTTTCCAACATGCGCCATTTCAAATGGCGTGGGGTTGCGAGATGCCTGACGACGCCTGGTGATGATGAAGAGAGAGATGACCAGTATATTACTTCAATTGTAATATCTACAATCTCTTGAATGGCCGAGCATCAGTCTTGAGGCGTACGAAGATGGCCATCAAAGCAGCCACCAACGCCATGCCGCCTGCATAGAAGATAGCAGGGCGATAGGCGCTAACCCCACTGTCCTGTCCACCGGACGCAGCAAGTATGTACCCGGCAATGGGGGCACCCTGAGTAGAAAGTCGTCAGCATGATACCAAGCCAAGAGAGGGGTATAAAACTTACAAGAAGGTATCCGCCCGCCCACCCAGTAACAATCATTCCCATCGCAACAGACACCCTCGCAGAACCAAACACCGTCCCGACAACAGTAGGCATGGTCGAGAAGAACCCGCCATTAGCCATACCGTTGATAATGACGAAAACAATCAGGGGACCAAGAGAAGTTGAGACTGGCCAGAGAATGAGCATGCTCAGGGCACTCAAGATAATGGAGAAGAACAAAGTGTTTAGCGGTCCGACGAAATCACTGCAAAATCCACACAGAAGTCGGCCCATCGCGGAGGAGAAATTAAATGCCGCAACCACGGCGGCGCCAGTGCTGGATGCCATTCCCATGGAGTCGGTGTACAATGGTAGGAAGAATGGAGGCACGAGCAGTGGGAAGGTTGCAATTGCGCCGGCGGCGAAGAGGAGAACGAAGCGGATATCACGAAGTAAGCGCCTGGGATAGGAGTCAATGAACAGTCGTTTTTATTTCCTGGGTGGTTATAGCATACCATTCAACAATTGCCGAGCGAGGAATGGGGAGGCGCTGTTTTATCAAGTATGCCGCTGGTAGACCAGTGCCCCAGGTCAAGAAGCCAAGGATTCTAAATGTCCAGGCTGTGCCGACATTGGTGAGCAGTGCATTCAACAGAAAACTAATGACCGCACCACCCAGACCTCCAGCAGCATAAACAATTCCATTGGCAATTCCGCGCTTCGCTCTGAAATACTGCGCAGGCGTCACAGAGACGACCATAAAGCAGAGACTGTCCGCGAGCCAGTCAGCACATAATCAGACTTGGACAGGCATTCACCCACCTAATCCCAATCCCCATCACAACACCCGCAGTCGCGAATAGCCCCTTGACATTGTGGATAGCAAATCCACTAAGCGTCTCCCCCAAGCCTAGCAGGAAGACACCCAAAAGAGCCGAGAGCCGCGTTCCCAGTTTTCGGATAACTCGGACATTCAAGATGCCCAAAAATGAAATACAGGCTGGAGCCAGCGATCCCACAAACGCCAGTGTGGAAGATGTCGAGACACCTTCCTTGACCAGGGCTGCCTGCAAGACTCCCCAGCAGTAGGATGTGCCGACGAACCACCAGGTGATGACGGCGCATCCGGCGATAATAACCCAACCTTCTCCGCCGTCGGGAACCTCGGAGTCGGCTAGCCGGGACGCCTGCATCACTTCGTCTTCATCTGTGGCGTTGGCCGCATCATTCGTGAGCCGTGTGAGTCTTTCTTCTGCCGACTGGCGATCTTGCAGCTCGATGGCTGTAGAGGATGACTGGAGTTGCGTGGTCATTGCGGATGCAGCTGCTCCCTCACTGAATCCCCTGGTGGTAATCAATGATAGTATTAATGTTGATTATTGGCGGACATTTGATTGAATCTAAGAAAAAAATATGATGATGTCGCTGATAGGGCGTGATGAAGATCCACCCAGATTAACTAATGGGGCAAACCAGAACAGTAGTTAACTAGTAGTGACTCAGTCGATTTATAATGATCCTTCGAGTGCAGTCATTAAATCCATGTGAACACTTTACTGAAACTCCAAATCTCAAATATGCAATTCTCTTTCTATCAAGATGCTCAACTTTCCAAGCTTCCTACTAATCAAATAGCACCACGGCGCTATCCTTGACAAGCTTCGGTCCCAGAACAGCAGCCAGCTCGGCAATGATCCCCTTCACGGACTGCGGGTTATCCATGGCCATTAGTTCCCAGCCGACGAGGTCCTAGTTCATGTGTCGTCAGTAAATATATACCCTGAAGAGAGGGGGTGCGTACATTCATATGCACGAATGATCCATGAACCACCAAGTACCAATGATCCAGGTCTAGAGCTTTGACTTGATCGAGGGTCAGCACGCCGGGCATGTGGATGTTAAAGAGGGAGAGATCCTCTTCGTTGACGTCGGGGTCGAGCTGCGGTTCCGAACTGGGGTCTGTAGTGGAGGTGGAGGATCGGTCTCTGGAGAGGGAGACATAGGGCCGGCTGTCCAGTTTCTGAGAGAGTTCGCCATCCAGCGGGTCGTAGGTATTGGTTTCGGGGTCTGCAACCCATAATTGTGTGAGATCATGGCCGAGTTATAGAGAGTGTGGTCGAAGACTTACCGAGGATGTATTGAGGGCGGAAGGAAGCTTTGTAGCGCATCTTCTGGCAGGAGTGGATGTAGAACCCTGTTTTCCCGTCAGACATGCTTGAAACAGCGTTTGCCATTACAAACCCATGTAGTAGTAGGGATAGTCATTCTCCAAGGCGAACCCAATCTCCCGCAAAGCACTCAGCTTCCCAAACTCCCACTGCTCATATTCAGGGTCATAACTGGGAGGAAACAGTCAGTTGAGCTACAAGATAGTTTCGTGGTCACTCACAAGACATAGACCGAGCTCACACCGCTAGGAACCAAATCTAGCACTGCCACTGCAATGAGTTTCCCATCTAATCGATAGCACTGATGCCACGAGCCCAGTCTCTTCTCAGTAGAATTGGTGCTAGAAGATGGCTGGGAGCGCTTGATGCCTGAACACAAGAAGCGCTGGAAGTCTTTCTGCTTCCAGCGCGACACATCCTCCCGGTGGATCGTGGTTTGGTACTTGACAAACAGGTCGAACTTCGCCTTGGAGGCGGAGTCCCCTTCGATGTTGACCTCGAAGCGATGCGCCGGTTCCAATGGGCGCTTGGTGGCTGGGTCTATGGGGCGCGGGATGTTGCTGTACTCCGCTTCATGGACCGCAGGAAGAAGGTCAAAGTTGCATTTGCGGTGCTTCTTCTCTCTATGCACTGGTCAGTGTCTTTTTCAATCGTCAAGAATAGCGAGGTACACCTACTCGCGTGATCGGGGGCACAGCCGGGCTGCTTTGCGCATGTACTCTGGACCCAGAACAAACTTGTTCCAGCGATTGATGGCCTTGCGCTGATCCCGGCGGGGCGTGAAGGCAGATGCTTCCAGCCTAGGAAATCATGAGCGAGGGACTGATAATGGGAGGACGGCCATACCTCATGGTGTAATGCGGGCAGCACGACCGTTGTAGGTTCTGCTTGTAGTAGAGAGTGCCTGATCTAGATCCATTATCAGTATGTATGACAGCTTCGGTCTGTCGGGCCATACCGTCTCCAGCCCCGATTGACCAGCTCATCATAGTGCTCCGGGTGTACCGTCACCGAGCTGCTGTAGTATGAAGCACCTAGGCACGTGTCAACAATCCCCATTGAGCCGAGCGGCATACATAACACTGACTGCCATGGTCTGATTTGCAGTAGCCACAGGAATTGCGCTGATAGCCTATATCGAGTTAGCTTCACGTCTCTCTGCAGGGGTGAGCTGTCCCGCCACCCCGCCAGATTGACCCCCAATGCAGCCACCAGGGCCACCGGACATTGCACGGGGAGTGCATAGGCTGAGCTCAGTGGCTCTATGCAGGAGAGTGGGACATACCCAACGGCCGGAAGAGGGACAGCTGGCGCGCGCGTTCGGCGTCAACAGACTCCATTAGCGGATCGGCTCTGGGATGGTTGGCGGTTCCAGCGGAACAGATGAAAAATGAAGGAAGAAGGAAGGAAATGGCGTAATAGGATGGGTGACGGGTAGATGTTCCCCGGCGGTTTTTGTTCAGAGGTTGGAGGTGGGATGGTTCTGCCCTCTCGGCGGGGCGGGATGAACGTGCAGCACATCCATGTCAGAAAGCAAGACATAGTATAGAGTTCTGATATCTAGAGATCCATTGCTCAATCATCACGTATGCTACACTGACTCCTATGCTATCGAACACGGTGACCTAGGTATAGACTGCCCGGAGTTAAGGTCTTCACCGACGCCTCGCAACGGGTGAATGAATCGTGACTACAGGCATACTCCAGGCGTTCTCTAGACAGCAGGCAGCGCCTAGGAGTCATGAAAACATGACTTTGTAGTTGAGCAGAGACGTCCAGGGAAGAAACGCGTCTCGGCCCTACGGCTCTTGCCTAGCACCACCGCCCGTCGTTAATTAATGTTCCCGGCCGACGCCGGTCTAGGGCCCCTCCAATTCCCACTCCGTCTCTGCCTTCACACCTCTCGCGACTCTTTCTTCACTTCCTTCTCCTGCCTCTTTACTCCCTCGACCATGCCTCTTAGCCTTCTCCCTTCTACTCTCCGGTCCACCGCGGGCATCAACGGGTACACCTAATCTCTCCGCCGTCTCACTCTTTCCCCAGGAGGAAATTTTTTTCTTCCCGACCGCCCTCCTCGAGAGCCCGTGGACCGTTGACCACCTCCCCCTTCTCTCCCACGAGACCCTCTAGGCTCCGCGGGAGTCCTGGGCTGTTCGCTGCCCGATCGCACACTCTTTCTTCTCTTTTCAACCCCAACTTTCTCTGTCTCCCGAAACAATCCCGAAACTGGAAATTTCTCTCGCCATGGCGCAGCTGCACTCCATGGAGTCCCGCACTGGCCGCACCAACCAACGTGAGTCGGCCGAACTCCCGCTGTGCTGCAAATCACTGACTGGTGCGTCACATTGTAGGCTACGGCACCAAGGGCGAGCGGCTCGTGGCCGGTGTGGTCCCCCTGTCTCCCGACAAGACCAAGGTGTTGATGATCCAGTCTGCTGGCCCTGGAGGATGGGTGCTCCCCAAGGGTGGCTGGGAGACTGATGAAGCTGCTGCCGAAGCTGCCTGCCGCGAGGCCTGGGAGGAAGCCGGGGTGATCTGCACAGTGCAGCGCGACCTGGGCGTCATCCCGGACATGCGCGCCTCGGCCCTGCTGACCGCAAACGCCCCAAAGGCCTCATACCAGTTCTTTGAGGTCACTGTGGACGAGGAACGTGACGAATGGCCTGAGCGGTACAAGCGCAAGCGTCAGTGGGTCGGCTACTTGCAGGCCGCGACGGCGCTTGCCAATCGGCCCGAGCTGCTGGAGGCTCTCAACCGCAGCTCGCTGAAGCGGTAGTCGTCCCGCTTTTCTGTCTCTCCGTCTCGTACATAGCGCCTTTCTTCTCTTGTCACCACCCTTTCTACTCATCACTTCGATTCGCATTCACCGCTACGACCTGACATGACCGCTGAAAATCCTCCCAAAAAAAAGTCCCCAGTGTGGCTTTGTCTCCCACTCCATCTTCGCATACCTGCCACGGGCTTCCGGCGTACCCGTTGGCCATTCCATCGGCAAGTGACCGATTTATGTTTCTCCTTTGCTTTTCATCACTTTTGTGATAGACATCTGATGCCCGATCCAAAAAGAAGGTCGCAGGCTTTGAAGTTTCCCCGTGGAGAGTTGGTCTTTTTCCAGTCCTGTAAACCCTGGCGCGCAAGGGTGTTTTCCTTAATTTTTCTATCTGGAAGTGAATCCGAGACACCATCTAGTCTCCCATACTTAATCTTGCCTGTAACTCTTCGGGGGTGTAACGTAGTCAGTACCTGGGTCACGGTGTTCCCGAAGAGGACAAGCGCCAAGAGCTCCGAAGCCGCGACTCTTCACCTTTTCCCTTCACCACCACGACTACTCTTGTCTTGTCTCCCTCCCCTCCCCTCCCACACTCCCATCCCTTCTTGCCTCTTTAACTCTATGTCCACATAATCTCGACCCACCCACCACACCGGGCGGCTCCCAGCGCTGCCACAGACACCCACCATGGATTACGAGATGGACCTGGAGCCCTCGGGCCCGCAAGTCACCGTCCGCGAAGTGCGTAATTCCTGGCCTGCCCACACACACTCCCAGAGAAGAAAAAAAGACTAACAAGGGCAGGCTGAACCCTACCGCGTCGACTTCCGCCTCAGCGCGGTCGACCTTGCCTTCGCCAACTCCCTGCGCCGCACCATCCTGGCCGAGGTGCCCACCGTGGCGCTCGACCTGGTCGAAATCGAAGCCAACACCTCCGTGCTCCCCGACGAAATGCTCGCCCACCGTCTCGGCATGATCCCGCTCAACTCGCGGAACTGCGACCAGGACCTGGAGTACACGCGCGACTGCGACTGCGAGGACCACTGCGTGCGCTGCAGCGTGACACTTTCCCTCCACGCGCGCTGCAATTCCGCGGGCATCATGCCTGTCTACGCGCGCGATCTCATTGTCGTCGGCGAACGGATGAATGAGACCATTGGCAATCCCGTCATTACGGACCCGGAGCTGAAGGGGCCCTTGATTTGCAAGTTGCGCCGGGGGCAGGAGATTAAACTTACCTGTCTCGCAAAGAAGGGCACCGCAAAGGAGCATGCGAAGTGGGCGCCCACCGCGGCGGTGGGATTCGAGTATGATCCGCACAATAATCTGCGCCATGTGGATTACTGGTACGAGCAGGATCCCATCAAGGAATGGTACGTCTCTCTCCTCTCTCTCTTCTTGTCATGGTTCACACTGACATGTTCATCTGCAGGCCCGTCTCCGACAACGCAGCATGGGAACCCCCCTCCAATTCAGATCAACCATTCGACTACGACGCCGAACCGAACACCTTCTACCTGGACGTCGAGAGCATCGGCAACCTCGAGCCAGACATGATCATCCAGCAGGGCATTGTCACACTGCAGCGCAAGCTCGCCACAACCGTCTCCTACCTCTCAGGCGAAGGCGAGGGCCACGGCGGCGCCGAGGATGCCGACATGATGGGCGCCGGCGATGCAGACTACGAGCCACCCGAGGGTATTGATGGGAATCTCACATCGTATGGGACTGGCGCGGCGAGCGCGTGGGGCGCCAGTGCGCAGACTCCCTATGGGGCTACGCCGTATGGGCAGAGTGCGTATGGGTTCTGAGGAGAGCTGGCATGCATGCGGGCTGGAGTTTGGATTCTGGGGCGCAATCGGGCGTTCTATGTGTATGATTATAAAACCGCTGATGATATCTGGTTTAGAGAAAATGCTTGTCCATATGAACAAAAAAAGAGTTTTCCTTCTACTTCCCTTGCCCAGCTATAGATGCCCCTTCACCTATACTCATGGACCCAACCAACGCAGCACAAGCACAAACAGGAAAGGACCGAAAGGATGAAGAGAATCAATCACCTACTCCATTTTCCCTCCCCCAAATATCTCCCCCAACTCAACAAACCCACCTCTAACAAGCTGGTCCAACAGGTCCACATGTCTCTGCGCTGAAGCGAGCGCATCTAATCGATCTCGAAAAAGACCGCGGATCTCCATGAGGAACGCCCGTTCTTGCGACGGTGCCTCTTCTGGGTCATCGACGATGAAATTCGCCCCTAGCATCTCGATTGACCGGTCGAGTGCCTCGATGAAGTCTTCCGGTGTGCTGTGCAGGTGGTGGTGATGGTTGTTGATGGCTGTGGGGAGCGGGATTCCTACCCATTTGACCATTTGCGTCCCCCTTGGGATGTATTCGATGTTGTTGTGAGGGAGGTTGTTTGAGAAGGATGAGTAGGAGGTACCTGAGGACGCAGAATCTGAGCGGGATCCTGGTCCTGAAGACGAGTGTGGCTTCCAGCTGGGGATTGTACTGGATCTGGATCGGGACATGCAATCAGCTAGAATCGTCCTACTGGGTACATACAACCGGTCCAGCACCGGATGCGTGCTCAACGGGAGCAGGACATGCGTGGTATGTTCAACACTGCTGCTGTCTTTCACCGTGAGAAGAGAAAGCCGTTTCGCCGGTGCCGGATCGGGATTCTGTGCTGGAATGAGAACACTGCCCTTGTACTCGTCCTCGAGGTAGACGATTGTCTGGAGGATGTTTCTGTTCAGGCGTTCGATTAGACTAGTTTCCCGAGGATGCTGGGCTGTGGTGGTGGGTTTACCTTCGCCATGTGCCTGCGCTTGAGCTTGAGCTTTGGGTTGACTGTTGGATTTGGAGGTGAATTTGCGAGTATCTTGGATTGGAGGCATTGTGACGTGCAGATCAATGAGAGGGGAGGATGGAAGGGGGTATAGCCGCTTGAGGACGATTGCATGTTCAGAGAACTTTAGAACGCACCGCTCTTTTATATTCTGCCTTGGGGAAATCCATCTTCGACCTTGAGGGAGAATGCCGTCCCAGTATAAGACATTTCTTTGTCTTGTGGGCCGGGATATTGTCTCGGTCAGAAGGGCTTTGGTCTCAGTCTCAGCATGAAAGAAACCTGGACTACTCTGCTACAACCTGTAGTGGGCATAGGTCTACGAAGTCAAGACTCAAAATGAACAGGATGTTGTGTATTATTAAGACAGAATCAGATTAATGTATCCCAGATCCAGACCCGGGCGATCAATGCTGTGTAGCAATGCGCCCCCTTTTCAACGCCTGATCGTCAGATCTATGCAGAAACAAAACACTCGCTAGAAATGCACAAGCACGATTCCGCCACCTTCACTCCATCAACTCGACCGGTGGCCGAGAGGTCTTGGGTGGCATCTTCTTGACCGACATGTCGATGGGGCTCAGATCCATGTCCACATCCTCGTCGTCATCGTCGCCCACCACAGTGGTATCCTCCACCAGCACGGCCGGCAAGCCGGGGCTGCCACCGTGATCTTCCGGATGATAGATCAGCGTACTGCTCCGGCTGCGGCGCTGCTCACCAGCCGGCGGCCAACTGCCCGTGCGCTTGTCCGACGAGATAGACACCGGGGTAGCAGGATCCACAGCCATGGGCTCAGGGGCCTGTGTTGCGTGATCCGTCTTGAGCATAGACAGCGCATGGGCCAGGTCATGAGCATGCACCTCCTTGTTCGGCGGCTCCTCATTGCGCATCACCCAGCCATGCGGCGGGCTAGGCGGCGGCGAGATAAAGAACATCTTATCGGGCTGGGGCGCTTCGAGCAGCTTGGGCCGGCGGGCCTCCTCGTCCGAGAAAATGGGCGTGTGCTCGCCGAAGTAGATGCGCGGATACACGCGGCCCAGTAGCCGATTTCCCTCGAGCATTTTGCGGGCGGCGACTGCATCGTCGTTGGAGTGGAAGGAGCAGACGATGCGACGGAGGGAGGGCAGTGGGGAGAAGGAGTTCAGTGGCGCCACGGCTGTGAGTTGGGAGCGGATGGTGTCGAGGGCGGAAGGTTGGAAGAGGTGTAGGTCGTGCAGGTCGGTGACCAGGAGGGTGTTGGATGGTGGCGATGGCTGTGAGAGTGGGGGGAGGTTGGAGAGGTCGAGGGAGAGAGATGGGCGAGACGAGGAGCGACTCGTGGTGATGGAGGGAGAGGAGAGTAGTGTGGGAGGTGAGTGAGATCCCATATTGCTTGTAGTTGTTATGGTAGTTGTGAGTGTGGTGTGTTGAGAGAAATCGAAGGAGATGAGATGGTAAGATCAGGAGACGGAGGCGGCAAGAGGAATAAATACACAAATTGCCACTGGGCACGTTTTTCTCCTTTTTGTCCGTTTTGGGCAAAACCGAGACCTCGCAGCAAAACTCTTTCAATCAGATCCCCAACAAAGCGGACTATTGGAGGCGCAGTATGCGTGCACTGCCTCGCATCTGCTTACATCGTGGTCTTGATCCCCCTGGCGATCCACTTGACAAAGGATGCGCCACACCTTGCGCCACAGCGGAAACGGGCACTCCGAGCTTGAGCACGGTAGCTGTGCCTCTATCTGAGCCTCTCTCTGAGCCTACTACTGGACCTCCCACCACGAACTATCAATCTGCCTAAAGACACAGCTTGACGTGGTCACTGTGCCCAGAGTATCGCCACAAGCCCTTGGCATTGCATGGCCGCACAAATGCGGGGAATAATCAGTCATGATAGGAACGAGGCGCAGCATCTATGATCACGATTAAGATTACATGGTGGAAATGGCCCGACATCGATCCGCCATCGCCCTCTGTGTCGCCTTAATAAAAGGCGCGTAGATATCAAACGCATGAGGCAGGCCGGGATGCACATGGAGCTCCACCGCGATATCCGCTGCAGCCAGCCGTGACGCAAACTTCAACGTCTCACCCAGGAAGATATCCGCCGTGCCAACCTCCAGATACGTGGGTGGCAGTCCCTCGACACTGGCCATGCGCCCCGGGGCCGCGTACGGCGGGACGTGGTCCGACCCATACAGGTCGCCCAGATAAGTCGACCAGGCCAACGCGTTGGTCGTCGTGGTCCAGATGGCCGCGGCGTCCTGCACCGGCCGAGCGACGGTATTCTTATCGTCCAGCATGGGATAAACGAGGATCTGCTTCGCCACGCCGGGTGTCAGGCTGCGGTCCTGGGCCATCAGCGTGATCGCCGCAGCAAGGTTGGCCCCGGCGCTTTCGCCAAACGTCCCGATACGCTGGCGGTCGATACCGAACTGTTCTGCATGCTTGTGCAGCCACGCCAGTGCCGCATAGCAGTCTTCGGCGGGGGTGGGGAAGCGGTGCTCCGGCGCGAGACGATAGTCGACCGTGAAGATCTGCATCCCCGTCTCCTGCACCATCAAGGCACAGCGATTGTGGAACAAGTCTCCGCCGCCGAAGAGCATGCCGCCGCCGTGGATGTGGATGAGTGCTGGAGCAGGTGTTGTTGTCTCGGTCCCCTTTTTCCAGAACCGGTGCACGGGGATGGTCTCGCCGTCGTACGAAGGGACTTGGTGCTCGCTGTGCTCAGCCTCCGTGGCTCGCGGCTGCTGGCTCAGCATGTTCTCGAAAGCGACGGTGACTGCAGCTCGCACAGCCAGGGGGTCCAGTGCATCGGGCTTGGGTTTGTCGGCGCGGGCGGCGAAGATGGGCGCGACAGCCTCGCGGAATTCGGGATCCCACTGAATAGGCATTGTGTTTTATGAGGGAGGGGACTGTGTAAGGCTGGGAGAGTGATTTGGGCAGTGCAGACAAGACTCGAGTGGTGTGAATGGCCCCAATTTATCCCGTCCGGCATTCCCTTGAGCCTTGCAGAGGTGATTCATTCTGATCGGATTCGGCGTAAATACGTAGAACTAGTCCGGCGACTATTCGTCGATGGGGCCATGGGGCCAAAGCTGCAGCGAGGTAGAACCTGCCTGGTCATAAAGTAAATATCCAAGCAAGTCCGAGATTGTGGAGCCGCAATCGGGAGTCAACGAATACAAAGTAAGGGCTAACGAGGCTCGCGTGAGATTGGCGCCAAGTACATTTAGTTTGTCGATCTGCGGTTTTCAACAGGCAACAATGAGTACTCACGGTTGGTCACCAACAGAAGCCAGGCCTCGCCCGTCGGGGTTTAGTAAATGAGCCCGAAGCCCGGTCAAATAAGAAAATCTCAGAATGTCACGACTAAGTTTCCTTTTTTTTTTTTTTTTTTTTTTTTTGGTGGGGGGGGATAGATACAGGTATGTGAAAACTAAGAAGCTTGCGCAAATGCCAAATGGGCCAACCCTACTACAGTACACGGCGACCAAAAAACCAACTCTGCAGCGAGGGCAATGACAGCGCCAGCCAAGCAGATAACCTCGCGCCCAAGCGTTCCCCAGACCATATTCAGATACCGAATTGAATTCTGCGCTTTCCCAGTTCTAGCATCCTTGATACGGAGACTGTATGTCTGGCTGTTTCTGGCTTGGCCGCCGAAACTGCGGTCGAAGGGCACAAGGGGCTCGTCTTCGCTGGGGAGCATTGAGGCTGCAACTCTGATGTATATAGCCTGAGTGGCAAGCGAGGTCAGATATGCCAAGGCCAGTGGCAGCATGGAGACTATTTGGATGTAGTCTGTGGATTCCATATCGCCTATCGTACCGAAAAAATGGCTGTCATAAACAAGTTCCAGCGGTATCTTGACCAAATGGTAGACAAGGGACGGCAGGATTATATCCAGAGAAGCAGCCGGGAGGATTTCAATCCATTCTCGCCAGCCCAGAATCCGCTGCCAGGATGGTTTCGTGCTGGGTTTCGAAATGACAACGTGAACCCAGGCTGTATGCAAATTCGTCAGAAGAATCCCCCAAATGATCCGGACAGGAAATTCGATTCTCTCGTCGTGAAACCAGAGTTTGGCGGGGAGATTTATCAAGCTCGAAAGCAGCATATACACCAAGAACATAGCAAGTCCTGGATAAGTGGACCAAGATCCTGTTCCTTGGCTTTGTAAGTGTCGACGAGCACGACTTCGTTGAGCCGTAATAGCATCGGGGTGGGTTTTGTTATAAGAATCCGTGGATAGTGCGTTGTGCACTGCAAGGAGAAGCTGGGGAAGTATAATATTTTGGACCTTCATGTCATCCTTGCAAATAACCACCAGGAAAATGTAAGTGGCCACGCAGACGAGGGAGTGCTTCCCAAGCGCAGATACTAGCCTCCAGAGCAACGGCTTCATATTTGCCGCTGATTCGCTTGATGCAGCATCACCAGGCTCATTTTCAGCTTTCTCAAGTTCGGAAACATCGTCCTTTGCTGGGTCTCGAGAAGGGCCAGCGCCGCTATTACGCTTCCATCTCTGTATTCGAACTGAAGAAGGCGATCAGTTTCGAGCTTAGTTGAAAATGGCTGTTAGCTCTTACTTACATGGAAGTAAACCATCAATCCTATGAGTGCTGTGGCGACCGCACTCGTCGGGATCTCCAACCCATGACATGACGCTGTGTGAGCGAACCCAGCACCACTGAGAAAGGCAGATTGCCATTGTGCCAGTGATCTCAGAGACATTATGTGGAAAGTCCCAATGAATTTCTTGTTTTGCCAGCACAAGAATCAATCTTAGTGGTCTGTCTTATTGGGGAATCGCTTAGGGGGCGGGAAGACAGAAAAAGCGACAAGGATGCCAAGTGTGATTACTGGAGAGCATGTCTGTGGCTGACAAGCTCCGCAACTTCACTTTGAGGCAAATGAACCGAGTCTGGAAAATTGCCTGGATCCCTGGATAATAGTGACTACTGTCTAAAGCCATACGGAAGTCCTTCCAAGCTCTCCTCTCATAGGTCTTTTTCATCCACCAGCAGAGTACCCAATATAGTTCGGCCCAGCGTTTTTCCCACCGGTCAGGTGACGCGCGATGAAAATTGCCCATTACCACTCCCGACGCTGCAACCAACACCTTCCCTAAGCTCTCCCTCACCTCAATTCCTGCCCACCATGTTCCAACGAACTCTCCTCAGACAAGCCCAGGCCGCCCGGTCGGTCCTGACCTCCACATCTGCCGCGCCGATGGCACTTCGCCGGACGTCTCGATTGCAACCACGCCTGCCGCAGTCGGTCCGACCCTTCGCTCCCCAGCCCATGTCCCGGTTCTACTCCACGGAACAGAAGGAAGCGTCATCAGAAGCTGCCGAGGCCTCCGAGGAGGCTGAGGATCCCGTTCGCAAAGAGCTAGAGGAAACGAAGAAGGAGGTGGTTGAACTCAAGGTAATTACCTCGCAAACCTTACAATCCCTCGAGTTGTTCTAACGCCGCTGCTCAGGATAAATACCTCCGCTCTGTCGCCGACTTCCGCAACCTTCAGGAGCGCACGAAGCGCGACATGGACAACGCCCGCAACTTCGCCATCCAGCGCTTCGCCGTCGACCTCCTGGAAAGCATCGACAACTTCGACCGCGCCCTGCTCGCCGTTCCCGCTGACAAGCTCAACGCCCCCGAGAACGAGGCCAACAAGGAACTGCTGGATCTCGTTGCCGGCCTTAAGATGACCGAGAACATCCTCATGAACACCCTCACGAAGCACGGCCTGGTACGCTTCGACCCCGGCGAGAAGACTGAGGATGGCAAGGTGCAGAAATTCGATCCCAATCGCCACGAGGCGACTTTCATGGCCAAGTCCGAGGATCTGGAGGATGGCGATGTGATGCACATTCAGAGCAAGGGCTACATGCTGAATGGTCGCGTGCTGCGGGTATGTGGCTCTTCTCCCAAGTTGTGGGAGCGTCTGCTAATGCATCTCACTATAGGCTGCCAAGGTCGGCGTCGTCAAGAACACCTAAATCCATAACCCACCCACCCATCGATACACCTTTTCTTTCGATTTCGGGTTTCCTTCTTCCCTCTGTACCATATATCATACACACCCCCATCACGATCACGATAGGGATATTGCAGTCGGATGCTGCTGGCGGTTGGACTCGGGGAGGAAAAAAGAACTTCATGTTTTCTTGATATCTCTTTCTGTCTTGTCTCTTGGTCTTGGATCCCCGTCTGTATGATACGTTTCCCATCATCTTGTTGCATGTGCCTGGAGGCGTCCGGATTGTATTCGTGTTGGGGCTGTCTTCACGTTTTCTTTGCAATCGGTGTCTTCTTGTTCCCTATCACTTGATAACTCTCTCCTCCTCATTTTGTATAATACACATACACCCTAGTGGTCCGTCTGAATTTTTGAGATTCCTTAATTACGGTAGAGCAATCTGGCATAAAAGTAGAAAAGTACAAAGTGAAAATGTATTTATACAATGTCATCACGCGCGGAACTAGATCTGAGCCAGATCTTTACAATATAATCCAACCCGTCACCTCAATTCCACACCCAGGAGCCCAACAAGCTTCTCCCGGACCTGATCATGCAGCCCATTGGTCTCCTCGTTCGTCAAGGTGCGCTCAAGACTGCGGTAGTTGATGCGATAGCACATGCTCTTGCGGCCCGTCTTGGGATGCGTAAACTCGTCAATCAGAGCAACGTCCTCGACCAGATCACCGCCGATGCCGCGCACAATCTCCATCACGTCATTTTCATGGAAGGGCACAGCACCGCCTGCCGCACTACTGCCACCAGTGACCGCAGCAGGAGGCAGCCAAAAGGCAACGTCCTTGTAGCAGGCCGGATGTTTCGAGAAAGGCTCGAAGCGCGCGACGTGGCCGGCGCGGAACTGGGATAGGAACCGCTCGTCGCGGGACCAGAAGAGACGAATATCAGGGATGTTGAAGAGGAGCATGGCGATGCGTTCGATGCCCAAGCCAAATGCCCAGCCCATGCGGTCCGGGACATCGGAGTTAATCAGGAGTTCTTGTTTGATGACGCCGCAGCCTAGAATCTCCAGCCAGTCGCCTTGCCAGAAGACTTCAAGCTCCCAGGACGGGCTGGTGAACGGGAAGTAGGCCTCAACCCAGCGCACCTTCAAGGGTTCCTGCTCGGTTGGGGAGCCTGTGCTTACGGCCGCGGCTTTGCTGGCTTCGGTGAAGATGCGGATCACCATGTTCTCCAGGGACCGCTTCAGGTGCGCGCCTACGGCCTCGACTTCCTCGGCACTGTGATGCTCCGCCTGCAGCGGATTGCGCTCCGGGTGGATGGTCGGGTTCGGGTCTTCGACCACGACATCGTGACGCGGGAGCTTGTCCAGATCCGCCATGATCTTTGCGGCTGTGGCGCTGGAATGCGCCAGCGGGTCCGGGGACGGCCGCTTCCACAGCATCGCACCCTCCATCTGGTGGAAGACCGGGTAGTGGCTGCGGTCAATGGCGTCGCGGCGGTAGACATCCGCGATCACGGTGTACCCGACCTCCTCCGGGCGGGTCTGTTCATTGCGATTGATCTGCTGGAAGTATGCCTGCTGGTGTGCACTCGTGTGAGTGCGAAGCACCGTCTTCTCATTAACATAGTATGTATCGGTGCGGCTGCGGCCCGGGTGATCTGCTGAGAAGCCTAGGATGTCGAAGTTCTGTGCGGTGGTGACGACGGGGTTTTTCTCGGAGTAGTTGCCGAAGACAGGGCAGGGGAATTGGCTTTCAATGAGTTTGCGCGTGATTGCGAGCGGGTGGTTGTCGTCCAGGTATAGACGTCGTCCGACATGCGACAAAATGGTGTCGGGGGTGTTGGTCCATTGGTCCGTGGGGTAGGGCTTGCCCTCAATTGTGAGATGGGCTCGCTGTTTGGGGGTCTGAGGGGTGGAGGTGGCTGATCGAGTGGCACTTGAAGCGTGATCGGCTGTCCGACGAGCTGTGGTTGAGCTCCATTCGCGGTGGTGGACTGTTGGTAGGGGTGGGCGCGCAATTGTGGAACAAGATGCGACGATGGACCAGCGGCCACTGCTGGCACGCAGAGCTCTGCCGGTGGCTACTAGACGCATGGAGAGGAACGGTGCGCCTTGGCCAGCTTCACTTAGGGGCTGTCTTTACGGAAGTCCACGAGCAGTGCTTTGCAAAACACGGTCGACTGTTGCGAGACGGATCGGCAAAACAAGTGGCCGAAGTAGACTGCTAATGTGCCAGCTACTCTAATCATGAATGAAGGTGAATACGTAGTAGATTATGATTCATGATCATGGCTATATTCAACCTGTTGATTTAATTCTGTGATTGAATACCAGGACAGAAATATCGCCGACCCTCAACTGTCGCACCCAATCATCCCTCGGGTAAGCCAGTTATTTATTTTCTTCCGCATAACCAACGCAACCGCCGCGATTCCACCGAAGATCACCGCCTGCCATCTCGAGCGCCATCTATGAGTGTCCTTTGACTACAATGCGATAACTACCATAGATGTAGCTATCGGCGTCTACATTACAACGCCGAGGTCACCCGCTCCGGCCGAGATGAAGTAATCCGTAGAGGCTGGATGGGAATACTCCGCAGAACCGAGACGTTGATTGGCGCAGCGACCGGTGGCTCTCGGAGCCTGATTTTGAAGCGCCGAACCGAAAAAAAGGCCTGGCGACCCTTTTCTCCAACTCCCCGCCCCCTCGCCACCTTCTTTTCCCAGGACTGCTGAGCATGGCAGACGGAAAATTGCTAGAGGGCTCGTCGCCCGCGGCTCGCTCGCGGCTGGCGTCGGCGACCACGACGCCATCTAAACCGAAGAAGGTGCATTATCCGTTCTGGTTCGGGGGTTCGGCGTCATGCTTTGCGGCCGCTGTGACGCATCCTTTAGACTTGGGTAAGTCCTGATTTCCCCCTCTACGTTGAGGATTGTTTACTAACGCTGCGTAGTCAAGGTATGCCACTTGCGTCGGGGATTTCAGAGTCATACTAAACATCACAGGTCCGGTTACAAACACGCGCACCCGACGCTCCGAGGACAATGGTGGGCACTTTTGCACATATCGTGAGAAACAACGGAATTACGGGATTATACGGCGGAGTATGTTCAGCAATCGCAGTGGAGAGATGATATGACTGACTCCGACAAATGTAGCTCTCCGCAGCAATCCTCCGGCAATTGACCTATTCCACCACGCGCTTCGGCATCTACGAAGAGCTAAAACAACATTTCGCCTCTCCCTCGCCAAACTCGTCCACATCATCCCCGGGCCTATTCACACTCCTCGGCATCGCCTGCACGTCAGGCTTCATCGGCGGGTTTGCCGGCAACCCAGCAGACGTGCTCAACGTCCGCATGCAACATGACGCCGCGCTCCCGCCAGCGCAACGACGAAACTACAAACATGCCCTCCATGGCCTGGTACAGATGACCCGCACGGAGGGGTTCGGCTCACTCTTCCGCGGCGTGTGGCCCAACTCGACGCGCGCGGTGCTTATGACGGCATCGCAACTCGCTTCCTACGACACATTCAAGAAACTCTGCATGGAAAAGGCCGGTATGGCCGATAACCTCGCTACACACTTTACGGCCTCATTGATGGCCGGGTTCGTTGCGACCACGGTCTGCAGCCCCGTCGACGTGATCAAGACCCGCGTTATGACCGCGTCGCCCGCGGAGACCCGCGGCCATACCATCCTGGGTTTGCTGCGCGATATCTGTCGCAAGGAGGGTCTGGCATGGACGTTCCGTGGCTGGGTGCCGAGCTTTATTCGCTTGGGTCCTCATACCATTGCCACGTTTCTCTTCCTCGAGGAGCATAAGAAGCTCTACCGACGATTGAAGGGTATTCCGAATGAGGTCTAATGACCTCTTTCCTTCTTTCCGATTTTCATCTTCCTGTGCCCGCCAGCCATCCAACATCAGCTTCTTCCTCCTTTTCTGGTACATAGGACTTTGGATTTGACATTTTCCCGACTTCGGCGGGATGCCTCTTTTAACACACTCGAGCATTATCTTGGCTGGTACATATCTTGCATTTACCTCGCTTTGTTTTATGATTGGCTTGGTCTCGCAGAGACTCGGAGCCTTGGGCGCTTACTTTGGACACGGCCATCCTGCGGGGTTTGATATACCTCTGGGTTGGGAGAGCGGATTACATAGACTTAGAGATACACCCGATACACCTGAATGGCATTGAAGTTTCCGTGAAGAAAATCCGAAACATTCGTCCTTTTGGGAGGCTACATATACCTGCCTTAGGGGGCGCTTCATACACACATTCTGACTAGCATCCACATTGAAGAAAAGAAATTACAAACGCATACAATCCACACAATCTCTTTGCAATTGAGCGAGTCTATACACTCCTACTCCTATGGAAGCACAGCGCGACCCAACGAAGCAGGGAATGCACCCGCGCACGGGCAGACCAGGTAGAGTACATTGGAAGTTGTCAATACACAATAAAAATAACCAACCCACAGCGCAGCGGCCGCTGGTTATTTACCGGTCCAGGATCGCGGGGAAGTTGCCGCCCTCTGCATGGGAAAGATAGGTTAGTATGAGGCCTCAAAATAAACACGGGTTGTGGGATGCGTACCGCGCTGGCCATCCCAACGGTCGGTCCAGGCCTTGGGGCAGAGAGAACGGTAGGCGTGGTAGAACTGCTGTGTATTAGTGGTTTGAACTCCACTGGTGTTATTGGGAGGTTTCAAGGTACATACCTGACGGCACGGGCGGAAGTCCTCGCCCTTTGCGGTGACGCACTTGTAGTAGTCGACGTAGTTCTGCCAGCAGTGCTTGGTCCTGAGAAGCGGAGTTAGATGTCGCCAGATACAGGCATGAGGAATGGACGTACTGGTTCATCTGCGGGAAACGAGCATCGTAGCCTGCAATTGAATCGAAATTGTCAATTTCACCTTCCCAAACCGGCCAGGGTACTCCTGTGGGGGAGAATCCCCCAACCCAACATATATCACAGAATCATATCGACGAAGACGTACCAGCTGTCCCGGAATTAGTCATTGAGCTTGAAACGAGGGCCCATTGACCCCCCTCGGTGGAGGAGGGGGGTGGGAGGGTGTGTGGAGGAACTCACCAGTCACGAACTTGAAGGGCTTGGTCTCGATGGTCTCATCGGGGTCGGCTTCGGGAATAGCACCCATTTTGGCGAGAGGTCCCAGTACACAAAGAGAGCTGAGATGGGGGGTGTGGGCGTGGGAGTGGAATAGGGAGTAGTTAGTGTGTCGAGGTCAAGAAGAGGTGACGCCGAGTTGAAGTTGGGTGGTGCTCCCGGCTGCGCCCGGGACAACACTTTTTCCCTTTCCCTCCGACACCCGAACGAATAATAACGACTCGCCGCTTTGAGAGCTTCAACCACTCGTCATCTTCTCATCCCACACTTGGTCTCCCCAACTCAACCCCACCATGTATCCCACTCGCATTCTGCGGATGCAGGCCACCCGGCCTATGTTCCATCCCGCTCCTGTATGTTGCTCCTGAACCACGTCTCTCGCCTCCCTCCTGAGCGAGCCCTCCTAGCTTTTCGGTTAATGCTAACTCCCTGTCTACAGAAGGAGAACCAGAGCGGTACGCAGCTTTCCCCAACCCGTGACTCTTCATCACCAAGATCCTCTGCGGGGGTTTGAGTCTTGTGAGGTAGCAATTGGACTAACCAGCCCCGGAAACAGCCCACACCATCTCGCAGCGTCTCCGCACGCTGAAGAGGATCCCTCCGGAGTTGATCCCTCTCGGTACGTTGTCTACTCCTGTCATGCGTCTTCTCTGCGATTTCTAACATTTTCTGGTATACAGGTCTTGTCCTGGGGTACGTTTCTACCTAACATCAATTGCGCCATTTTGGCCCCGCGATCGATGCACAGATATCTATCTCTGTCTCTGTCGCGACCAGACTTTTCCTTGTCATGTACTAACACCGTGTCCGTATAGTGTTGCCGTTGTGGCTGCCGTCTACTCCAGCGGCCACAAGCTGATGACCGACAAGACCCTGCGTCTCTCGCGCAACAGCCCCGAAAGCCGTGAGCACTAAATGTACCACCATGTATCGTTGAGCTCCAAATGCGATTCAAAGTTGTTTTTTTCTTTCTTGCCGCTTTTGTAATTGAGACAGAGGAGTGGAAATTTGCCGGGAAGGAGTGATATCAAGTCGCGAAAAAAAAAAAGAGCAGAGATTGAAAAAAAAAGTGATTCGCTTCGAAACTGGAGCGCAAGTGTGTGTACATATCCGGCCGCGCAGGTGTGTTGTGTAATCGAATAATTTGAAGGTGGCCATTTCAACGAGTATTGCTGTCGTCGTGTTGTAGAGGGTGTAGTATAGATATTCATTATCTTCGTAGCCATTGCGAGGTCGTGCCCTTCCATTCTGACTGTGCAGGCTCATTCTGCTTTCGGCCCAGCCACATCGAGCTGGTCCAAGCCTTGCATTGGGTCCTGCGGGAGATTGCCTGCATTCTGAGCCTCATCGGCTGCTTGCCGATCCTCCTCGCTAACAGCATGTTTGGCCAGATAGCCCTCCTGTGAGGTATTAGTCCGTCTCTCTCCAATAGGATACAGATTAGAGAGGTACATACCTGCTCCCAGATGGCGGTCTTGCTGCCCAGTCCCTCGGCGGCGTCCTTTTGCGGTTTCGCGGCCGCGACCTTGATCGTGCGCCCATAGAGCTCGCTGCCGTCCATGTTATCGATGGCCTCTTTGGCATCCTGAGGCAGGTCAAATTCCACATATCCGAAGCCCCGGTGCTGGTCGGTGGAGTTGGGCGCATCCGGCTTTGGGAGTGAGATGTCGACTACTTCGCCGAAGGGGACAAAAGCCTCTGCGAGGGTCTGTCGGGTCACGGTCTGGTCGAGACCACCAACGTAGACCGTGCTCTTGAGCCGGGTGCTGTCGCTCATTTTTTCTGGGAGTGGGATGTAATGCCAGGGAGTCGTGTAGCCGACCAAAAGGCACCCGAGCTGTAATCCAAAGAATGATTGATATCACGTGCCGAGTCACTGTTTTGGCGAGTGCCCCAATGGGTTTAGCGCGTTCCCTCCCCCGGTCCCTCCAAGTCCAGGAGGCCACTTGGTTGTCTTCCAACCTGCCACCTGCACATCGCACATCCCCCCCGTCTGTTATTTACTGGGGTGGGATTTTGTCCTCTTTTTTTCTTCGTTTAATTCCTTTCCCTGCGTTTTGTCTCTTCTGGCTCCAAAAACATTCCTAGTCTACCATCACAATCACAATGGTGCGCCTGAGGGAAATCCCACGGACGGCCACCTTCGCCTGGTCGCCCGGGGCTGCATCACCATTGATTGCCACGGGTACTCGGGCGGGTGCCGTGGATGTCGATTTCTCCAACAAGACATGCCTGGAGCTCTGGGATCTTGGTCTGGATCGCCAGGACGCCAGCGAGGAGCTGCAGCCGCTAGCTAAGATCGACACCGATTCGGGGTAGGGTGGCCGTTTTGACACTGGATGATACTGTGGCTGACGGGATAATCTACCTAGGTTCAACGACATTGCATGGACCGCTTCCGACGATAGCCAACGTGGTGTGATTGCGGGTGGTCTGGAGAATGGCGCGTTGGATATGTGGAATGCCGATAAGCTGCTCGGAGGGGCCAGGTTGGTTATTCCGAAGAACATAACACGGGGTCTAGTAGCTGATCGATCCCAAGTGATTCTTTGCTCTCAAGGACCTCTCACCACAGTGGCGCCGTCAAGGCCCTTCAGTTCAACCCCAAACATTCGAATCTACTGGCCACCGGTGGAGCTAAAGGAGAGGTATGCTTGGGAGATTCAATTGCAATACCTTATATGGTTGGCTAATAAGCTCTTGATCAGCTGTTCATTTCAGACCTGAACAACCTCAACAGCCCATCTCGGCTTGGGAGTACAGCCGCTCGCACGGATGACATTGAATGCTTGGACTGGAACAAGAAGGTCGCCCACATCCTGGTCACTGGCAGCAGTGCTGGGTTTGTGACCGTCTGGGACGTCAAGTCTAAGAAGGAGAGCTTGACTTTGAATAATATGGGCCGGAAGGCTGTGTCCGCCGTGGCCTGGGATCCCGAGAAGCCCACGAAGCTCGTCACTGCGACACCTCTCGAGTCAGACCCCTTGATCTGCGTTTGGGATCTCCGAAACTCCCACGCCCCCGAACGGACCCTTCGCGGCCACGAATCTGGTGTGCTCTCGCTTTCCTGGTGCGCCCAAGACCCAGACCTGCTCCTTTCTTCCGGCAAAGATAACCGCAACGTCTGCTGGAACCCGCAAACCGGCCAGGCATATGGCGAGTTCCCTGTGGTCACGAACTGGACATTCCAGACCCGCTGGAACCCGCACAACCCCAACTTCTTTGCTACTGCATCCTTTGACGGCAAGGTCTCGGTCCAGACCCTTCAAAACACCAGCACCGACACCGCCAAGGCCATTGCCGATCAGAACCAGGCTCTCGATGGGGAGGACTTTTTCGCCAAGGCGCAGACTCAGCCCAAGGTCTCCACATTCTCTTTGCCCAAGGCTCCTCGCTGGTTGGAGCGGCCATGTGGCGCCAACTTCGCTTTTGGTGGACGAGTTGTCTCTGTTGGGCTGGCTGATCAGGCTTCCCGCGCCTCGAAGGTCAGGATCACGCCCTTTGAAGTGGATGCGAGCGTGGGCAATGCCACCGAGAGCTTTGAGAACGCGCTGAAAGAGGGTGATCTTCGGAATCTGTGCGAAACCAGGGCATCGGCCGCCTCGAGTGAAGAAGAGAAGGCTGACTGGAAGGTGATCGAGGCCTTGCTCTCCGAGAATCCTCGTAAGGGCCTGGTGGAGTATCTGGGCTTCCAGGATTCCGCAGGCGAGGCCGCTGATACCCTGGCAAAACTTGGCCTGGATACGAAGGGAGGCGAGGAGGCGAACGGTGTCCCTGAGACGGGGTCTCCCGTTAAAAAGCACAAGCGACTGCAGTCCATGTTCGATCCCAACCCCGAGAGTGACAACTTCCTCTCGGATCTGGCTGCTTCCAAGGGTGCCCGTACCAACAATCCGTTCCAGATCTTCAATGGTTCAGAGACCGATTCCGAGAAGCAGATCACTCGGGCCTTGCTTCTGGGCGAGTTTGACAAGGCCCTCGACGTGGCTCTCCAAGAGGACCGTATGTCAGATGCTTTTATGATCGCCATCTGCGGTGGTCAGAAGTGTATCGAGAAGGCACAGGAGCACTACTTCTCCAAGCAGGCGGGCGGCCCCAATTACTTGCGTCTCCTTGCGTCTATCGTGGGCAAGAACCTTTGGGATGTGGTTCACAATGCCGAGCTGTCCAACTGGAAGGAGGTCATGGCTGCCCTGTGCACTTTTGCTGACCAGAAGGAGTTCCCTGATCTTTGTGATGCTCTCGGTGACCGACTGGAGGAGCAGGTCAAGAGTTCCGGCGACAAGAGTGCTCGCAAAGATGCCTCTTTCTGCTTCCTGGCCGGCTCAAAATTGGAAAAGGTTGTCGCTATCTGGGTTGATGAACTGCGCGAGAACGAGCAAAAAGGAATTGAGACCGATACGGATAACTCCACCTTCTCCATCCACGTCCGCGCTCTGCAAGCCCTGATCGAGAAGGTGACCATCTTCCGCCAGGTCACCAAATTCCAAGACACCGAGCGAAACAAGGATTCAGACTGGCGTCTCAGCAACCTGTATGACAAGTACATCGAATACGCCGATGTTGTCGCCACCCATGGACGCTTACAGGTCGCCCAGAGATACCTGGACCTTGTGCCTGATAAGCACCCTGAGGCTGAAATTGCCCGCAACCGTATCAAGCTGGCTATGCGACAGGCTCCGCAAAAGGCACAGGGTGGAACCGCGGCGAAGACAGGGTTCAAGTCTCTCCCGCAACAGCCCAGACAGCCTAGCCCTTACGGCCCGCCGCAGCAGAACTTCACTCCCGCTGCTCCCGTCCAGCATGGTTACGCACCTCCCACGGCCGCTCCGTCACAGCCAGTGAACCCCTATGCTCCTCCGTCTGGTGCGCCAGTCCAGGCTGCCAATCCGTATGCCTCGATTCCTAGCGGCGCTGGCGGCCACGGCCAACCTGGTTACCAGCAAGGGCAGGGGATGAGACCAGCAGCCTACGGGCCACCCCCGTCTGCGTTTGGTGGACAGCCTGCGGGCTCAGCCGTCCCTCCTCCTCCGCGCGCCTCCAATCAATCACCTGCCAACACTGTCACGACCTACACCACGGCCACCGGCCTCCCCGCATGGAATGATCTGCCCGAAGGCTTTGCTAAGCCCGCCTCGCGTCGTGGCACCCCGGCTCAACGGCCCTCCCAGACCATCGTCTCGCCGTTCCCCAACCAGTCTCCGCCTCCTGGTCAAGGACCTCCCCCCATGGGCGTGGCTGCGCCGCCAGGTGGTCCTCAACGGACACCTTCAGTGCCGCCGCCTCCGCCCAAGGGTGCAGCACCCCCGCCACGCATGACATCTCCCCCGACTGCTGCACCACCTCCGGCGGCCTCCTTCTCTCCGCCGCCCCCGGCCAACCCCTATGCTTCCCTCACCCAGTCGCCGCCAGCCGCCTCGAACATGGCTCCTCCTCCGGCATCAATCCCGCGAGGACCTTCGCCGTATAATGCCCCGCCCAGCATGCCGCCGCCAACTAACCGGTATGCGCCGAGCCCGGCTGCCCAAGCTGCCAGCCCGCAGATGCAGATGCGCGCTCCTATGCCGCCGCCCCCTCAAGCGGCTCCCTCGCCATATGCTCCTCAGCAGGCATCCCAGCCACCGGCCGCGAACCCGTACGCTCCCAGTACGCCGACCACTGTGCAGCCTCCACCTATGGGTCAAGCACCGCCTATGGGTCAAGCTCCTCCTATGGGCCAGGCACCACCACCATCTCAGGGCTCTCGACCAGGCACGTCCCAGTCCCAGAAGGCAGCGGCTGCGCCTCCTAAGTACCGTACGTTTGTCCTTATTTGATTATTGTGTATGGAAACTAATACATCTTAGCCCCCGGTGACCGGTCTCACATTCCCGCCAACGCAATGCCTGTCTACGAGCTTCTCTCTGCAGACATGGAACGCGTCAAGGCCCGCGCCCCGTCCTCCTTTAAGAAGCAGGTCGACGATGCTGAGCGACGCTTGAACCTCCTGTTCGACCACTTGAACAACGAGGATCTGCTCAAGCCCAACACCGTCAACGATATGGCGACACTGGCCAACGCTCTTCAAAGCCGCGACTACGAGACCGCCCAGGCAATTCATGTCGATATCATGACCCACCGGATAGACGAGTGTGGTAACTGGATGGTGCGTCCCCTCCCCAATATATATATTTTTTCCCACGCATCGTATGATGACTGATATACTGACTTGAAATGAAATAGGTCGGCGTCAAGCGCCTGATCAGCATGAGCCGTGCTACCCCGTGAACTTGAGCGTCAAAGTTATACCAGTGCCCGCGGAGCGAAAGCGAGTTGTTTTGCTTTGTCTATGTGGACGGATAGAAGGAGAACAGAGTCCGGAAGCGCTGACCGAGTATAGTTCGGCGCTTGAAGACTTCTGGTTCTGGTTTCTTTTTTCTTGTTCATTCTATTTATTAATGTCTGCGTATTTCCTTTCTTTTCTCCTGCGGCTCTTCTCTTCTCCTCGGGGAGGCCTAGTTTGTCTGTTATCTCGAATTACTTCCGCTAGAGAAAAGAGGAAAAATTCCATTGGTTTTCTTGTGCCGTGAAGAAAGAAAAGCGCGGGCTTGGGTTTTATTTCTGGGGGCTTCAGTTGCTGATGATGATGGGTTGTTGGTTAGACTGCCAGAGCACATAGACTTGGAATATAAAACTGTTGCAGAGGAGATTATTGTCCACTTTCGTACCTCGATATGTTTTAGATGAGAATATTTGATTCAAATCATTCTATATACACTTGTACATCTCTACCTAGACAAACATGATAACACCTTGAACTATACAACCAGCTCATAGATCACCTCACCTCGCACCAGCAGCAGGCACACCACCCAGCCGTCCACCGCGACTAGCCGGGAAATTCCTCGCGCTCAGCAGCGCGCCCTTGACACCACGAATATCCGCCTTGAAGGCTGCAATGGCGTCATCTTCAGCCTTGCGCACGCCCATGGCACTGTTATCCACGCTCGAGCCGTTCCCGCCATACACACCGTACGACGCACCCGCAGCCGTGTAAGCGGGGGCACTGTAGATCAGGCCGTCGAGGTAGTGGTGCAGATCCGTGAGACCGGAGCGCATCGAGTCGTCAAGAGAGCTGGCGTCTTTTTCGAAGTCGACTACCTCGCGCAATTGGGACCGGATCGACTCGAGGCGTTTGAAGTGGTGGGATACCGCAATGCCTGCGCCTGTCAGGGTGAGTTCCTCCGTAGAGGAGCTCGAGGAGAGGGGTGTCGAAGATTCTTGGGGAGTCGTCTGCGTCGCGACGTCACGGTGGAACAGCTCCGTTGGGTCGGAGGTGACCGAGTCGCCGTCGTGGTCGACTTCGTCCTCCTCATCGTCAAGCGCAAGTTTGGGTTTGCGAGCTGTGAGTTGTGCTGGGATGACAGAGACACTCTGCTCGAGTTTCTCGTTGAGTCTCTTCAGGTTTTCGTGGGCGGTGGTGGCGAGCTCGTGCCGCGCGCTCGTTAGGCTCGCTAGCATCGGTTTCACGAGGAATTCGCTTGCGCCGTAGATGCTGGCGCCGAGACCTGCGGCACCATAGATGGTGTAGAGTACGCTGCGCATTGTGACTAGTGGTGGTGGTTTGGAGGACTGAACGAGGAATTCGGGGTAGGTGATGATAGGCGGCACGTCTTTTCGCGGTGCGCTGGTCGTTGAGCGCGGTTGCGACATGGTGGTGGAGGGTGTTGGCGAGGTCGCAGGGGAGGAAGGGGACACTTCGGTTGATTGGGATTCTGAGGAAGAAGAGGAAGAAGAGGAAGAAGAGGAAGAAGGCGCTTTGCCCTCGGCTGGGCCTGGGTTGCTGCTGGTCGCCTCCGCGTTTCGGGAAACGCCAAGGAGGGTCTGGATCTCGTCGGGGGTTAAGCCTTTGGATTCGAGGAAGGACACCTTGCGGTCTGTGGATGCGTCGCGAATGGAGTCATCCTCGAGGAATCGGGCTGCTTGGTCGACCAGGTCTTGCCGGGTAGCGGACGGCGCGGCGTCGGAGTTCGGCGATGAGGGTGGCTGGTCGGCCGGGGGGTTGGCAGACTGTTGTTGCCATGAAGGAATGGATGGCTTCTTGGATGTAGGATCTGACATGGCGAGGGCTGGGAGAGCTGGCCAAGACAGGTGAGGCGTGAGGGAGCAGGAATGAAGAGTGAAGAGTGAACAAGCAAGTCGACTTCCCCGGACGTGGACATGTGAGGCCCTACCTCGGCTGAGTGGGCCGAGCAGCCACCACGACATAGAGTAGAGCTTGTACCATTATTCGCCCGGTTTACGGATATCTAGGTGATTAAGCGAATGAATCCTACGAATGGTTAACTGCCATGTATTTGCCCTTATGAATTGCATATGTATTCATGGTGATCCTCTATAGGATTCGATGTGCTTTGGGTCCAAGTCCCTAGCCACTGACCAGGAGTGCCGCATAGAATATTCGCCAGGAACCACAAGGTTGACCATTCTAGTGAGAATTTACCTAACTGTTATTTGTTATTCCTTTTCTCTGGATTGATCCCCTTCAGCCAGTCCTGGCATGCATTTACCCCCACACCGCCCGGCAGAATGGCGATGGTCACCTCATTCGTTCATCAAGCGTCAGCGCCCTTCAGCATCGCGGCAACTGTGACGAAAAGAGAAAAAAATATATTATTAGAACTGGTGAGTATCTTCCTAATTTTGCAATCCTCCAACTAGAAGCCTTGGTATTTTTGGAACTATTCCCACTGAGGCCAACGCCCTCATCACAACCTCCCCTGTTATGCGCTCTGGCGGCACAAACTCCTCGCCCTCAGACCATGATCGGGGCCATCCCCGTTTGCCAGGCAAACGCGGAACCTATTTATTCCCTGCCATCCTGCCCTACCCACCTCGCCTTTCCCATCCACCATCCCAACTGACCCTCACTCTGTGCACCATCCCCTCAACCCATCTTCTATGCAAAACTCCCTAAATCTGGATTGGTCGCCACCATGTCACTTCGGCGCTCTCGACGATCGCGGAGTTCACTGGACGAGTCCCTCGAACAAGATGCTAACGGCCGCACCAGGCCCACGAGACTCACTCGCTTTGCAGCAGCAGCAGCAGCACCTGCATCGGTGACAGTCTCCCGACCACCATCTGAATCATCAGGAGAGCCAACCAAACATCTCCGCCTCACCGTAAGAATGCCTGCTGGCAAACTGCGGGAAGCCACCGCTGGTGGCCGCCCCGGAAGACGCAACGTCAATGTTTTCCGAGAGAACCCCATCGTGTCTGGACCCCGCACCAGTCGCACCAGAAAGAGGCTCGTGGAGGTGAACACGAGCGACGAAGAAGAAGACGACGACCAAGAAGAGGACGAGATCGGAGATGAAGAAGACGCACCCGGTGACGAAGATGACGAGGATGCCGATGCTGATGGCGATGTCGACATGGATGAGGCCCCGCCGCAAGCACCGATTAGGCGGCAGGCACGAGCAGCTGCGGCCCGTGGCAAAGCTGCCAAGAGTGTCGAAGCCAAAGAAATGGAAATAGAGGAAGAGGAAGATGACGAAGAGGAAGAAGAAGAGGAGGAGGAAGAGGAGGAGGAAGCATTTAACGAGGAATCTGATGCGGCGGGAGAACTCGATGACATGAACGAAGAAAGTGCCGCCCCAGAAGAGACTGGAGATGCATTGGATCTGGACGAAGAGGATGAAGTGGACGAGGACATGGACAGTGATGCACTTCTCCTTGATGGCAGCCGACAGACCACAAAGCGCCAGCGAGGAAATCTGGGCGACGACTTTCTCCAACTCCCCATGGGTAAGGCCATCATGCACAGAATGGATCAGAAGCAAAGTAATAACCTGCAGATAGAACCGCAAGTCAAGAAACATCTCACAGCCGAGGAGCGTGCTATGCGACGGACCGAAATGGCTCGCCGGCGGAAGAATCTGAGCGAGAAACGGAACGAAGAAGAGAAGGTACGTGAATGAAAACCCGCGCCACCAAAATTTCAGTCCAGGTTAACACTGTTTAACCAGATGGACACCATCAATCGACTGCTCAAAAAACAAGCCCCCAAGCGGCGCGGTCGAGTCTCCGCCGCAGAAGGCACCGACGTCACGCCTGGAGACCAGGAGGCCCAGGAACAGGAGAAAGCCGATGCCACCTACGTGCGATGGGTCAGTGGCCCGAACGGCTGCAGTGTCAGTGTGCCCGAGGAATGGCTGGGCACGCCAGCTGGACGGGTATTTGGTGCGCCTCCCGCGGCCACCGGAAAGCTCGTCGAGGAGCTGTGACGCCTTCATCACGGGATCAAGACAAGGCGCATTGGGGAAAAGTGTATCTACACCGGCATTTCTGGCAAGGGACCGTTGGTTTGCTTACTCGGGGAAGGAGTTTGGATGTTTTCAGTTCGGGGAAAAAGAACCATTGCCCATGCATACAGGAAGCAAGATATAATTCATCAATATTGGTACACACGGAGAACATCTTTGATATACTGCAGACTACGTATACACCGCACTCTGTCCGTGATACCTATCTCAGAAGCCAAATCATTTCAACAATTTCATTAGCAGCGCAACCCAGGTAAGATCCATGCCGCCGAAACAGATCGACAGCTGATTTATGGGCAGCTAGTGTGACCAGAACCTAACCCGCTGTCCCCTTCAGTATACGGAGCATTGCCATGGTATCCTAAAGAGGCGACCCGGCGCCCAGAAGGACAAAGATCACGGCGAGGGTGGAATAGTCACCCGGGTATCTGGGCCATGCCGTCTGTGCCGTGCCTCGAGGCGCATCGGCGTCTTTTGATAAACCCTCAGTGAGAGAAGTTTTTCAACTAGTCGTCGGGGGTTTGCACTATAGCGTTTTATTTTTTGTTGTCGGAAGCAGACGGGGGAGACTGGACAGGGGAGGACTGGCTAGCAGGAGCCTGGGCAGGAGGAGACTGGTGTGTTTTAGATTTTTCGGCCTCGAGTTCGCGGATGGCGGGCTGGAAGATGTAGTAGCCTGTCCCTATCTTAGTGCTCGGAGGTTCTGGTGTTGAGTGAGAATGAGATAGATACCGGTGAAGATGCCAACTCCAATAGAGAGGGCAGCGGGGACAAAGTTGCGACTCATTGTGGCAGTGAGTAGTGAGTGAGTGAGTGAGTGAGTGAGAGGAAAGGAAAGAGGAAGATGCCGATCTCGTGCTGATAACGGCTTCATGTCGCGTCTCTTATCGACGCGTCCAAAGACACTCACTTCCTTACCCAACGAAACCCCCCACAACCACGGTGAACTGGTTCGTCTGGGTTCTTGCATTTTCTCTCTGTTGCAATATTCTCTCTGGCAATGGCTTGCTAGACATGGGCAATCGGCGCCAGAATGCAAATGGACTCATGGCGGGAACGAGGCTTTGTTCCGGACTCAGACGAGGAGGACGAATTCGACTCACTGGACTCGAAGAAGGAGAACCTCGTCAAGGACACCGATGGCCCGACTCTCGCCTATATTGCGGTACCGTCACCAAAATCCCACGCCGCGATCACTCCCAAGGCTCGACGCGGCGGGACACAGCTCGAGAGCGGTTCGTCTCCGCTGCCAGAACCCGTTGAAGCGTCACAGGATCTCGTGGATGAAGTGGATAGGGTGGAAAAAGGCTCAGCGCACAAGAAGAGACGGACTGTTAGGGGGAGCACACAGTCTCCTCTGACGATTGGCAAAGGGAGAGGAGGCCTGCGGAAAAGTGCTTCCAGTGGACAGAACACGCCCAAGTCTTCTACCCCGAGATCGACAAGGCCGAAAGAGACCCAGAAAGCGGATGATGTCTGGAGCATTCCCAGCTCTTCACCAGCGGAACCCTTGGTTGTGCTATCCTCAGCACGCAAGTCGTCTCGGGAAAAATCATCTGCTACGAAACCATATGACAAGTTATGGGACATCCCCAGTTCATCAGACGAAGAAAATGGCCTACCAGAGTCTCAGATAACCCCGAAGCAGCCCTCATCCTCCCGGCTGCCACAGTCGTCGACCAGTCTACGCCAGCAGACCCCTCCACTAAAAGAGCCAGAGGATTTATGGAACATCCCAAGCTCTCCAGATGAACTGGCATTGCTTCCCCAACCTGCTACGAAACGGCCTAGTCCTCCCAAAATTGCGGAAGACAAGGATGAACCGCAAATTACCTCTGCCACCGACTCTCCGTTGTCATCCCCTCCATCGTCTCTCGGTGCCCAACTGGATACAAGTCCCCCTGAAGCAGGCACGGAAGCTCCTTCTAGATCGATTCCGCTGCCAAATGACAACCTGGAGGAGGTGATCTCCAATCTTGATATCCCAGAGGAGGTCCTGCGGGAGTTATCTCAGCCAGCGCGACGATCTCTGAGAGAACGCAATCCCATCCAGCTGCATCCCTACCTTCTGGAACAGGCCCAATACCAGACGCTCATGAAAGCCAGAGGCGTCCGACCCGTGCGTATAGCCATCGAACAGCAGTTGCGCAAGGCCGCACAGGAAAGCCAGGACCAAGATCAAGCGCAGGATTCCTACGACCCTGATGCGCCTCCGTCCAGTTCTCCTGCTGAGGAATACCTTCCTCCGCCCAGAAGGGAGCCGCATCCAGAAGGACAAGGAGGCAGGCACAGCGAGTCCCTTGAGCGTCAACGACAACACGTGGTGAAGCGGCGAAAGATATCACACTCTGATACTCATCGACGGAAAAACGATTTCTCCAGGCCTCGGGTGACGATTGATCACACCATGTCTCTAGGTGGTGACAATGGGTCCTCTATATACAACATCCCACCAAGCCCTCCACGTTCAGGAAGCGCGTCGACAATCACGAGGACTCCCAGGACCTCAGAAGGGTTTCGTTGGCCGATAGGAGGATCCTCACCTCCTCCAGAGTTTACGAACACTGAACCAAAATCCAGAATTCAGGAGGAAGACCAGTCTAATCTTGAGGAACTAACTGTTCCTATTGCTGAAGACAGCGAAGAGGCGGGATCTGATACCTCGCGCAGCCAGCAGAGTTCCGATGCCGAAGAAGAGCCTGATGAGGAAGATTATGCGAGACGAATGTACCAGCGCAGAATCAAAGGTGTTCTCCCAGCCTCGTGGCTTCGTTTGGATCAGAAAAAGCAACAGGGAACGCAAACTCAGGCACAGCGGGATCGACATGCGGCCTTGCAAAGGACAGAATCTGCCAAGGGTGTTGCACGCAAGATTGTTCGAAAGAGTAACCAGTCAGGGCCCTCAAGCCCTCAACGACACCGTGCTCTTATCGATTTCGAGGATTCTGATGGTGACGAAGATGACAACAATGTCGCTCCCCATGTTCCTGAGAAAGACGATGTCGACGAAAGACTGGCTAACTTCGTCGGATTCGAGGACCCTTTTGGTCAAGAGGAAGACGATATCCCCGAGGATAATCGAATCGATGGCATGTTTGCACCGATACCGCGCAAGTCTGCAAGCTCTCGCGGACAGAAGCAGAGAACTCTGAAACGGCCGAAGTCCAAGGAAAATGACAGGTTGGAAGAGAAACAACGGAAGAGGGCTCGACTAAAACGTCAAACCAGGCTGACTGATTCCTCTTACGGAGGACGGAGAACGAAGCAATCCACCAAAGTGTCAGTGCCAAAGCTCGGCATTCTCGATGCTCCAGATGTTGCCCAGCGACCTCCCAAAGAACAACCACAGTTTCTTCGAATTGCTGCAAGAAAGGCTCGTGCACGTAAAGAAGGAGGCCGACAGAGTCCCACGCGCAAGTTCTTCCAACTGGCCTCGAGAGAGGACACGGCCGATGCGAACGAATCGTTGCGTCGCTGGAAAAAAGGTGCCATACCTCAGACGAAGATCAATCCACCGCAAGCAAAGCCGCGCAAACGGGGACCACAGCGGAGCTTTGAATCTCTCATCAATCCAGCTCGACCACATCTTCAGATTGCTCGAACACAAAGCCAACATGCCACCATAGAACCCTCGCACATTGCCTTGCCGCCCGACGAACTGGTCGGACCAGAGCAGGACCCACGCTGTGACCCTCCAGTGCCTGCTGCCACATCCACCGGAAATGCAGCTGTGAGCAGACCTACGCAGCTCGAGAAGCGAGGCCACCAATGGGTTGTTCGCAGAAATGTCGCAATAACATCACTCAGACGAAACGATCCTCGTCCTGCCGCCGGCCAGGGCAGCCAGCCTTCATCAATCCATTTCCACAAATCTCTCTCCATGCTTAACAGAAACTACCGGCATCAACCCACGTCAAACCCCTATCGGCCTAGTTTGACTCTAGATCGATTCCTCAGTGACAATGGATCAAACCCTGCGGTCAGCCGGACCTCCAAATCTGCTGTGGCACCTCAGACAGAGACGAGAGATGAGCAGTCAACCACACGCCCCCAACCTGCTCGTGGTCGATTAAAGAAGCGCACTCCAAATCGCATCCCCCTTGACTCAGACGGCTTCTACGAACATCAAGAATCCGCGACGACTATTGCCGATAACTCGACCCCCACGGCCATCCCAGCTGGACCTGCGCGCCCTTCGTTTCAGAACCTGGGTGGACTGTTCAATTGGCAACGTTCTTACTCGGTGGATTTCGGGATCACGCCCTTGCAGACTGACACTTTCTTCCATGAATCTACTTTCATCGGAAGTGGGGAGTTTGCTCGATCTCTCGATGTGCTGAAGCGAGATCTGGATCGGGATGCTGGGTATCTATTTGTTCATGTCAAGGACCAGTCTTTCCGCTGGGGTGCTTGGAACGATATGGTGTCCTCCGATATGGGGCATGCGTTCGATGCCATGATTGTTCAAGTTGAATCCAACGCTTCCGTCTCGCTTGACACACTCCCCGGGCAAGCAATGGACTCGGCGGCCACCATATATAGGTCCTTGATCAAATATGTGACGTCGTATTTGACGTTCATGGACCCTGTCGACCGGACTGCTTTTGTCACAAGAGCACTGAGCCTGGTTTCGAAACTCCGAGACTCTTTGGCACCTTTCTCCGCTGGCGAGGAGTGCAATAAGAGTGCTTTAGTGAAAACAGTTTCATATGGCCTGGTCTTCGCGAACCAGGTTTATCAGATTGCGTCCCATTCTCTGGTTGATAACGCACTTGCGGATGAAATACTCGAGCTTGTCAAGTCTTTGACCAAGGATGTCGGTACTCTGATATCAAACAAAGCAAGTTTGTCCGAATTACAGCGATTTTTGGACGGGAACAAGAAGACCGAGCAGCGAGAATGTGGCATTCGCGAAGATTCCCCATTGGTGGAAGCTTATGTTGTCACCAAGCATCTCGTGCACAGTTCAGAAAAGTACCGTGGCTGGTTCAAGGACATTCAGACCGACGCTTACATCAACGGCGGCTTGCAAAGTACAAAGGATGTGGGGAAGCTAGAAAACGGGTGGCGTGGTCTGTTTACGGTCTTACCTCTCAATGAGATCGATCAATTTGGTATCTTGCGCCGAGGATACAGATTTCAAGGGGCGGATGATAACTGGAAGCTTGTCAAACAGCTTTTGTCACCGGTTCTGGACCATGCCGATGCCAACTCCGTGACGCATACATTCTCATTCAACACATATTGCCGAACAGTCTTCCACAGGTGCTATCATCTGCTCAGCGCCTGGGGCTGGCGAGACTGCAAGCCTATCCTTGATACACTCTACGACTTCTTCGCCAAAAAGACGCTCTATAATCTCAAGCTGGAAGAGACCTTCGGGTCACCCTCATTCCTCGACGAGCTTGACGGCAACCCTTCTTTGCATGTTCGGCCCGGTGAACCCTGCTTCCACACCCTGCTGAAGATCATAGCACGAGGTCTGCCCTTCTTGGCTGAAAGATTTCCCAAGAAGAAAATTCTGGGGTTCGTCTGGCGTCTGCTGCCCAATCACGGCCGCGTGTATCCGAAGGAACAGGAGCTGCGTCACGAGGATCTCGATGCATTGAGGAATCACCATGACCTCCTCTCGACTCTGTACTGGGCTGCACCTGAAGGATGTCGACCTCGTCTGGATTCAATTCGCAACCTAGTGGATCCAGCTCGTTCGCATCGCGAAACTTGCAGCATCAGCCTTCGGACATGGGCTCGACTCGTTCGATTCAAATTGTCAACAGATGAAAACCT